TCAATGAACTAATGTTCATTGTCTTCAGGCGAACAAAATTTAAAAATAGAACACAATGTTCTAGTGCAAATGGAACAAATAGTATTTAAATTGAAATTAAAAGTCGCAAGTCTGCTCAAAATTCAATTAAGCAAGATGATGTAATGTCATGCAGAGCATGACATTAATTAATTAGAATGCAACTGCAGGGATGATATGAGGCACCTTATTAAATTGATGGAAAACCGAGAATAGTAGTCCTGAATTTGTGCATGCATAGATCCCCCTGATCTATGCATGCACAAATTCAAGAATGTTGTTGCCACATCAACCTCTTTCTCCCAAGTGAAGTTGTAAAGTACTATATTATTTTTCCGACTTTCCAACGATTATCGACACTACTGTGTGCCGGAAAATAGCCGTTCCCTAACGGGTACTTTACGCGGATTCGCGTTAGTGTGCCAGGCCTGGACTTTAAGCGTGCACCGAATTAAATAATGACAAAGTTTGTCAATAACAAAATCAAATATTTAATTAAACTTCTATTAAAAAACTCTATACAGTATTTAGTAAAAATCAAACAATAATTTATTCAATGAAATTCAACAAGAATCAATCCGACAAACTCAAATCAATCTATTTCTAACTTAATTCTATTCCCCTTTGGAATTCGACAAAATCAAAGAATTAACTTATAAACAATAATTCTTATAAATTAAAGATCCTAATCGTCACCTCAATATACTAGGAACCTATTTCCTCAACTCTCAAGACTTTCTATAATCGTCGATCCACAAATCGAATAACTTCAAAATCCTATCGGACACCTCTCTCGTTCACTGCTACGAAGCTCACCAAAGCTCGTTGCTATCAGGAATTCACCTCGTTCGTTTTCACTTGAGTTAGAGGCTTTATAGTGTGAGGTGACGTCACAATTCTGAATGAGCTCACTCTCCTCATTTACATACTTATCTGTAACATTAAATTTTTCTCGTTTATCTGGCAGATTATTTTCCGACAATACTTCGCTAACCTTTTACATTATTCTTTTTAACAATTATCGGGATGCTTTATTATTTTAAGGTTTAGCGATTCCTAACTGGGTTGTGGGGTCTTCCCCCCCCTTTTTCTCGGTGCGGACTTACTTTTTCCGCTTGGGAAGCGCAAGTGTGTGCAAGTTTTTCTACGGCGCTTTTCTTTCGTCGGTGAGTTGGTTTTTCTTCTATTTTTAAGTTACTAAGGTGAATGGTGAGGAAACCTTCGTCTTAAATAAACATAAGCCCCAAACAAAATATAATGAAAGCAAAATAAAAGTAAAATAAAAATAAAGCTCAGACTTGGTTCCTTACAAAGTAAATAGAGGTTATATACTGGACTTTTGTTGTTCTAATGTAAGAAATGTCTTGTCTATATCTTCCTATACTGTGATAATATCAACATAATGCAAATACAACAGCGGGTAGTTGATGGCAAGCAGAAATTGAATGTTTTGTACTCAATTTCTCTCGTGATCAGTTCCACTAGAACAGCAGATAAAGAGGAATCCATGGAACCCCCTGTTTCTGTAAATAAATTTTCCCAGAGTGATCACATAAAAAGATCGATAAACAAACGTTTTCGAACCCCATTTGGGCTCCGCTTCAGGTTCCAAACAGTTTCTAGGTAGATGTTTGATATCTGTTCAAAAATTTGTTTGGTCAACATGTCGTTTAAAGTTTGAGTTCGAATCATAAGTTCGAATGGATTTATACAAATCAAGTCGCGCATGTGTGATCAGTTCGCCCGTTCATGTATGACGGGTGAATTAGAGCGTGGATTAGAGCGTGTTGTGAATTAACTCTTGCCAGGCCAACGACAACAGCATCTCCTCTTTAAAATTTATGCACATGTTGGTGCTGGAGGATTTAAATATGTGCATTGCTTCCAACCGATTATTAATGTGATCGTTTGGCTTTAATTTATATTATTAAACACATTTACATCAACTTGTATCTTGAAAACTAATAAGTTTCTGTTAATTCCTCCTTTATATAATGACACTTGGAGAACTATTTAGAAATTCACTGTCAATTTTATAGTTTATTAGTTCTTTATAGTGAACTAGCAGACCCCATCACGCATTGTTGTGGCTCAAAATGTATATACAGTATTATAAATGTATAACACTTCCCCATGTGGGGAACTTTTCGAAAAATCTCTTCTTAGTGTACATTCTCTTGATGTACCCTATTAAAACGCAATCAAAAATGCAAAAAACTGCATCTAAAATAGTACCAATAGAAGCCAAGTTCTTCAAGCTAAGCCTTAATCCTGTTCATCTCCCCCCAGTGGGGGGAATTTTGACATGTATATTATATAAAAACACGTGCGTATTCGAATGCAGCGTTGCGTCAAAATTTCAAAGGAATCGGTAGGAACAAACGAACATTACATTTTTATTTATATAGATAGATAGAAGATGATCTGCTTTAGTTCATCCTCACAGAAAAGCAAACTTTGGTCGTCGTACTCATAACACCATCTGTTGGACATAAAAGCCTTAACCCTAGATGATATCTTTTAATTTATATGAATGTTTAACAGAATAATATACAGCCTATGTCTACCCTGAAGTTCCATTCTAAATATTGGTGAAAGAATTTTTGAAATTGGATGAGTAGTTTTGGAGATTACCCCCTACATTTAAACTTACAAACATTACCTCTTTATAATATTAGTATAGATAAAAGCTGAGTGATCAACTCTTGGATTTGTTTTATTGGATATTATCAATGTAAAAGTTTTTTCTATTTTTTTAAAAATCAATTTTTTAAAAAACTTCTTAAAAGATTAAAAAACTTCGAAGGTTGATACAGAAGACAACCATTATTTTTTTAGCTACAACCACATTTTATCAGAGACAAAACTACTAAGGATTATATCTGTTAGCTTTTATTATAATACAATGCATTTTGGGTGCAAAAGTTTGTTACATATGCACCCCTCTTCAAATAATACATAACTACAATAAGGAAACATATAATTGTTACAAAATTGTTATAAATTACATTCAAATGATTTATATTATACCGAACTAACTTCTTTTGCTAAAGCATACATCTCTCCACTATATCAATGTCCTACCCTCAGAACAGATATATATATCTATACTAATATTATAAAGAGGTAATGTTTGTATGTAAGTTTAGATGTAGCGGGTAATCTCCAAAACTACTCATCCGATTTCAAAAATTCTTTCACTAATATTTAGAATGGAACTTCAGGGTGGACATAGGCTGTATATTATTCCGGTACACATTCATATAAATTAAAAAATATAATCTAGGTTAAGGTTTTTATGTCCAACAGATGGCGCTACAAGTATGACGCCCTAAGTTTGCTTTTCTGTGAGGCATTATGCTTTTCTATGAAAATGAACTAAAGCAGATCATCTTCTATCTATCTATATAAATAAAAATGTAATGTTCGTTTGTTCCTACCGATTCCTTTGAAATTTTGGCACAATGCTGCATTCGAATACGCACGTGTTTTTATATAATATACGTGTCGAAATTCAACCCCACTGAAGGGAGATGGTTAGGATTAAGGCTTACCATAAAGAACTCTGCTTATGTTTATACTACTTTAGATTTTAGATGCAGGTTTTTGCGTTTTTGATTGCGTTTTAATAGGGTACGTCAACAGAATGTACGCTAAGAAGAAATATTTCGAAAAATTCCCCCCACGGGGGAAGTGTTATACATTTATAATAGATACATTTTGAGCCACAACAACGCGTGGCGGGGTCTGCTAGTATATATATATATCTGTTACTTATAAAAGTTTTTTCTGTTTAATTTTTTTACATTTATTTTAGCATTTATTATTATATATTTAATTAATACTAATTGGTAAATAAAACAAAAATGAACCAAAATAATAAAAATGTATCATTTGGGTAGCCATTTTGTATTTTCAACATAATACATTAAAAAGTTCTGTCTAAAACATTTCACTCTATTTCACCTATTTTATAATTACTTCTATAATGAACTGGTATTATAAATAAATAGAAAGAAATGGGAAAAACATATTCTATGAGATCATTTTTTTAAATTTCTTGCTGATGAGTGATGTGATGTGTTTTTAATAGTCATTTCTGTGGTGCAGGATGTACAATGGCATGAGTTATGCAAAGATTTTATTTCTGTCGTAATAGTTTTTCCAGATTATATTCCAAGATGGGTTATTGCAGGAAATTACAGTAATTTTTTTATTAAAACTATTTTTATCTTTTAATATGTAGAGGATAATGTTTTTCCTTAAATGATTTACATTTTGCTTTTACATATTGCTGCTTTGTTTTGATAGTAGCACAGCTAGAAAAAACTGGCTTTGCTTTTTTTGTGTAAATAAAGTCCTTAGGTACAGTACTTTTATCATGTAAAATGGCATAGTTCTATTCAATTGAATTACCATCAGAGATCATCTGTGTCATCAACTTATATTCAACTATCAGTCAATTAGGATTTTTAAATGCTTCCTTTGTAAAATTAACAGTTTTTTAATTACTCCACTATTGAAGCAAAGCAATGATATGCTGTAGTATATTTTGTCATGGCATATTATATATAAAATCTACAACAGTTGATTTAAGTAGCATTTACTGAAATTTTTTAAATATAAGTTCATTATTTTGTTTTGGTAAATATTTTTTCTGCATTATTTCCTTCATCATGGTTCAATTTGAAAAGTTTTAATTTAACTAAACGGTGCTATGTGTCTTTCTAATTATAGTGGTTCTTCTTAAACACTGACAAACAAATAACTGTGGTTAAAGTAGCAGTCTAACTTTTTATTTGACCAATAATGCTTTAACAAATTCTATGTCCAGATTGGAAGATATATAATTCTGATTTCAATGAATACCTTTTCTCTAAAAATATCCAAATGACAAAACTCTAATTGTAAACTTAAAAATTTATATTAAATGTAATTTAGTTTTCTTTTACTATTATTTTAATATCATTAAATTATTTTAGGTTCAAGCTCAGGTTCATTCTTCACTTACCGCAAAAGAAGACGCATTAAAATATGTAGAGTCGTTGATTTTTCGATTGCTCGGTATGCTCTGTGCCGCTCAACCACATACGGTTCAAGACGTGGAGGATCGTGTTCAGAAAACATTCCCTCATCCCATAGATAAATGGGCCATAGGCGATGCTCAAAATGCGATAGAGAAAGGGAAAAAGAAGTCGCCGCTTGTTCTCCCAGTTGAAAAAATTCATCCTTTACTACAAAAGGTAAAGTGTATAAAATTAATTTTCTAATAACATTATAAATGATAAATTATCCCATTTTGTTCTTAAACACTTAAACAAAAAATGCAATTGAAATAGTAATAAATCTTTCTTTAAATATTTTCAATTGGAAAAATTTAAAAAGGAAGTAGAGGAAAACACTGAAGTCACTTGCCTCTTCAACACTAAATGTTGCTATCAATCTATCTAAAATGGTGCATAGCTGTTACATATCATTCATGTTTCTATATGAATTTTGCTTGTAGCTGGATTGTTCTTGGAGCCCAGTGTACTACAATGAAGATGATGTAATATATATTTCTATATATGTAATATATAGAAAGATGTGTATTAGTACTTAAATGAGCCTTTTCTTATGAGTAAAAGTGGGGAAAATTTCTTAGAAATAAAAAGGAAGACACTATTTCCTCACAGTGAGAATCATGAGGCAACAGCTCCAATGATCAGGATTGAAAAAATTTATGTAGTCTTGCTGATTCACTTCTGAGATTCTTATCAGTATAAGAACTAATGAGACTTAAATAATGTATAAAAATAATTGATAAGTAACTCAAAATTTTATCCAGGAAGTATTTATAATAAATTAAGTAAAATTCTCTCTCTCTGTAAAATTTTTTGATTTGATTATATTTAAAAACTTAATTATTGTGTATTTTCAAATTTTAAGTGAAGAAGATATTCTTGTTAAAAAGCAAAAGTACTTTTAATTAAAGAATCTCTTTGTATCATGGATAATGTGAAATTATTCCTTTTGATTTACTTTACATGTGATAAAATAAGAAAGTTAATTCAGTAGTACATTGAAGTTCTTCACAGTAATAGTGACTTGACAAGTTATAGTGACAAATGATATGAAAATTTTTCTTAGTAAGATATGTTTAAAATTGACATACAATTAAAATTCATTTAAAATTCATTAGAGATATAATGAAGTGGATGAAATAGGTGTTGGAATAATTAAAATCTTACAGTGTTTGCAATTTTGCAGTGTGTGAAGAATGACTTAATGTATTTTCTTGAAACAAGAAAATGCTCAATAATCCTGTAATTTTCCTTTGATTAATTCATACTTGATTAAATTCACACATTGGCCATCAGTTATATATATATTTTGGCATTCTATTTTACTGATCTTTTCCAAATATTAATGCTAGGTAGTTGAATGCCAACATGTCCTTGATATCCAAATTTGAATCAAGTTTTACCACTACATGAACTGTGACAAAAACTTTATTATACATGGTCAGAGCAACTGTAATAAACATCTACACTCTTGGGTGATACACAGACAATACAATTAATTTTGCACATTATGTACAAGTGTTGCCAACCAACTCAGGTTAGGAATAGCTTTGCCAGTTAGTCTTCTGAATTTCTGGTTGCTACAATATCATTATGATAAAATAATTATTCAGCATCCAAAAGAATGTAAAGCTGTTAAATTTGACTGTAGATAGTACAGCAGAAATAATTTCTTTTGATAGTGAAGATGAATGCATCAAGATATTATTTTATTTCTCAAAATTAGAATTAAAACATGGGGATGTCCTTACAGAAGAGTTATACCAATATACAGTGTATTGATATGAATCTTCTCTGATGACATCTTCCATCAAGAAATTATCTTATCATTGCCAAATCTCACATTTGTTTATATATATATATTTTATAAGTTAGAAACTTGAATCAGGTAATTGTTTACAAAATAAAAAGAAACTATACATGGAATTAATTTTTTGGCAACTTAATATATAGTGTATACTATTGACAGAAAGAGCATTGTTCAATTATGTTTATAATAAATGGTCTAGAAAAAATATTCTGAAGTCCTCATAAATTTTTATATAAGTGTATTTATTATACTTACTCCAAAATTTTATATTTTTCCAATATATTGAGAACTGTTGTTTGATCTTAAGTATTAAAAGAGAGAGATTGTTTCTTTAATGTAATCATGGACAAATAATTACATGATGTATACATTATAATAAACTCAAAAAACCAATAAATTGATAATATAGAACTCAAAACATTTTGAGATTATTGTGGTATTAGATTTATTTTTATAGAAAAATCAATGATGTTAATTTAATTTTAATATCACAGGGTCTTTTATACAATATCATTCATGTGCAAAATTCTTGTTTTTGTCTGATCATTAATTTTATTTAAAACAAAATGATCAATTCTATTGAAATGATAAAGTTGATATTGTAATATCCCTAATTATTTTGAGTGATATATTTTAAGAAATTTAATAGTTTCTTGTAAGAAAAAAATTGTTGATAATAAATTTTAATTTATATCATTAATTATTGATATAATTTTCTTAATAGGAGGTTCTTGGCTACAAAATTGACATTCAAGTTACACATTACATAGTTGCAGTTTTGGAATATATATCTGCTGATATTTTGAAGGTTTGTATCATTACTTTTTCATTAATAAATTTTGTTGATGATTATAATCATACTATTTCATTATATACATAAAAAGAGTTCTGTCTCTCATGATAAATCTTATATAAAAAATATTCATAACTATTCATTTCTTAATGATAAATAATTAAATACTATTCAACTACTCAAAACTGGGTATGTGTTAATAAACACTGCACATATAATCAATATCCAGTGAGAAGAAACTGCTAGCCTGATGATGCCCATTAAACATGGATGAAAACATTTGCTTTCTTGTCTCTTTGTTGGATATCAGTGGTGTGCCGTCACTAGAAGCAGTGGAAGCACCGCTTCCCTTGTATTTTATAAAAAATAAATACATATTAATTTTAATTATATGAAAATAATTGCACAATATTTTATTATAACTGCATTATGTATCTTATTACAAATTTTTTACTACACGTGGAAAAAAAAAAAAAGATTGCTATTGTATATTTGAATATTATTGGCGGAGTGGAATTTCTGTATTGTCAGATTCCAAAAAGCCAGATTTGCGCATGCGCTTTACAGAGCACCAACCTCACCCGGTTTAGCCAGTGGAAGCCTACGACCTTGGGTCGATAACGCTTCCAATTCTATCTGGGACCGGTTCCGAGCTGTTAGCCGCCCGCCCGCTAGATATTTGGCCGATTATGCAAATAACGAGTAGATTTATAACTTAACCCAACCAATAAGAATTTACTGGTATGTTTTTACGGTAGTTCTGTATAGTTGACAGGAGTTTAAAAAATCCATTAGAATATTTGATATTTTTATTTTGCTCTCCGATTTTATATTACTCGTGGATTTCAATGTTAAACCGGTGATATTGCGATTTCGTATATCCCGTCTTTAAGGAGATGTAGAAAAAAGACGTGTATAATTCTTTTATAATGTTAAAAAATTAACCGTTACTTTCGACAGTGTCATTTACAACTAAATTTAATGAACGAGAGAGATGCGCGCGGTACAGAAAAAGCTCTAGAATATATTTTCCTTAAATTTACGATTTACGTATCTGTTTGTCATAAAAATTTGTCTTTCCACTTTTTCCCGAGACTACAAATATTCGAGTACAAAGTAACCGGTTTCAACTTATTTCTACTTAAGAAGTAGTTAGATAATTAAGCGATTAGAGAATTGGTTACGTAAACAAAACCCCGACGAAAGAGCCGGAATATTACGTAAACAAAAGCTTAACCAAACCAATCTATAGCCAAGTACAGTGGGGACCAATTTCTTTGAAATACTGTATTAGATGTAATAAAGACAGAAATTTTTCCAGTTCAACGAGAGTGACCGAAAAGTTGTACATTTTGGAAATTTCCTTGGACAACACTTGGTCCTAAAACGAATTAGTTAGAAAACAAATGACTAAGTTTAACATATTTAGATTTTTACAGCTAGAATTTTCCTTCTTTCCGATTTCTGTGTTCCTTTGTCTCGGACTTCCGAGAACTCGCCTCGCCCCTAACCCATCAGGGGGTAGCGTTAGAACAAAAGGACAAAACGAGGCTGGAGGGGAAAAGGAAGAGTTTCTAGAAGCATTCTTAGACCTGACTCGGAGAGAGACAGACGAGTGGCAGCAGGCTCTTGAATGGAAAGTCGAGGAGCGCTGCAGAAGGAGGCCGTAAGAAGCGGATTGGTAGAAGAATCTGGTCGACGATTATAGAGAAAAAAACCCCAAAACGGACCCGAGTTGTTCTAAGAGGAGAACAGACGAGAAAGAGAAGCCGAGACGAGGAACGGTGGATAACCAACTGGAAAATTGGGTACCCTTCTGTCCTTTAATTCTTCTCATTTCCCCTTCTACATTTTCTATTTTTAGTTTAAGTTAGGTTAAGGTTTACGCATGCAAATAAATTGTCGGGAGGTAGTTATCGAGAAATTAACTACCAGTCTATTGATATACCTGGTCACTCAAGATTGTGGAACCATTTGAAGGAGAACAGTGGGAATCCAAACGTATTCTGTATATATATTTCAAATTCAGTGAGAAATTAAACTCGTTTAATTGGTAAAACGTGTATGTGTATACCTGTCCGCATTGAACATTGTACACCAGTACACCATCACATATTTTATTTCACAAAGTAAATTTTTATTATTTTATTTTTAATTTCATTAAAAACATCAAAGTTAAGTAAACAAATGACCTTATATTGTTTTATTAAAATGGAAATTTTGTCCAATTATGTAAAATCTTTACAACTTGTGCAAACATTTGTAAAGAAGCAATTTAAATAAAAATGTGCATTAATGAATGGTAAAATTATTATTTTTATNTCTGTTGGATATTGGTTATATATGCATTGTGTAATTAAATACTGTTTTATGTATGTATATGATGATTGAGGACAGATTGTACTATATTGACTTTTAAATGTAAGTAAATATAATATATAAATATATATTAAACATTGCTTTTAAAAGAAGTACAAACTAAATAGCTCCTTTTGGTATGTTCTTAAAACTATGTAACTAAGTTTTTCTTTTTATCTAATCAGCTTGTAATACTAGCTGATTAGATAAAAAGAAAAACTATATCTAAAGATATTTTAATTTTAAGTAAGTTAAAAGAGATGATTAATATGTATGGTTATATGATATTCATTAATATAGTTCTGGAAGGAAAGATCAGACAGGCTTGGGTGGGTAGTGTAACTGGTAATATATCTGCATTTAAGCCCTGTTCTGGGTCTTTTCTTCCAGATATTCAAAATTATTTATTTAACATTAAATTTAATTTCTAGTTACTGATCTATATATATAAAAATGAATGTATGTCTGTGTGTCTGTTCTGCATGCATTACCACACTGTTTATTCAATTGCCATGAAACTTTGGGAAGTTTTTAATACACTCCCGCGAAGGTTTCTGGCATTTATCCTACGATAGATGGCGCGCATGTATTACGAGCATTTTACTGTGTGTTCGATCGATTTCAAATTGTGAAGACCATTTCCCCCTTCAAAAAATATCTCTATATATGCATTTGTTATTTACGATATTTGTAATAATTTTTGTTTAATCACTTTATTTCAACTTTTTTTTTTTTTTGCTAATGTATTTGCTCGAACTTTGTTAAAACCTTAACTGTATCCCGAACAACAACCGAAGTTGTAGGAGGAAATTCGCCTATTTTACCGATCTAGGAATCCCCTTTCCCAAATTTTAATATCATCTAATAATTTAAAGAGACAAATTACAATAAAACAGTTTATTATCCAACTATCAGAAATTTCACAACATGCCAAAGAAGAGAGGAAGGAGCAATTAAATAATCAAAATTATAAAGGATTTTTAAAAATATATAAAAATGGGGAATATCACACTTCTAGCAATCTCTGCGAGTATGTGGGCTAAATTTAAAGAATCCATGCTTCTCGCATGTACAACTGTATGTGGCCAGCTCACGCGTCGGAAAACCTTCTGATTTATTCGTGTACGCACCAGACGGAAAAACAAAAAATATCGTGTATCCACAAGCACTCCAATAAATAAATAGAATTGAAATGACACTTTGAAATGTTTTCCCGATGAAAATGAATAATAATAATAAGTTTCAATAAAAATGATAAAATGTAAATTGAATTGTATCATAATAAGTTTGCTTGAATTTTGTTTCTTCTGAGATCTCAGCAATGTGCGACGGGTAAGCTAGTATTTATATGAAATGTTGACCTTAACCATCTTAGACAAATTATATACTTGTAATTACTTAATTAAATCTAACAGTTAGATATTTTGGTTTAATATTCAAAACTATATAACATAAAATAAAAATATTTTGAATAAAATAAGATTAAACTAATTAAAAGAATTAATATATTTATTAAATTTAAAACATCAATTTTATGATAAAATTTTTATAAAGATTTTGAAAGTTCATTTTATTAACTCTGAACACATCATACAATATTAAAAGATATATAATGTTCAGGGAAAAGATATTTGTTAATAGGATTTGATTAGTGGCTGTCTTGATTTAGTAACTAGAAATGTTACATTTATGTAATTAATATTTTATAAAAGATTAATTTTTATAAATTCATAGCAAAAAGTATTTGATTTTATTGCTATCAGATTTTTTAACTTCATTTAATATAATTCATTATGTAATTGTTTTGATAAACACTATTCTTGTTACTTTGTAATCAAAATGTTTCAGTGTGATACCAAGAAAGATTTTCTTTTGTTTAAAAGACTTAGAGTAATAAAATTCTAAATTTACCTATTATAGATTATTATTAATTCTTGTTGTTATTCTAATTGTGTAATTCTTTCATAAAGCTTGCAGGAAATTATGTAAAAAATATAAGACATCTCGAAATAACGTGTCAAGATATTAAAGTTGCAATGTGTGCAGATAAAGTAAGTATTGTTTATAACTTAATTTGATTTCAGATATAAATTAAAAAAATAACTATAAGATATATTAGAATTTTGAATTAATATTGTAGGTATTGATGGATATGTTCTATCAAGATGAAGATGTTTCACTAAGTATTGAAGAAGAGCCAATACGCAGAACATCTGTTACATACGATGAAGTTGTAAAAGATCTAATACATGAAGATAAACAATATATTAGGGATCTTAATATGATTATTAAAGTTTTTAGGGAACCATTTGCCAAAATTTTTCCACAGAGCAAAGTGAGAAAATTTTAATTTATTTAAAACTCTTAATTGGTTTTTTTGTTGCTTTTAAATAATTTTTACAAATCTATAAATCTAAATTTTAAAATTAAATGTGTGTATTTAAATTTCTAAATCTTAAAAATTAGTAGTTTTAAAATAGTTGTTTTTATATCATAATTTTTGGAGTATAAACTGTGGCTTATGTTTTTTATGTTGGAAAAGTGAGATTGGATATATACAAAAGTTCAACTTATGCATGAAAAATTTCACATTATTACAACTCACTCTGCAGATAGCAGTGTAATCTGTTGTAGTAATATTCGATATTATTGATATATTTTCTGATATTGAAGCTGGAAGATGAATATTTGCTAATATTGTTATTACTGTTTGATATTATCGATATCAGTAATTATTGAAATTTACAGTTAATTGAATTATAGCCCAATGTTAAACTTTGAAATTTTCAATGAATATCATTTGTTGTAAGTAATATTTTCAAATGATAATTTGTAAGTATTGTTTTTAATAAACATTTGTGTTTTTAACATTCAGTATTTATTGGCAACTAAAAGTTGATATGGCTAATATAAAGGTGTGGCTTTTCTGTCAGTCAGTTGATAATGACCTGTTTTTACCCTGTAGCTTATATCCAAGTGTGGCTCCAAAAATTATGGTAAAATGAAAATTACTTTAATGTTAAAGAATGTGATTACGATTCTAATATATTTACATAAATAATTAATATTTTTAAGGACTTAGATACCATATTCAGCAATATTATGGACATATATGACTTTTCTGTAACTCTACTTGGCTCTCTCGAAGATGCTGTAGAAATGGCTGAGGAAAATGGTCATCCAGCAATAGGAGCCTGTTTTGAAGAAATGGCTGAAGTAAGTTAAATATTAAATATAAACTATGAATTTATTAAATTGTAAAAATGAATTAAAGCATTTAATATGTTAAAATTAAAAAAAAATTATTTTATTTTAAATAAAAGTTAACTTAAACTTCACTTATGAACTTAAACCATGATATATTGCCTTCTAAATAGTAACATCCACATAAAGTACTGAGGAATACTTCTGAGTGAATCTCTGTAAATATTAAACACAGAACTGTTCATATCTGTGAATTACTGAATGTACAATTTTGTATTGTTAATAAAATTGTGATCACATAATAATGAGATCTTTAAAACTTGTGTTTTAGACTTCATAGACTGCTTAAAATATTGGTGTATCCTAAAAATCTATACAAATTTCAAAGTTGTTTAAAATGTATTGTTTATTTTAAGATAAGGTTTTTTTGGGTACAGATAGGTTGTTTACTGTTCAGATGACATGATCAGGACCAGAATTGTGACTGCAATTTGAACTTTTGTCTTAACTTGTTTCATTAACTTCCAGAAGTAGTCAGCTTTAAAGTGGCAAAGTTTGGTCTTGATCCTGTCCTCCAACTCCTTTGCAGATTCAGTTTATCAACCATTTTCATAAAATTTTTGCTTCAGTTGGTATCAAAATCTCTCAATTGGTCTCAGTTGCAGAAAATTTGGAACATTGTCTTTACGAGAGATGTATTGATTTCAGTAATGGTCCAATTTGACAACTATATTGTGAGCATAATGGATGATGGCCATGTCTGGTCAGAAGTTATATCTTTGGTCAGAGTAGTATTTTGTTAAGAAAGGTCACTAATATTGGCCTCTTTTGAATGCATTCCTTAGTGATGGAGAGCCATGACAGGTAATGAAGGTCTATGAATGTTTCTTTGGACTGATTGCCAGCCAAACTAGAAGCTTTGATAAAAACTTTGCATTTGACTTCAGGATTCACATTTACCCCTTTAGTGAAATGATGACTGTTACCAGCACATTCACCTTTGTCAAAAGTGAAATAGGACTTGTCCATTTACCATACCAAGATTGTTTGACACCTTTAAGACACCATTACACAGCTTCAGAGAATGGTTTTTTGAGTAGCAAGCTCAATATTATTTAAAATAAAGTTTTTACAAAAATAATTTTTCTCAAAAGTTCCTCATATATTTTGGAGTAGGTTTTCACTTTTTGAGGGTTACTTGATCCAGTGAATGTATCAGTGTGAAATTTTGAACTTTCTTCCTAATTATCTAATATTTATTCTTTTCCCAATGACTTTTTCCTCCAATTGGTTCCTCTTCTCATTGTTCTTTCTTCAAATTTCCTTTGCTTTATGCTTGAAATGATGCTTTATACTGTATGCTATGGAATTCTCAATTCAGAGAAATGTTAACTGTATAAGATTTCTCGGTTTTGTGAATTTTAGTATAAAATCTGCCAGTTATATTTCTATGATCAAATTCATTTAATCCTTCTATTCTTAAAGTGGAAAAGTATTTACATTAACTTTTTCAATAAATGGAATCAAGAACATTCTAGAAAGAATGTATGCTTTTTTATGCACATGTACAATTATTCAAAATTACTTTAAAATGCTGTTGAAATTTATGTAAATTTTTAGGATACATGCCTATACTTTTGTTTTGTACCATACTCAATTTAGTGCCAGTTTTAGAGGATCCAAATGAGTTTAGATCGGAGTTTGAATGTACAAGAGTTATTGCTATTCATTTCTGCTGACTTTGTTTTAAACCAAAAATGGTTATACAGTAGAGCATCGATTATCCGACCCCCGATTAACCGTCACATCGGTTAACTGACCGTTCTAGTCAGCAAATTTCAAATGTCCGATAGTGATGTGGCACTACAATATTTGGCTATGTCTTGGCTACTTTAATATTATTTTTGTTAAATTTTTGCGTGTTTTAGCTGGCAACACCAGCTCAACCATTGAAGGAAGGCCTTAGTTTTCTAATTATGAGTGGTTGTTTGTTTTGTGAGCAATAAAATAATTTAAAAATAATTTTTAACAATACAATAGCGATGATTATTATTTAAAAAAAAATTTGTTAGGCTAAACATTGATGAAAATTCAACGCGAAGTTGGTTAATAGCGATATACTAATATACTAATTACATGGGATATACTAATATACTATACTAATAATGTATTTTTTCATTCTTTTTGGTTATCCGATTTTTCCAGTTATCCGACCAACCTGAGTCCCCAATTGAGTCAGATAATTGATGCTCTACTGTAGTTTCTTTTAGTATTCTTATTTGATATAATTTCTTTTATTAAGTTTAATCATAGATCATTTACAGTTTTGTTCTGTTGTAACAACTATTTTAATCTATCTATAAATAATCCTTGAAAAATACATTATGCATGTTTTCTTATTATATACAGTTTGACTAAAGGGACCACAAGATGGGGTTATCAGTTTCATCATAGATGATGAGGTAATCGGTGATAATGGAGTTCATTTTCTTAAATGCAGTAAAAAATGGAGTTTCCATTTATGATTCTACATCAAAAACAAACTTTAATCTAAAACATATTTCCAAAGATGTACTTATCAGAAGTTATGATCATTTGAACTTTCATACAGAAATCACACTAGTAAAAAGTCATTATGAAACCTATTATTATTTGATGGAATCATTCTTTTTCTTCAAGTACTAAACCGATACAAACATGTGCCACAGCTTGAGGTCATGACAAATTTACATAATATTTTCTCATTTGCCATAGAAGAAAACTGTGACAGCACTCATATTCAACAAATATGTGTAGTCTTCAACCAATATTCGGCGTGAAAATTTCAAACTAATATTGGCAAACGCTTTCGATGCCCCTCCTGAGCTCTTCTTCAGGCCAAATTTAATGTACTGGATTCTTAAATTGAATATTTTTAAATAAGAACGTGCTCTGTTACTAGAAGTTCAAATAAGGAAGGTAATCACGTGCCTTTCCGAATTATAATTTCTTTATAATTTATATTTGTGGGGATATGTTGTGCGCATTTTATAATAATCTCGTGTATTTTATAATCACGTGCCGTTTCTAAAAATAATTTTAACTAGTGGATATACGGATGTGCACATTGTATATCCACTAGTTAAAATTATTTTTAGAAACGGCACGTGATTATAAAATACGCGAGATTATTATAAGATGCGCACAACATATCTCCACGAATATAAATTACAGTAGAGCGTTCATTTATCCAAAAGCATTCCAGTTGGCAAATTTAAATTTTCGCTAGTGCTGTGGCGCTGCAATCTTCGGCTATTTCTTGGGCTACTCAATTATTTTACGTTTTTGATACTAAATTAACTTCTGAAGTATAATTTTTTATTGTTTTTATATTTTTCAATAAATTTATTTTGTTTGTACAAAATAAAAGAATAATTTTTAACGATACAATAGTCTTCGTTAGGCTTAACATCGACGAAAATTCAACGCAAAGCGACACGCAACGGAGAGAAATTTCAACATGGGATAAATTAATATATTTTTTCGTACATGATTCGTTATCCGAACCACCCCAGTCTCCAATTGATTCGGATAAACGAAGCTCTACTGTATAAAGAAATTATAATTCGGAAAGGCACGTGATTACCTTCCTTATTTGAACTTCTAGTAACAGAGCACGTTCTTATTTAAAAATATTTGATTTAAGAATCCAGTACATTAAATTTGGCCTGAAGAAGAGCCCAGGAGGGGCATCGAAAGCGTTTGCCAATATTAGTTTGGAATTTTCACGCTGAATATTAGTTGAAGACTACACATATTTGTTGTATATGACCCGGTGTGGGAGAAATCCTTGAGCACTCATATTAATTAAGAATTCTGTTAAAAGTTTAATAACTTCCTAATTTTTTCTTTTTCAAAGAACTTCACAGACACATGTGCAATGTGGTGACTGTATGAAAGTTTAAATGTTTCATAACTTCTGATAAGTGTATTTTTCAAAAAAAAAAAAATGTTTTAAATAAAAGTTTGTGTTTTTGATGTAAAATCATAAATGCAATAAAAAAATGGCGATTCCCATTTAAGAAAATGAAGTTGATCTTGTTTTCACTGTATTGCCATTTATGATGAAACCAATACGCCATCTTGTAGTTCCTTAAAGTCTAACATTTCTGATTCAATGATTTTTTCCTCAGGTAGTAGGCATATTTATCAGTTATTCTAGTGAATTAATTAAAATAACCCACCCTGTATATGTAGAAATTTGTTCCTGCTGAACAAAAATGCAATAAAATAATTCTAGTTTTACAGTTATTTATATTTTGTATTGAATTAAATTATTTGTGAAAAAAATGGCAATGCAATTTCTCTTCATTTTTGTCCAAACTAATCATTAAATTTAATAAAAATATATAACAGAGACTAAAAATGTCTTTACTTTTTGCCATGTCCAATCATCACAAACAACTATCTTCCACAGCAGAGACAACCTTTCTTTAGAGACTACACCTCTGCAACATGGACATGGCTAAAAGTGAAGACATTTTTAGTCTCTGTTACATATTTTTATTAAATTGTAAAATTACCCAAGAACTACTGGATTATATTGAACTATTGGGTTGTTCAGAAAGTAATTTCATTTTTTTTTACCACTAGACGGATTAGTCATATTTTTCCCGCCATTTTCATTCTAAACCGTATTATCATATATTTTGACAGCTAGCATTTTAAGGCTTATTTGTAAAAAATTTTGTTTGATTTTGTGCAATTGTTTATTTTTTGTGTTTCATCAAATATGGAAGATCAAAAGCAGCATTTTTGGCATATTTTGCTCTTTTATTACTGAAAAGGTAAGAATGCCATTCAGGTGAGAAAAAAATTGTGTGACGTGTATAGATAAGATTTATTGATAGAACAACAGTGCCAAACTGGTTTACAAAATTTCGTTCTGGCAATTTCAATATTGAAGATGCACCATGTTCTGGATGGCCAGTTGAAGCCAATGAAAACAAAATAAAGGTACTGATTGAAGTAAACTGCCGAATAACAACATGTGAAATCATTAAGAGATTAAATTTGTCAAATTAACTGTTTATGATTACTTGAAACAAATTGGTTTCATTTCAAAGCTCGATATATGGGTTCCGCATGTTCTTAAAGAGAGATAGATGTTCTCTTTGGTGGGATTTTAAGGAAATTTTTTTTTTGGAGCTTTTACCAGACAATTTAACAATTGATTCGAAAGTGTACTGCCATCGAGTAAACAAATTGAGTAATATCATTAAACAGAAAAGACGCCAGAATTGATCAACAAAACAGGTGTAGTGTCTTTACCATGATAATGTCAAATTTCACACAAGTTGGTAACTTGTCAGAAACTGTTATAACTTAGATGGGATGTGCTATCGCACCAACCATATTTGCCAGATTGAGCACACTCAGATTATTACTTGTTCCTGTCTATACAAATTTTTTTTAACTGTAACTGTATTTTACTTGAAATGACACTGTCAAAAATCGCTTGGATCAGTTTTTTGTAAGCAACGATCAAAACTTTTATGAATGTGAAATCATGCTACTACCAGAAACGATGACAACAGGTATTTGACCAAAATGGTTGATATATAATTCAATAAAAAATTTATTTATAAAAATATTGTGTTTTTTTCCACAGAAAAAAACGAACTTACTTTCCGAACAACCCAATATTATATCGCGATATAATAGCCTGATATAATCTGATAGTTGTTGGCTTCAAATTTTGCTTATATTCTGAAATAATATTTAAACTTTATTATTAAATACTAATGTTTGTTTTTTAATGATGGTGAAATAGTTTATGATAAGGGAGACTAATAATAATCATTTTTAAATATATTTTATTCATCTTTGTCAGTTTGTGCTCATGTTTTGTAATAAAATTTTCTTAATTGTTTTAGAATGCTGAATTTGATTTCTATGATAAGTATATACAAGATATTCTCATGCCGCAGAGCCGAGAAAAATTACTGTCATTAATTCAGTGTCCAGATGTTGCTCATTCTTTACAGGTAAAACTTCAATTTTATGTTATTCTGCTAAGATTAATTTATGTAAAAGTTTTAATATTTTACAATATGCAATTTATAATAATAATAAAATTAATAGCAAGTTAACATCATATGGATAAAAAAATAATCAATTTTATTTGAGATTATTTTATGTTTTATAACTATTTAAATCATTCAAATATTAGAAATTATATTTTTCTTAGTATAATGAACTTAAAAACCCGTACTCCAGACATAGATAACTTTCCTGAATAAATTACAATATGGTCATACCAATATATAAAAATAAAGGGTCTAAAAGTGACATAGAAAATTATTGTCCAATTATCATCATCCCTGTGCTAGTAAAAATAATAGAGAAAATTTTCTATAAAAAACTTTAGAAATACATTAAATAACATCCTCTGCAAACTAACTGATTACATGAGCTCATATGTTAAAATTAAATGAGAACAAAACAAAATATCTGTACTTTGTAAATAAAAATAAAAACATTGACAAGGAACAACTTCAAATAATAATAAATGAAAAGAAGATAGAAAGAATTAACTGCATAAAATATCTTGGAGTTTTAATAGATGATAAACTCAGATAAGACAGACATATCGAAAATTTAACAAAAACTGTTGCTAAGTTTACTGGCATAATCAGAAAAATACAGGATTTTCTAAACAAAAATACGATAAAATGACTATCATATCTGTACAGAACAGAAAATTCAATATGGAATAACTATACAGTGATACCTCAGGATAAGAACGCCCCAGCATACAAAATTTTCAGGATACGACACGAAATTCGAACATATTTTTGCTCCACGATACAAACAAAAACTCGCCATACGATGTTACATTAGTTTGCAGCACCATTTTTTATTCACTTCTGTTCATCAGTCTCAGTCTGCGCGTTTGCTTCGTCGTGGAAGGATCTCGCTCGATAAAGGAAATCTCGAGGTATTATCAGAAAGTGACTGATTTTATTGAAAAGAAACACCCTGAAAAGGTTCACACTGGCCGTATTGCTGCTCAGAGTAACGACATTTGCCTAAGTCATTTTAGAAACATTTTAAAAAGTAGTCAAAGCCAAACCTCTTTGGATAGATATTTTACCAAGCGACCTCTACCCAGTGAAAGTGCTGGTGGAAGTGAAGGAAAGAAAGCAAAAACCAGTGAATAAAAATTTTAAAAAATATATATAAAATAACAATAATTTTTTAATCTTTTCTAAGTTATTTTTAAGTTATTGTTACATTATGTTATTTAAGTTAAGTTTTAGTATTATTTCTCTTCTCCCTCTCTTCCCCCACCAGTTTACACCTCCATGGTCGTCTATACTCAAAGGTAAAGTGCAAATAAAACTACATTTTTTTAATCAATTATTATTCTATTATGGTTATTTATACATTTACAACTAGAAAATGCATTTTTCAGTGTTTTCCTTACAATAGTTTTTTTTTTATGTACTACTTAGCTTTAATTTGAATGTGTTTTTCGTGTTGGAACGAATTATTTGGTTTTACGTATAATCGTATGGGGAAAAATGATTTGCCTTACGACATTTTCATGATGCGATCTCAGTTTCGGAATGAATTAATTTTGTATCCTGAGGTACCACTGTATGGAGAATTGGATCAGACTATATTGCTAACTGTCTGCAAATACAACAAAATCATCTAATGAGAGCCATTTTCAAATTAAACTACTAGAAATAAACTTCCTATTGTTATCAACAAGAAAAAATCAACAACATAAAAACTTTATGTGCAAGCAAACTGTACTTCTCTCCTTTGAATTTATAAAGCTTAAAACACATAACAGTTTTCTTCTAAACATTATTGAAAATTATTGCAGGAAGGAAAACTGCCATTGTCTAAACCATAACTTCTTAAAACCCTCAACAAAATTTTCAGTTGAACAAACTGCCCCAGTCTTTCAAATGATAAAATACTGGAACTTATTATATAAAGATTTTCAAGAGATGACTAAGAAGAAGAAATTCAACTTAAACATAAGAAAAAACCCCCTCAGCCAGATCTTTGAAGTAAAAACATTTTAATTGAAAAACCAACGATTCTGCAGATCAAAAACTTTTTCCTGCATACTTAAAATTTAAAAAAAATAAAATGATAATTGATATACACCAAAAAAAGAGGAAAAATGTAGGAAGAGGGGAATTAAATTTCTGAAGGGATTTTGACTACAATGAATAAATTAAGCTTAACTGTTTTAGTGCAGTGAAATTTTTTCTTAACTTTTAATGATTTTCATATGCTTTTTATTCCTCTGCTGTTTGTTTTTTGTATTTTTGTGGCACTTGAAAAAGGCCAAATGGCCACAGTGTCTTTTGAGATTAAAGATTATAAATAAGATATTATGTAGTAGCTACTGAGTTTTACAATGGAAATTATTAACTGGAATATGATTTTGCATTGTTAAATTTTGAATTTAAATTTTCCGTGAATTTTAAACTCTATCATATATTACTTATCATGATGATAAATTTACATGCTGTGTTGTAATTTTTCCAATGTTATTTATTTTGTGTATTGTATTTAAAATGCATAAATGTACTAAAATATGTGAACATAATTGTTTAACTGATTTTTTATTTTAATTTAGTTACATTACAGAAGTAAAATAAGAATAATACAAATTATATTTAGTTGTTATATAAAAATATTTTTTCATCTTAATCTCTAAATAATAATTTAAATTTAAATCATATTAAGTATATTTAATTCTGTGCTATAAGTGGTAAAAAAGATGATAATTTCATTCATATTATGGAAATATTTAAAATTAATTTATTTTCTAAAAGATCACACAATAACGGTTTACTAACCTTATGGTAGAAAAATATCATATCTGCTCCTTGAAATTATTATATGGCCATCTTGATCTGTAACACTTAAACCCTCTATTTGTAGAAATAGTAACTAGATTCCCTGGAATGTCTTTAATTTTTCATCCACAACCCATTCTTACAATAAAAAATTTTTAGACCCCATTTTACAATGAAGTTTTCAATACCCCTGTATAATATATGGTGCAAAACAAATTTCATTGAATGGGCATAATCTAAATTTATGTTTTTTAAAATGAAATTTTAGCATATGATATATTATAACTAGGGTGGCCAAGCTCCTTGATAGTCCGAGTTATTTTTCAAAATTTGAAATTTTTTGCGAGCCGCAATTAAATACGTATTAAAAAGGTATGCAAAAAATTCCGGAATACAAATTATATCCGTAGCAAGAGTGATACCAATTGTTTCCTCCAGAGCACAATGTCAACTGTCCGTTGCAATGACAGTTTACAAATTCAAAATCAATCTGGAGTCGGTCGATAACGGACGATTACGCCACTGTTTATGTTCGTTCGCGCAGTTTTCAATGAGTCATATCATTCTTAACTTGGACGGAAATGAAATTTGTTGCACTTAGTCTTTCATATTTGTTGTTAGTAATTTAAAAGACATTTTGAAACACATATGGAACGATAATCATTTTTTAAAATATAATAACACAAAAATGAAAAGGGAACTTGGGTACATCTATCGAGAGCCACAAATAATTCTTCAAAGAGCCGCATGTGGCTCGCGAGCTGCAGGTTGGCCACCCCTGTATTATAAATATGTAATATAGTCCTTTCTTTATATACTTATTTCACATGCATAAACCTTAGTTTTTAAAAAATTTTGTGACTGTCTAAAAGTTTTAGTCCACCCCTCAAGTGGCGTGTTCCTCTACTTTAAGAAATGCTGCCTTGTGTTAAAAAAGCCTCAGTTCTGGACAGCTCACTAGATGGTAATAACTCTGTAATAAAATGTATTAATGTAGTACCTATATTTTGTGCAATGAACTTGAGTATAATGGCATTTTGACAGAATGTTTATTCATGAAAATTTTCTTTGCACATCAATTTGATCATTTTATCTGTAGGTCTAAAAATATAGCAGTTAGCAATCTTAAAAAGTATGCGAAAGGTGTGTCTTATAATCAAGAACAGACAGTAGTAATCAGACTAAATGAAATCTTCTGAAAATTTAATAGCCCTCTAGCAGAGAAAAAAAGACACAAAATATCAATAAGAAGGTGATATGTACAAAAATGGTGATTGTGAATTGGATCTTTTTTAATAATTAATGATTATTTTGGGAGTAAGGTCAACTACTATAATTATCATACAGATGGAAACCCTGCACAAGAACCAAATATAATATCATCTTTATGAAAGTATTAATATTAATTAAAGATTGTTGTTTTATTAATTTTTCATGTGATATTGTTTTAACAGATTTTTACAAAGTAAAATGTATTTATTAACCAAAGTTCTGTAATCTTTAGACTGCTGGTCATGGCTTTACATTGGCCGTAAAGTATGTTCTTCCAAAATTACTATTAGGTCCTGTTTTTCATTGCTTTCAGTACTTTGAGTATATAAAGGTAAATATTGGTTTTAAATCTTTTATGTAAAACGATAAAAATATTGTTGTTTACATATTGTACAATGTAATAATTTATGTTATATAGTTAAAAAACAAATATAATAACAGTATTTATAGAAAAAAGTTTATTTGAGAAAAATTTATATTGTGGTTTCAGTAAATTTTTACATATTTATCAATTATACTTTATAACAGTTATTAAAAAAATTAAGCCCTTCTGAAGAAGACAGAGAAAGTTTAGAGCAAGCAGAAGGTCTTTTACAGCCATTAAAATCTGAATTAGAAAGAATATGTAGTGGAACTTTATTAAAAAGAAAACCTGGGTGAATATTAAAATAAAAGTATATTTGAGATTAAAATAATTTATTCATACAAACTTATTTTATTATTATCTAATTGTAGGGAGGCATTTCTAAGAATGCATGGCCGTACAAATAGACAAGCTGCATTACAAAAAATGAATGAATTACAAAAAAGCATAGACGGTTGGGAAGGAAAGGATATTGGGCAATGTTGCAATGAATTTATAATGGGTTAGAAATTTTATTTAAATATTTTAGTTTTTAAAAATTTTTTAATTGTTTTATGGTAATAATTTGTTATGATTGTCATTTCATCTATTATTGAAATAGATGGCATATTAGGCAAGGTGGGATCTGGTGGTAGAAGACAGTCTGAACGACATGTTTTTCTTTTTGATGGTCTAATGATTTTATGTAAACCTAACAACAAGCGATCTAGTGTTACAGGCCCAATGGCAGAATATCGACTCAAAGAAAGATACTTTCTTAGAAAAATTGAAATTATCGACAGAGATGATGCTGAAGGTAAATATCCATGAAAATATTAAAATCTGTTTTTGTGTTGTTATTAACTTCGTATTGCATTTGCACTATCAGTTTTACTGTTGTACTGGACCAAAGTCAAAGCATAGCTATTTAAACAACTGTCATTTTGTTTTTGTTTTATCTAAATTTAAAAAGTTTCTCTCATTATGTGACATATTTAATATTACTGTTATCTGTAGTGTCTTGAGATATTAGAGTTTGATAACATTTACAACACATAATGAATGTCTTCTGTATATGTTGTATTGTGCGTGATGACTCCTGTAAAAGAATGAACTACAGCACAATTATATGTAGGCTACTTTATTTTTCACAAGCATTGCATGGCATCAGTCTTTTATCTTGTAACCTTTAAGATAAGGATATTGTTTTTGAAAGTTTATTATGTAATCAATGTTTTTATAACTTTAAAATTCTGTATGTTTCAAGTTTTGTGATTATATAATAGAGAGGTTGTGGCCAACGTTTTCAGCCCAAAACGTGAACGTCGGACATCGAGCACCTCATCTGGCAATTCTAGAAGGTTGATAATGGCATTTGCTACATCTAGCATGGCAAATAGAAGTTTGGGCGAGTTGTGTTTGGGGTTAAAATTATGGCATATTTTATTAAAATAATGATTATTTAAGCATTTATGAAGAATATTGTAAAGAAGCAGGCAATTTTAATCTAGAAATTATTTAATTATTCAATTCTTTTGCAAGTGATGTGAAGTGCATATAGAATTTACATACATTTCTGTTCATAATAGCTTATCATAATTCTGTAGGAATAGGTTTGTTCTTTCACAGCATCTACCATCAACAGCATATGTTTATAAATTTTCTAAAAATAATTTTCCGAGCTGCTTTTGGATTTACATAAGCCACTATTTCCCTCAACAAAAGTATGAGGTAGTCCTATCATATGGTAGGAGACATGATGCTAATTAAAAGTAATTATTTAGTGTTATTAAACCTCTTATAAATACTTTAAAATAGTTTAATTTGTTTATTTACCTTTGCTGGTAACATTTGTTGTTGTTAAACATTTCTGCCATTTTTCAACAATATCCCATGAGTCAGTGCATGACATGAATGTGTGGTGCAATGTGTTTTACTTGGAGTTCAAATGTCAAACATGTACTTCTGCTTGCCATACAAGTTTAATGTTTGAACTTCGGCCACAACCTCTCTAATGAATATAAATATGACATTAATTCTGTCCTCTTAGTCCTTGGCATAGTTTTTCAGCATTGAAGATCTAGAGTTCTTTTCCAGTGAAACACTAGTTGGGTTTGGACCATGGTTCCAGTTGATTTCTCATAATCATTAAATACATTGCAGTAACTTTTCTTCAGACAGTGTTTAAGTACAAGCTTTGTTGATGCATATGATATCTGAGTTAATACCAGTAATATATCAGGGACAGATGTTAGTTTCTTACTGTTTTTTCCACATAGATAATATACTTTTACATCATTTACAGTTCAAGTTTGTTAAATATCCACGTATGCAGGATGAAATGTTTTAATAGGTTATGTATAATGATAACATATGGGTGATCACACCAGGAGCTTATGCTTCTGTTGGCATTGCTTTAAGATTTAGTGAAACGTGCTAGAAGAGAAAGCTCAGTAATTAAGTGTTGTTGTTTCTTACTTTTTTAATTAGTTCATTAAACAATAATTTGTTTTAAATCTTAAAAATCATTATTACTGTTTTAGAGATAAAGTGTGCCTTTGAAATTGCTCCCAGAGATCAACCTCATATTGTATTATTTGCAAAAACAGCAGAAGAAAAGAATAATTGGATGGCTAACTTGGTTATGTTAAATACTAGAAGGTAAGATTCTATAATTTACAGTTGCAGTGCTATGATTATTACACTGTATTTACAGTTATTTCTTACATGTTATGATTTTTTTCCCCTTACACTATCAAACTTCTTTATATTTTAGCATGTTAGAAAGAACATTAGATAGTATCTTGCTAGATGTAGAAAAGAAACATCCACTAAGGCTCCCTCCTCCAGATAAATATAGGTCTGTAAAATTCCAAGATTTATATAATTGATACATATTAATATATTGGAATAATAATTAAATTACTATTTTTGTAAATATTTTTATAGATTTGCTGTAGAGGATTCAGAAAGTAATATTATATTTGAAGAAGGAAAATCTAATGCTGGGGTACCATTAATAAAAGGTGCTACATTGGTAAAACTAGTAGAAAGATTAACTTATCATATGTATGCTGATCCCATGTTTGTTCGAACATTCCTCACGACATATCGATCTTTTTGTCAACCACAAGAACTATTAGATTTACTTATAGAAAGATATCCTTTTAAATTACTTAAATTTAATTAATTTAAACATTGTTTGTTTGTTTTCCTTAATTCATTTTGTACATTTGGTATACAAGAATCTTTCTTACCATCTGTTGTTCCTGATGGAACTGTTGGAGTTTTAGAACTTGAAAATTTAAGAAATGCACACAGAGAAGACCTCAAAAGATTTCGTAAAGAATATAGTCAACCAGTGCAATTTAGGTAAATCAGTATACAAAAATTTTGTGTATTGAATACTTTTTACTGACTTTCTCATAATATATTATAAATATTTATAACTTATATACATGCATGTACAAATATATTAAAATTTTTATCTGTATCAGAATACAAAATCAACTTAATGCTCTTTCCAGAAATTGAAATAGCTGGGTGGACCAAAGTAATATTGTGCATTATAAAAATTTTTTGTTTATATAGAAAAAGGGGTTATATTTACAAACTTGTTTCTGTAGTTTTTATTTCATATGGCTACCCTTACTATCCTTGGTAGTTTACATCCTCATATAGCCATACCATATTAATGGCCCTCTTTTTATTTCATCAATAATTGAATACTTTATGTTTGTTGCTTCTTTAAGTTTTTCATTTTTTATTTTGTGTGTGAATAATAATTTGCATAATCTTGTCAGTGCACCCATATCAACTGCACTTAACTATATTTCAGTTTTTTTTTGACATTCTCTACATTTTGGCTTCATATAATACATAATAAACTTCTTCCTATATTATTACATATATTTTGTTTTCTTTTTGAGATTTTGGCATTCCATTCTGCCTCTTAAATTGCCTTTTCTTGTTTTTCCTGTTTTCTCTTGCTCGGTTCTTCCTAAGTTGTGAAGACTATCTTGGCTTAAATTCCACATGTAAATATTTGTAATTACCACATACTGTAAATTCTAAATCTTCTATTTTTATACTACAGTAGAATCTCATTTTAACAGATCACTCAGGCTGTCGAAAATCATCCGTTGTTCTGAGTATGTGGGAAATCCATTGCAAACAACAGATTTTCCCATACCCAGGAAAATATCCATTAAAACTTCCATCAGTTAAAACTTCCATGTTTTAATCACCTACATATAAGAGTGCCAGTACTTGAAATTATTCAATCTCATCGAGATCTCTATTCTTTAGTTTATAGAAACATGTATGTTACAAGATCGCATAGCTCATTAGCACTTCACTCGATTTCATGATTTGTTAAAAAATTCATCCATCTTGATTTGTTTTGATACTGTTTTTCTGCCTATTAAATACAACAACTGCTTGATATTAATGTTAGGTACAGTATGTTCTTTTATGCTGAAACTCAAAAGGAAGATCTTCACAACTTAGAAAGATTTGATGGCTTTGCTAAATTTTGACACTACATTTGGACCAACATCAGAATGTTTACTAGGTGGTTTCTCCTCAATTGTATCAGCCTACTGATTCTTTTTGTACAACTCTTCAATTGTACTGTGTGTATCCCAGATGTAACAAGTGCATTGTCAAATTCTACAGATTTCTGGAAAAACCCAAATATTAACTAAGCATAGAAAAAAAACAAAGTTTACAATGGATGGGACTAGAAAAAAATCTGTTATTCCAAGTTACAGATCTGCTAAAATGAGGTAAAATTACATTGATTTGGTGGAACCTACAAAAAAAATCTGTTATTTCAAGAAATCCATTGTTTGGCAGTCCATTAAAAAAAGATTCTACTGTATATACTTCCCTCATACAAATAGTTTGTTTTTCCATTATATATATAGATAATTCCCATACACATTACATTGAAGTGTATTTGAAAGAGATTATGCAGAAGTAATTAACCATATATGCAAAGACTATAAGTAATTGTTGGTGTCTTCACTATCATGCTTATTAGTTTCTTAAAATAATTAAAGAATGTAATTATTCTGGCTTAACTTTAAACATAGTTTAGTAAATGCAAACTATATTTAAAGTTAAGCCAAAATTCTATTTAATGTCAAATCTGTTTTCCAAAAACTTAGATGGATATTAGTCTGGACAATTATTGGTGCCAGTGAAATGATATTAATATTCCAAATTGATGGTAGTATGATTACAAATTGAAATTAGTCTCTGACTGTGAAGGAATTCTGTTGTAAGTCAAACATAAAAAATAATGGCAAAAATTGGAAAACAGTTCCAAACATTGCACATAAGTTTATATATTATAATCAGTTACTGGGCGTAATACAATACAGCAATGACGTTTAGTGTATGGACCTTCAAAATTTAATATTTAATTAATTAATTGGTATTTTTATTAACAAAGATTCACAGAAACACAGATGGTTAAGCACCTTCAAGGAACTATATTAAGGGAATATGTTTTATACAAAGATTATAAAACTAAAAATATATCAAAGAAACTTAAGTTTGTCTTCACATCTCTGTTTGTTCCTAATGATTGTACATGACAGTCTTCCATTACAGAGACAATCTTTTATTAGAACATTTATTAACATTTTATTTTTCTGTTTCACATATTTTCATTAGAGGCATAGCCTCTAATGAAAATATGTTAATATATATAAATTGTTCTGTTTCACATATTTTCATTAGAGGCATAGCCTCTAATGAAAATATGTGAAACAGTTTTAAAATGGCTCTGATGATAATGCCAAAAATTAAAAATAAATTGTTTTGATTAAAATTTGTCTTCACATCTCATGACAGTTTCTTTAATATATTTTTAATGTATAAAATACTGTTAGTCATTTTAATCACAGATATAAGGTTAAGAATAAAAATAAAATTAGTTTATATATAGTTTATTTAACCATATTAAAAGTAGAATGATTATATGAATCAAACAACTCTGCTGAAAGTTATTTATGTTTTCAATTTTTTTCAAAGTGATGCAAATCCAAATGATAGTACAGTAAACTCTCGTATAATGCAATGAAAAAATTGTGACTAGTATTCATACAAAATTCTAATATTCATCTAGACATATATCTTTTCTTCTTCAACTTTTAGGTCTAGGTTTAAACTTGCATAATAACATCTGATAATGCATGTCTCCATAACATGATTTCCTATAATGCAGAACTTATTCTCTGTGTTGTATGGGATTCTGCTGTAAAATGTGAATATGTCAGTTAATTTGTATATAGTTATTCTCCATTATGGTATTACATTTAACATTTAATAATTGTACTGTGTTATTAGTGAATGCAATTGTTTATTTGTATTCAAAGAAAATGTTGTTTTATTACATTAGTTTTGGCCATTGTAAGTAGAGGGCTGAATGTATTCATTTGTTATATATTGTCTTATGCTTTAAGCATGATGATTTATAATCTTTTGTGCATCTTTTTGAAACTTGAATGTGTTGCTCACTTGCCAAATCCATTAACTTCATAAAACAAAAAGTGGTGAAAAGTGACAAAATAATATACACTCATTTTTAAAATTCCTTTTAAAATATAAATTCAAATAAAAATCGTAAAATGTATTATTGTAGATGTAGCTTTTATTTAACGATGTATAAAATGTATAAGCTAGCATAGATATGCTATAATCGTTATTATTATGATTTTGGTGTAATTGAGGGAGTTAATCGATTTGGCAAGTGAAAAATGTAATAACATCAAATTTAGTTTTAACGCAGTTTTTATTATAGAGAAACTTCATTATCGTACATTTTTTATTAAAGATTTTTTGCAAAAATGAATAATAATTGTTCTGCTAGTGTTGCAATGGTTGTCATTATTATTTTGTTTAAATTGGTTATTCAGCAACATAAGTGATGTCTTCTTCATCAGCTGTATTTGAGCTCCCATCATGTCGATTTGTTCTTAAATTTTTATAAGAATCATGTTTAATAGGAAAAATGAAAAAATTATTTTTAGTCTCATCCATCATGATATAACAGTATATGTAACTTTGTTTTAATTTTTGTGGCAATTGTTTTTAGAAAAAAAAATTTTTTAATATTCCACAAGTATACTTACTTCTGTGGCAGTTGGACTGTAACTAACTAATTTCTTGTACTTTTAGTGATGAGATAACATTAAATATTTTACCATTATCTACAAAGCATTGGTCAGTGCACACTGCAGTTGCAATGCTGAAGTGTGCACTGGTGGATTTACGTTACAGTATGGGGTGCATTCTTTTATTCCTTCGCGTAACTTCGCGCGAGCGACATCCGTTTAAAAATTCCTGCAGAACGCGTTCCTAAATTCTGGTCGGAGTGCGTGCCGTCGAACGGCAAAAACGGCCGTTTGTAGCAGTAGTTTGCGGAAAGCAACATGGCGTCCTCCATGGCTCAGATAGTTTCGTTTCGAGGTACATTATGTGGTTTTATGAATGAAAATTTAGAAGTTGTGAAAGCGCAAGTTAGTGCACACAGTGATGTAAGTGTCTTTTCGAATTTTTTTTCGGATGGTAGCCGGCATTCTAATTTTTTTTCGTGGCTGTTTTGGATGCTCTTTCAATAAATAATCCATTTTATGGTTAAATTTTACAATTGGGATTCTTCTTTTGCCTTTAAAAGCTCATATTTTAGAATTATAGATTCCTCAATCACGAGACTATCGATAGTGCGAGCGCCACCATGTTTTTTTCTTTCACCATCGTTCCTAAATGCCTACAAACAGCAGCGCACTCCTGTAGTAGCGGAGACGCAGAGCGACCGCTATTAACGAACACACCCATGGATTGGCTTCTGAAATAAATAAAATTTATTTTGATGGCCAATAAAATTTTTCCATTACATGGTATTAATCCTTATTATTAGGGAAACTTTTTATAAATATAAAAAATTACGTGTATATCAAGTGCTTTTAGAAACTAAAATTTAAAAAATTTGAAATGTCGAGTTAATCGATCTGGCTTGTGAATGGCTCAAATATCAATGGATATTGAAAAGGTTTTCTAATTTAATAGCACATTCACATTTCTTTGTAAGCAATCATCATTTCATTTTGTTATATCTTCCATATTGATTTATACATGTTACAACCATCCTCATTTTCTATTGGGTTTGGACTTCTCATTTTTGCTTACAATAATAGAAGTTAAAATGTTTTTTAATTTAATTTTCTGGATCCTTTCTATGTTACAGAGGTGAAAAGTATTTGATTTTTGTTTTCTCATTATTTTTCAGAGCTTTACAATTTATGAGAGTCATTATTTTGACATGTCACTTCACCAGATTAACTAGTTGGGCAGTCAGTAAAATTAGCCAGGAAGTTAGCATCCAACAAAAAGGGTTTGGGGAGAACATTGTAAACTATATCAAGAGATAAAATTCAATGTTGCAATTTTTTAAATGAAATTGCTATTTCTTTTAAATTAGAAAATTGTGTATGGTCTACTTTGGGCTTAAGCCCTTAAATGATGTGTTCAAAAGTCTCTGAAGTTAATTTCTCACCCAAAAGCAATGATCTTATTCAAATACATTTTGATGTTTCCACTTTCATCAGATCAGATAGTATTAATAGGTGATGTTCAACTTATTTTTCTGCATGGCATATCTGACGTAACTGATAATTTGTTTCTGATAATATTGCTTTGTGATTCATTGGAATTATTGAGCTCTTTCATCTGAAGATGATAACTAGTGAGAGAAATTGTGATGGATAGATATAATGTAATATAAACACCCATTATAGAAATTTAAAAAAATACAAAAGTGAACTTTTTAATGAATGTGTGATACATCGAAGTTGATTTTTAATAGAAGTAAATAATTTACACAGAATAATTAGACTGAAACAGTAATATCAATCTCTATAACATTTAAAAATATCCAAACATATTTTTTTAACTAAATAAATTTAGAAATAGTCTGTTATCTAACAGTAAAGAGAATTTAAAATAGAGGAAGTATGTATTAATCAGATTGTACTGCTACTGCAATTGTTTCTTTGAGGTAATTTGAAGATAATCATAAATAGAATAAAATATAATATTAATTATGTCTAAATAATTTTAATTAAGTTATCAAACAGAATTAGAGAGACTTAATTTTTTTGTATTAAATACAAAACTTTCTTTACAGAGTATTAAATGTTTTGAGGCATTGGGTAGACCATCATTACTATGATTTTGAAAGAGATCCACAACTGCTTGTAAATCTTCGAAACTTTCTAGACACTGTGAAGAGTAAAAATATGAGAAAATGGGTAGAATCCATTAATAAAGTCATTTTACGTAGAGTAAGTCTTTACTTTTAATAACTCATTGGATAATTTTATTGAAATATTTTAAAAGATCTGACAACAAAAAAGAACAAATTATTAAATTATAGAAATTTACTCTTTATTTTAGAGTGAATGTGTTGAAGAACCAAGAGAGTTTACATTTAGCTATGAGAAGACGCCTCCTCAAATTGAATGGCATTTGAGTAATTCTCCTGAAAAATTTGACCTCTTGACAGTAAGTTCATTTAGTCATTAGCTCTGTGTAAAAGCAAATTTTTGTGTCCCTTGCCTGGAACCAGTTGTTTATATTTTGTTATAAATGTCATTTCTCATTGGACTATGTGCTTTTGTTAATGTTACCATGACTATAGCTTGCATGATACAATAAGAAGAATTACTTTAAGTAACTTTCCAAACTTACCTTAAAACCTTTTAGCTCACTTTTAGTAGCTTTCAAAATATTTTAAAGTGTTAGTTATATTTTTGAATGTATGATCAATATTAATAAAAAAAATTAAAAATAAAATTGATATTTTAAAGACTAGCATAATAACTATATTTTAAAACAAAATTTACAGTAGAACCTCGATTATCCGCCCTAATTGGGGACTGGGGTTGGTCGGATAATTGAAAAGTCGGATAACCGAAAAGTATGAAAAAATCCATTATTAGTGTAGTATATTATTATATCCCTTGTAATTAGTATATTAGTATATCGCTATTAACCTATTTTGCGTTGAATTTTCATCGATGTTAAGCCTAACAAAAATTTTTTAAAATAATAATTGTCGCTATTGTATCGTTAAAAATTAGAAAATTAAGCTTCGTTTAAATACTGGCTCCCTTTCATGGTCGAATGAGTGTTGCCAGCTAAAACATGTAAAAATAATATTAAAGTAGCCAAGACATAGCCAAATATTGTAGCGCCACATCACTAGCGGACATTTGAAATTTGCTGACTAGGACGGTCGGTTAACCGAGGGGTCGGTTGATCGGGGGTCGGATAATCGAGGTTCTACTGTATAATTGAGTTTAGGATAAACTATTCTGAAAATGTTAGATAATTAAGGAAAGAATACAATAATTAAACATATCTACAAAATAATAATTTAATAATAGTCAAATAAATTTCAAAACATTCAAAATATTGATTCTCTATTCATGTGAAAATTTTTTAAACCCTCTTCATCAAGATGATGATCTCGCTATCTGTTTAAATATGCTTACAAGACTTTTATAACAGGTGAGTCTTCCAAACCAGTCAGTCCTTATAACTAAAAGTTATTGGGGAATACATTGAACACAAACTCATTAAAACTAATAGGTGTATGGAAAAAATCTGCCCAAAATATCCCAGGCTCTAGCTAATAGCCAATAATTTTAAATTATACTACAGGTGCTATAATTTGAAAGTATGTGGAATGCCATAGAACATTGTAGAACCTTTTTCAATTGATTTTCTGCTTCTTTCAAAATGACAATGAAAGAAAATGCTTTTTTTTATGCCTGAGTGTACAAATTTTATACATTAATAAAGAACCAGGAAAAAGTTTACTGTAAAGCATTTTGCAAATGAAGGCATTTCAAAACACAATATGTTGCATTCTCCAATGTTTTTAGAATAGATTATAACTACAAAGAAGAAGAAGGGAGTCTGGTAGAAAAGTAAAAATTCTAATGAAAGCAAAAGATTGGAAAGATCGAAGAGGCCCTTTGAAGATAGCAACATAGTTTCAATTTAATCTGTAGCCCTGAATATTAAAATTTTATGTAGTTTGCTCCATGAATCTTTTAGTGTGTTATTTTGTTTTTAATATCAAAAGAAGCTGGTAATTCTGGACAGAAAGAACATTTAAAGACTGATGGCAAAATTCTCTGAAAAGTTCATTTTGGATGACTAATCTTTACTTCATCCTCTAGCAGTGTTTCTCAGTAGGGGTGATATCGCCCCATGTGGGCGTTTTTCCATGTTGAGGGGGCGATTAATAACAATTTATATTTTTGGGGGCGAAAAACAATTTTCTGGGCGATATAGTAAAAAATTATATTAATTTAATTTAAGAATAATTAGATATTTTATTTGTTATATCGTACAATAATTAAACAAATAACATTATACTAGTCACTAATCTATACAATGCAGTACAAATTTGGCATTAGCCTTGGCCCTGGGCATCGGAATTTTGAAGTGAAGGGGGCAACGATTCGTTAGAGGTTGAGAAACACTGCTCTAGCACTTGACAGTCAGTGGTAATAATGGCTTTTGTACCAGTGATAGTTCTTTACACTTGCTAATGTAATGTTTTCCAAGAAAAGAAATTAGAAGATAAAGGTTTGGTTTGGATTGCAATGGAACTAAAAGGATTGAGTCCTAATCAAAAAACCAAGTTTTACCATCAATGCCCAGTGATATTTAAATGAATGTATGAGACATTACTGATTCCTTATATTCTAAAGGAATAATCTCAAACAGAATATGTCTTATACCTAGATCCGGCAAGTTTCCATTATTCCAAAACTATACTACATTACCTGCAGCTAGAAAACATCACCTTTGTCAAAAGGTGACAAAGGTGTGTCACCTTTGTCTTTTTGACAAAGGAACGACACCACTATCTGCTAATTTGACAGAAATTAGATCAATTGAGAATTTTTGGGTAATTCTCAAGTCAGCTATTTACAAAAAAAAAAGGAAGGTAAAATCAGGAATCAGCTGATCAATCGTGTAAAGCAGTGTTTTTCAACCATCAATCCATGGACCAATGCCAGTCCACAAAAAATATACAACTGTACTACTGAAGCAGATGCACTTGATTACAGGTGATAGTTAAACAGAAATCTAGAGTTATTGAATGTATTTTGTTATGTACAGTAACTGTGTATGTGGGTACTTCAAAAAGTTTGTGGGAAAGTCTGTAACTAAAAATTGTTTGGAAGGATTTTGATTTCAATGCAACTGAACGTTCTTGTACCCACGTGTTATAACATGTTCAAACATAAACCCTTAAATGCAGGTAAGAACGCAGTGCCACCAGTTGAAAGTCAAGCGCCATTCAAGCAACATGGAATCCACCAAAATCGAGACCAGAACAAACAAAGTTCATGGTGAAACTTGGTTGGGAGAATAGGCAAATCATTGATGCTCTGAAACAAATTTATGGTGATAACGCTCCAAAGAAGTCGACAACCTTCAAATGATAAGTTGCTGAAAGGTACCAATTTTCCATCAGTTGAAGATGTAAAAAGAGCTGCTCTGACATGGTTCAGATCACAAGACCCTCAATTCTATTCAGACGAACTTAAAGGCTTGTATCAACGTTTGCAGAAGTGTATCGACCTTAATGGAGCATATGTTGAAAAATAAACATCATAACTGAAATCAATTTTTCATACTATCCGTTTTCCATTAACTTTTTGAAGCCCCCTTGTATAAGCATATGTAAGTTTAATAAATAAGCATAATTCGTTGTTGCATATAACTCGGCCTATGTGAAATCGTTATGATTTTACTGTCTGCAATGAGAAAAAGGATGAAAAACAATAGTATAAAGCACTGTTCAAAAATGTGAACCAAAATCTCATATAGAAACTTCACTGCATGCCTGAAGTCAAATCAACCATATTTGACAATGGGACTTGCAGAATTCCAAAAAAAAAAAAATTGTGTGCAGCTTTTTGTCACATTTCAATTGACAGTTCATAGACTTTTTTTGAAGGTAAAAAAACTATGTTGCATAAACTTATGTGAATTTTTTTTCAGATGCCCATTGATTATCAAGTGTTTCATAATCAAACAAAAACTTACCTTAAGATGATTTCATTAATTTTTTTTCTAGTTGCATCCTATTGAAATTGCCAGGCAGCTGACACTATTAGAATTTGACTTATATCGAGCTATAAAGCCATCAGAACTTGTGGGAAGCGTGTGGACCAAAAAAGATAAACACAAAACATCCCCAAATCTTTTAAAAATGATGCGACATTCATCATCGGTAACAATTACGAGGCATTTTTTTTTCTAAAGTAGTAGGTTTTATTTTAACATGTCTTTTATCATTACAGTTTAGCTTCTGGTTAATGAAATGTGTACTGGAAACAGAAAATGTAGAAGAAAGAGTAGCTGTCGTCTCTAGAATATTAGAAATTATGATTGTTCTTCAGGAACTTAATAATTTTAATGGAGTCGTGGAAGTAGTTGGTGCTATGAATTCAGCTAGTGTTCATCGTCTAGAACATACGCATAGTGTTTGTATTTTTATATTTATAATTTAGAAAAGAGAAACCAAAATTGATTTTGCTCGTCTTTCAAACAATGTTTGTTCAGTTAGAATTAAAGTTAAATTCTATCATTTTTATTTTAGGCAATCAAATACAGTTTAAAGAAAGCTTTGGAAGAAGCACAAGAGTTAAATTCGGATCATTTCAAGAAATATCAAGAAAAACTGAGATCGATCAATCCTCCTTGTGTGCCATTTTGTGGTATGTATGTTTTCATAAAATGAAAAATTAAATGTACATTGTTTTTCAGGACAGAGAACAATAATTATAATTCATTTAAAACTTTGAAGTATTTGAAATGAATAAATATTAAATTTCCAGATAAATTTTGAGATTATTGGTTTTATATCCAAAATTCTGTAAAGCATTCATCTATAAATGTCTTTTGAACGTGAATTATTGACATATAACATTTGCAGTTGGCGAAGCTCACAATCATTCTCCTATAATGTAATGTATCTATGTGTTCCTGAAAATTTCCATATTGTGGTGTTTTGCAGAAGAAAAAAAATAGTGTTTACAGGATTGGTAGATACAGAGACCTAAACATTTAAAACTCAATTAAGTTTTAAAACATTATTATTTCAAGCTTTGCCCTGGGATTCCAACCGGGATGCATATTCACATTTGCACTGCCACATTAAATACTCTAACCAGCACACAGACTGAAAAGAATGACATTTTACACTCAGAACATGCTTGAATGAAATGAAATATGTGTGTTGAGTATTTCTTTGTGGATCACTACTTTTGGCCCAGTGGCATGTTTTACATTAACATATTATTCCATAGCACCAAGCATAGTCTCTCAGAAAATCACATACAAGTTAACAGTTTTGTGCTTTTGTTTTCTTATTCATCTGACACATAAGAAACTGTACCTTTTTAATCGACCAATATATTTATTTATTTATTTTCTGTTTCTATAGGAATGTATTTAACAAATATCTTACACATCGAAGAGGGTAATCCCGACTTTTTGCCCAATTCTGAACTGATAAATTTCAGTAAAAGAAGGAGAGTGGCAGAGATTACAGGCGAAATTCAGCAGTATCAAAATCAACCATATTGCCTAACAGTTCAGAGCGACATCAGGGTATGTTCGTCAGTCATATAAATTGATTTTTAATTAAAATTATTATACAAGTAATGTTTTATTCTGTTTCAGCATTTTGTTGAAAATTTGGATCCTCTTGATGGAAGAACGGAAAAAGAATTTGAAGACTATTTGTACAGTAAATCGTTGGAAATTGAACCCAGAGGCTGCAAACCACCCAAATTTGTAAGAGAATTAAATTATAAAGCAACTAAAATAATTATTTCTTTTGACACGATGTAATCTGTTTCCATTTAGCCCCGAAAATGGCCAGATATTCCCTTAAAATCGCCAGGCATCAAAGCTAGATTATCCGGTCGCTCCGCTCATCATCCTCCGCCACTTCCGACGGATTTGCACAGTTTCAGCTTGAGTACTCAACAAATTAACCAGGACGAAGACGATAGTACATCTCCTTGCGTGACCACTCCTCCCACGCCTTCTACTCCTCTGACGCCTCCGCCACATTCGGCCACATCGTTAAACAGTGATCATAGTGTATTTGCGCATGTGATGATAGGAACAGGTAATCAGATGGGAGCTTGTAATAAATAGTTCTAATAAATAAATATGGGTTTGGAAATTTACTGAGTTATAATTTACATAGGAACATCGTCGATGCCAGCTGTCTCCACCAACAATACCGTGGGACCAACGAATAACATCGTGGTGCCACCGCCTCTACCGTTGCCTCCTTCAATACAGCCGCCACCTCTTCCACCCAGAAGAAAGAGGGAACTTTCCTTGGGCGACACTTCTCCGAAGACAAAACAGGCTCCGGACGCACCCCTGTTGCCTCCGCGAGAGACGAGTCCGCCTCCGCTCCCGCCGCGCAGGGACCCTGGCGGATCGGGAACTCTACCTCGTACGCATTCCTCATCTCACCTGACGTATCCACACCGACCTCCGTGCACCTGGAGTGGTCTTCCGGTGGACGCCACCCTGCCCCGTCGCAATTCGGCACTAGAGATGTCTCTTGCTCCTCCACCCGCGCCCAGGCGGCACTCTCAGACTCTGGCCAACGGGCCGTCGTCCTCCGCCGTGCACTCGACGGCACTTAACAGTTCTTCTGTGATAGAGACTTCCACTCCGGCCGCGGGACCCTCCACCTCTTCTGCCACTCGTCCTCTACAGATGGGCGGGGGTACACCGCAGTTACCTCCGAAGACATACAGACAGACGTTATTGATGAACAACCATACGGCTGCTAGATAGTTAATCATTTATTTTATTATTATGTATAGACAAAAAACTATTTCGGCCAAACGAGAGCCACGCTCCCGGCAGCAAAATGTAATGTAAATAGTGCAGAAGAGACCAGATCGTAGGGCAGCGAGAGAATTGGACTCAGCCGCCGACCCGCGAATTTCTTTTCCGAGTCGACGCGTTTCCCGCACGGGAATGACGGAAGGCATCTGTACAGAATTCGCTCCGACGACAGACCGGGGCCCGACACTGGACGTTAATCGAAACTTTCCCAAACTTGTATTTATTTCTTATTTTTACTATGATTTGTATAAACTGGGAAGAATGTAAAAGGCCCTCGTAAGAGATAATGGGAAAAATAAATTGTAGAAATTCGTAATTTTACGTTTAATATTTACATTCGTAAATAAAGGAAAGAAAAATTTTGATAAATGTTGGTAGTATTTTGTGCAAATGCGGATGGTACTTTGGCATCCTCAGTTGTCTGAGATCCACCAGGACAAATGCAAAAGACAATGCCGATCCTTCCCGGAACATAGACATTCCATTCTCCAATCCAATTTGCAAACTGTTGACATCCTAGTCGAGCTGGATGCAACCAGATAAAACTACGATATACCGGTTAGGGGTCAGTGCCCGTCCAATCGCTAGCAAGGTGGAGCTTTTCGGATTTTATTCACGCATCTAACATCTAAATAGGGGCTGGTTTTCCATAAGTGTTCTCTCAAGCATTCCCTTGGCACACCTAGCTGTTCTACTAATCAAACCTATTGTTAAAATTACAGCTAAGCAGAAAAAAGACTATTATTAAGTTTATTTGAAATTTTTCTAACTATGGTAAAACCCGTATAAAGCAGAATTTCACAGTACCAGATTTCATTCCCGCTTTGACAGGTTTCCATTTGGATGGGTTTTACCATATATTATTGTCATCTTTAATTCTTTTGTAAAATTTCCAAATCTCGATGACTAAAGCGGGTTTATCTTTAATCTGTTTACATTTCATCTGGGTACTGCCTGATCCAAACAAAATAATTTTTCGTAGGCCTATACATTAACTGTGTTATTTTGAGACTGCGTAGATTGGCAATTCCCAAAGTGGGTGTCCAGACCACTTTTGAGAAAGTGTGTGCCCACTTTGTGGTCATCTGGGCACTCTTCAAGACGAGAGGACAAAATTAACTTCAAAAAATATTTGTATATAGGTTACCGTAAATTAGAAATACACGAACTAAAAGGGGGTGGTGCAAAAAGTTTGGGTAATACCAAGTTAAATGATCTGAGCCTCAAATGGGAAGTTTGTGGCAAATCATTTTCTTTTGTTGTGACTAAACATTGGAAACGATTTTCGTTATCATCGTTAGATTAGGTTATGTATTGTTTCGACTGCTTTGTTTTTTGTGTGTCGAAAATATTTATAAACAAAAACAAAGGAGCGAGCTGTACTCCTAAGTATGATATCTTGTCGACCATCTTCAATTTATTCTTTAATAAATAAAAGTTAACATCTTTATGACCACTTTTCCATCTTTACAAAATATTTAAATATATTATTATGCAAATTAATATAAAAATAACTTAAAATTTAAGTAAAATCTGTTGATTTTTGGTCGCGTGTTCCCCTTTTCCTATTTACTCTGTTAAAATGATCTCTAATGCTATTTCATTTAGTGCTTTGTCATCTAGGAATGTATCCCTCACATTAATTAAGTGGGTCTTACTGTATTATCTATTATCGATTGTTGTGCTGTGGATATAGATATGATCTTTTTATCATTGATGCGATTGTGGCAAATATCTCGAAGGCCTTGGGTTCTTAATTTGTGGTTATTGAATACTCGTTTTACAATCCATTCCAGTTCATCATGGAAAACACTCCCTGCTCGCTCGAATGTTGTGCTAGAGCTGCGGTTAGTTTTTATTAACATTATATCAGTTTTTTCCCAACCTTTGAATCAACAATTTATTTGTGTATCCTATGTACATTACATTTCTATCAAATTGCTGTCACAAAACAGTATGGAAAACACCCGGGGTTCTGCCATTTTCTATCTTGTCTTTATTGTTGGCAAGTAGTTTGTATATGTTTAAATTGCATTTATACTCCAAAATGGCACTTAATTGTTTGGCCAATACCTAGTAGGTTGGATTCGATCCAGGGTCGTCATCTACTATGCATTTATGATTTTGTGTTTGCGTCCATGTCAAGGTCCCACTTCAAAGCTTATTAGGGCCGTCCTCTATCTATAGTACATACTAACACATGTACTATAGAGGATGGCCTTAATAATGAGTATAAACTTATAACTATAATAGTTTGCTTTCAACATTCATCTTAAACATTCTAACTCCCACATAGCATTCGCGATGTCAGATTGATGGGTTTGGGCTCTTTTTAATAGTGCCCCAAATGCTGCCGTTTTATAAATATAGACCCCATTAGATGCCAAGAGTATGAAAAACGATGTCGATTGGGTTTGCGGTATATATCAGTGAATATGTGGTCACTCTTAAACACAATAACAAAGGTCCAGGAAGTGCACTTTGCTATTGCTTTCCCGATCTAATTTTAACACAAGGCCATACCGATTGTTGTAGAGTTTTGTAATATATGGCATACGTTAGGTTTCAGCTTCCATATAATTAAAATAACATGTACACACTGGAATATCTGGCCATAATTTATCCATTCTTTACATTAACGACTTTACTTCAGCCCAGAGAGTGCTGATCCAAAGCCTCCCGTGCCATGAAAACAGTCCATGCTTTATTATAAAGCATATGGATGGCAGAACACGATCGACTTCTGGCAGTAGTTTGTCTGTCCGACTAAGAAGTGCTCTGATCTCTTAATTTTCTGCAGGATGTCACTCCTGCTTGCAAGAGTTGATAAATTATCTTGCTTTTCAGTGTGTCCATTTCTGAAATCTTTGGCTGTAACAGCAGGAGTCTTGCATTTGTCTTCGGACAAAACTTACTTTTATTTTTAAGGGCGGCAACGACTTCTGTCCCAAAACCATTCCGGCCTATCGGTGTTGTTAGCGATGGGAAACACGGAGGAGTGTCGGTTGGTTCTCGAGCAAGTTTCAAGAATATTTTCACGCAGTCGGTGACAGCAATGTTCACTATAAGAAGAAGCAGTCAAAACTGCTACCATTTTGTCCTCCTTCTCTGAAGTAGTTCATAAATGATCTTGTCTGAACTGAAGTCAAAAGAATTGATTGAGTCCTCTAGATATAACTACACGAGTTGGAACTTTTAATAGTAAGTCCAGTTAAACTGCAAAACATAGAAATATAATAAACATAGAAGCTTGAGCAATGCTATATTGAAGGCCCACGTTTGCATGGCATTGTTGACTATCAATTGCCATCAATGTGGAAATCAAATGATGCCATCGGCAGACCTTGATGTTTTGCCAGTGGTGCCAATCGGAGTGCTATCGACAACTCCAATTGCGCTTGCAATAAATTATAAGGATGATGAAGATACATTGTTATAATTATTATAAATACGATATTCATTATTAAGTATTAAGTATATCCATATTCATTATGTCGATATAAAACGAATATAGAAAAATCACCACGTATGCCATTGAAATGCGATAGTTTAAGAAATTTATGATAAAATTTTTGAAATAAATTTCATTTGGCAAGTTGATAAAATAACACTTTTATTGGCTGAAATTTAATTAAGGCAATAGTTGTCATCAATTAACAATAGAGGTGCTTCTCTTAATTTGTATAAAATGTGATTGAGCCTTTTTTAGTATAATTAAAAATTATTAAAGTGTCGAGAACATTTTCTTTATTTTCTCTAACAGTTCTTGAGAATCTGTATGATCTGGAAAGGCCTCCAGTGCTTTTTGTACGATGCTGAAGCAACTCTGCAAGTCGCCCATCTGATTTTAAGATTAAAAATGTAAAGATATATTTATAAAATTTATAGGATATATATTTTAAAATAAAAATTTGCTACCTCTTCGGCAAGTAAAGCGTGATTATAAAATGGTTCAAATAAGTAAGATGCTAAATTAGCAGAAGTTTGAAAGAATGCTTTTCCCTATTGTGGAGAGAATAGTTTGATTTGTCAAATTTGTTATATTTTCTTCCTTTTTTTTTAGATTTAAAATAAACTTACTTGATCGGTGTTGCCTTTGACTGCTTCAATGACACCCAAATTATTATAAGACTCTGCGTGATCGTTGTTTGCCGTCAGCGCCAGTCGAAAACATTGAGTCGCAAGATTCTTATCTCCTATTCCCTGTAAATAATGGTTGTGTCATTTGCAAAGTTTAACTAAAATGTCACAAAAAATTTAAAAGCATACCAGAGCCATGTGACCAATGTTATACCATACGTCTGCCAGAGTATCGTCAGTCGCCAGCGTCAGAGCTCTCTCGAAACAAGTCACGGCCATGTCGTACTGCTGTGAATAAAAGCAGCACAGGCCGAGATTGTTGTAGAGTTCGGAATTGCAGATGCCCATCTGCAGGAGTCTCCTATAAAATAGTATGGTATAGTGTTTTGTAGATGTAAACAAACCATCATCTCAAAGTTTTACCTGTAAAATCTGAGTGCAATTTCTGGTTGATCGGAATAAAAATGATGGGTTGCAATGCACGCTATTGCTTCGATGTTAATTGCATCGTATTGAAGAACATCTTTGTAATATTTTACAGCAAGATTTAAATCATTTAATCCCTGAAAAAATAAGTATAAAGAATAACTTTGTATTGGTATCTTATTTTGGTCACAAAATGTCTTCTAAAATAATTGGAATCTTCTGTACTAGAAAACAACTCCATATTTCAATATGACAATGACAGATAATAAAGAAGGTATGGAAGCTAACATTTTTCCAAATTTGATCGATAATCATTAGCCACTGTGTTTTGATAATAGAACAAATGTTAATAAATAAATAAATGTTTTTGCATTTGTACTGCTTTAATGGGGCATTAATCCAAAAAGATTATAATCAAAATCTTTTTGACTTCTTGAACAAGCTTCAGAAACTGTATTGTTTGATGAATTTCTTAAATATTGGTTATTTATGTCCTAATTGAAAAGATTAAGTAGATAAACAAAAGTACAGTTATTGGGAATCTGCTGTCCAAGATTGAAATTACACAATCATTCCTATAAACATAAGTCTGATATTAATATTTATTGTTCTGATTCAAAACAGTAATGCAATAAATTCAATTTTAATATATCATTTGGTCATACAGATTTAAAGTGTGACATATATAGAATCTTAAATTAAAACACATGAAACACAATACCTCGTATATGCGTGCAATATTTGTGAGTAGATTTGTTTCTCCGGGAAATTTTTCTAATGCCTGTTTGTACACTTCGAGTGACGTTAATGGCTGATCCAGACGAATATACACCTGTAATTTCAATATTCTGGCATTATTATATAAACATTTTAAATAAGTTAACTTTAAGTTTCTTATATCAATTTTTTCAACTACGTTAATACTGTATGACTCAAGATATAATTTTATAATTATTTGCTTTTATAACTTAAAAGAGGTTTTTTAAACAAATAAACCAAAATGTTATGTCCTTCGAACCCAACACTCGCTCGAGTTCAAGAATTACTCGGGTGAACGTCGGATAATTATTTTGCATATAAAAATTATGTAGAAAAATCACTCTTCTGTTAGAATGTATCAATTATCACATTTAGTAGATTGAGCAGTTTAATGTGTCAATTCAAATTTCTTTTTATAACTGAAATTATTGTATTTAATCTTTGTTATTTGATTAATACTTATATAATAAATTAATTATTTCTTATAGATTTAATCAAACTCTATAGCAGGGATGGCAAACCTTTTTGAGCCTGCATGCCATATAGTAAAAATATTTACCTTTAAAGATGTTTATGCATGCCAAAATTTTACACTTTGGATAACAATATTTAAAGAAATTAAATCAATATGCTTTAATTAGAATAAATGTAAAAAAGCTGATTGAAAAAAGGACAAACAGTTGATAAACCAAAAGAATGATTGATTTTGATTTATCATCTGTCTTTTTCATATGATACATTACATGCCAGATGATTTCTCCTTATGTGCTGTATGTTTTCACCTATGCTCTATACTTTATAAAATATTTTAGAAGTAAGATATTATATTATTAAAATTATATTACGAACCTTTGCAAGCCAAAGAAACGTGTCCACCGCATCCTGTTGCTTGACAGCAGATTTGAACTGTCTCTCTGCATCACGATACATTCCAAATCTGATACAAAATTTTTCAAATAAATAATAAATTTTAAATAAACATAGATACAGAGAAATGTATTTCAGTCATTCTGAAAAAAAAAATAAACCATTTCTGATATATCTTACATACTGTATACTCTAATATCAGAATGCTTTCATTCCTAATTTTACAAATGATACAATCCATACAATAAATTTACAGTTTATAATTTAAGTGCTAAAATAATTTAAATACATTATATATTTTTCTTGCATCCAACAGATCTAATAAACCTGGAAAAGTCCAAATGTTACATTGGTATGTACCTAGTTTTATCGTTTAAAAATATTTAAGGAAAAAACACTTAACACTATTATAAGAGGCCATCTATTAATTATGTGTACAGTTTAAAAGGAGTGTCACATAAAATGCATCCTTGTACACAACAGGAGAGAGGGGATCAAGGCATTGTCTATGTGGACTTTTTTCAATAGTGTTACTGACATACAAATTTGTCCTTATAAGTCTATTACCAGTCATGTGAATACACTATCAGAATATATATGCAGAACTTTTAAGGTCATTTGTTTAAAGTCAGGAGTCCATGAAATATTGTACATGTAATTAAAGGGGAGGGGTTTGACAAAAGTGCATTATTGTATACGACGGAGAGAGGTCAAAAGTGATCAAAACTGTACACTTAACGAATGGCCTCTAAATATTTCACAGCCATTAAGAGGGTGAGCTGGAGATTTTCTCCAGAGTAAACTTATGTGCCTGTAGTGGTTCCTAAGTATCAAAGTCATTGACGTGTTAAAATGATTACTTTCTATAGCAGTGTCTTTCCAAATTTTTGATGCCAAGACTCTAAATGTACAGTAATTAAAAACTTTCACAGATTTGGAATTTGTTCTGAACACTAGAAATTTTCATAACTGTGTACTGCAGATAATTTGAGTGACAAAATGTTTCTAATAAAACTGTGATCTTCAGGCTCCCAAGGGGTCATAGAGTTCTCAGAAACAAAAAACATATTATATCGTGGAATAAAAAGTACTTATTGTAATGTTATTATTTATTTTATTTAATAGTACAAGGGAACCCTGTATGTATTGGCATATTACAACAGAAGAACACATTATTTTGTATTGTGCATTATTATTAACAGTACAGCATGTAATAAATAGTCTGTTAAAAGAAAAAAGAAGTAACACAATATTAATACTAATAACAAACAAAACCAACGACAATAATAATTATATTCACAAAAGAAATAAAAATATACACAAAAATGGCAGTGAATAGTTGACATAAACAAAAATTCTATAATATAATGTGAGGTCTAAAGCCTGATTTTTCTCTAATTTAAGGAAATTCTTAACACGATCATTAAGAAAATAAGCACACAGAAAAAGGATTGAATGTCACCCTTCTTGTCAACAATTGTTATGAAATTATAACAATGTATTGTTAAGAGATGAGAATGTCAACATTTGGCCGAATAAACAGGAAGAATCTAGCATTTCTCGAACCAAATATTACACTATCTGCCGTTTGAATGATACCTCATTGTCTTCCCAGTCTACCTATGACCCAACACCTGCAAAATCACCCTTCGTCTCTGAAAACATTCGATCACCTGATCATTTTCCCAGGCCTAAAGAGAATATAAGGATGGCTCACCCCAAACTTCAGGGCGATCATCCATTAGGAACAACCTCTCCCTCATCAGACTGTCTAGAGCCGTGGTTCTTAACCTGTGGTCTGTGGACCACTGGTGGTCCCTGAAAGCACCTGAAGTGGTTTGCGAAGTTATCCCAAAATTATTAAATAAATGATGACGAGTTGATGACAATGCGCAGTACGTCAAGGTTAGAGCCGATAGTAGACTGGGCTAGGGTATGGTGTGCGGTCAGAAAATATGAAATTGGAAGTCACTAGCAATAAATTTGCATTTGAAGATAAAATCAGTGTGTTTATCGCTAAAATCGACCTATGGATTAGCAAAGTCGAAAGAGAAAATTTTTCTGTGTTTGATACATTGAATCCAATTATTGATTGACAGTGTGCTAAGATTAAAGGACAAATACAAAAGAACATTACATTCCATTTGCAAAGCTTGAAAAATGAATTCAGTTGCTATTTTCCTGACTTCAAGGACAAAGGTATTCAGAAACTGATTTGCAATCCTTTCATAGTCAACATTTCTAAGGTGCCAGATGAAATACAAGAAGAGTTAATTGAAATGCAACATGATAGTAACTGCAAGGATACATTCGAGACAGGAATTAATCTTAAAGATTTTTGGAGCCAAAAAACTATTGCTTTACAGTACCTAACTTTATTTTCAACCACATATTTATGCGAGCAAGGATTCTCAGTGCTTTTGATAATTAAAAATAAACATCAAAATCGGTTGGATGCCAGTGCCGACATGATTTGCTTTGAGTAGCACTGAACCAAGAATTCAGCAGTTAGTAAACAGTATGCAGTCACAAAAATTGCACTAAAATAATATAATTAATGTAACACTTTCGTAAATAATATAATACTCTTGGTTCCAAATAATTTTCTACGTGTTTAATTTATAGAACAACCTTATAAGAACCTATATTACTGCCAAACAGCTCGTGGTCCATGGCAAGACAAAAATTTTGATAAATGGTCCTTCATCACTAAAAGGTTAAGAACCACTGGTCTAGAGGAAATCACTGTCAACCAATCCTTATTCATGTAAAAGGAAAAGAGATAGGACACTTCACTTGCTTTCATAAACTCTCTCTCAGTTCCGTAATATGTTATTAGTGAACTTTAGTAGATCGAATAAGCTATCTCCTTTATATGCAACTCATTACTCTCTATTATGTCTGAATTCATGTAACCCTAGGTTAGATTTTAATTATTCATTAAAATTTTATTCTTATTAAGTTTGTTAATGGTGTCTGTTACTCGGATATCGCCGACACTTTATCGACGACCTCACTCACCCTCCCACTCGACCTGACAAGACGATCCCAAGACCCGGGAGAATGTGCCCCAAAGAAGGAAACACCATCCACAAACAACATGAGTGGTTTTTGCCAAACTGTCACCGGAAAAGGGTTAGGGTGCACGCATTAACCCCAGTTCCTCACAATAATATAGAAAAAAATTAAATTATTAATTATACACCAAAAAATGCTGACCAAAAGTGCTACCAACTGTCATGCACTAAATCATCCACTAATATACTACAGTAGAACCTCGATTATCCGCCCTAATTGGGGACTGGGGTTGGTCAGATAATTGAAAAGTCACATAACCGAAAAGTATGAAAAAATCCATTATTAGTGTAGTATATTATTATATCCCATGTAATTAGTATATTAGTATATCGCTATTAACCTATTTTGCGTTGAATTTTCATCGATGTTAANTTTTTTAAGAAAAATTTAATTATGAAATACAGTGTGTTCTTTTTATATTTTACATTCTGAATAAAATAATCTCATTTAATATAGAAATTAATTTAATTAAACTATACAAAATTTAAGTAATGTTGTTTGTATATTTCATTAAATATACAATTTTTTTCTATCTTAGGCAATTTGGTGCTTAAAATTAAGAGCTTTAACTGAACAAGTATACGTTGACGATTTAGAAGCCGACGAGGAAGGAATTGCAGAGGCACTTCTAGATGACAATGCTATTGCTCAAGTGGCAAGACCTGGAACATCTTTAAAAACTCCCAACAGACCTCAAGGAACCAGTCAATCAATTCGGTTAGTGATTAATTAATAAAAAAAAATTATAGAAAATTATTTATAAAATAATTATTATTAATCTAATTGGTATCTTAATAAATTATGGAATTTATATGTTAAAGAAAAGAAGTCCCTTTTTAGAAATACTTGGTTAATGTGTTGTTTCATGTTAAAAAAGAATTTTTTTTTATGAAATTGATTATGCAAATCACAAAAGTAACATTCAAAACTTTCATCTGATTCCAATTTCAAAAATATTAATTTAAAAGAATATATATGTATATTTTTTATTATAGTCCTGTCACTCATGCCGGTCGTCCTTTATCGGGAGTCGTCCGTCCCAATACTCAGTCTGGTAATCCTGGTTCTATGGAAAAAGCAATGAGAACTTCACGAACTTCTCGCACGGCCAGACCGGTATCTAGCGCATCCGGTAGATTTGTTCGATTGGGAACGGTAACGTAATGACTTCATTTCAAACACAAATAACAATTTAAACCGGTTAAATTGAAACTAATGTTATTTTCAGGCTTCTATGTTATCCCATCCCGAAGGCCCGTTCATAAATTTAGGAAGGTTAAATCTAACTAAGTATGCTTCTACTCCATCACTAGCAAAACCTCTTTTTGAATATATTTATTATCACGAAAATGACGTCAGACATGTGAGTATTCTAAATTATACATTTTATATTTAATTATTGAATTGAATATTAATTTTTTTAGGCTTTAGATTTAGCCGCACAAGCTACGCAAGCTTGCCAATATAAAGATTGGTGGTGGAAATTACAACTAGGAAAATGTTATTACAGGTAAATAAAATTAATAATATAACTTTTATACTACCCAATTTTTAAAAGTTGTGTAGTACAGTATATGAAAAGTTGTAGTAAACAAATGAAAGTTGGTTTATACAAAATTGTAAAATAGTAGTAGTTGATGAGTATAAGTATTTGGGTGTATTTAATAATAAACCACACACACCTGATTTGTATTTGCTGAGTTATTTTCTTTATGCAAACGTTTTCGGCCAATTTGTATAGGCCATCTTCAGGCTTTAACGTTGTTCGTTCCAATGGAACCAATAGTTCTAAATTCATTTGAATTTGAACTTTTAACAACGTATGTGTATAATAAATAGTTAATATTATTCTTAACTATTTATTATACACATACGTTGTTAAAAGTTCAAATTCAAATGAATTTAGAACTATTGGTTCCATTGGAACGAACAACGTTAAAGCCTGAAGATGGCCTATACAAATTGGCCGAAAACGTTTGCATAAAGAAAATAACTCAGCAAATACAAATCAGGTGTGTGTGGTTTATTATTAAATACACCCAAATACTTATACTCATCAACTACTACTATTTTACAATTTTGTATAAACCAACTTTCATTTGTTTACTACAACTTTTCATATACTGTACTACACAACTTTTAAAAATTGGGTAGTATAAAAGTTATATTATTAATTTTATTTACCTGTAATAACATTTTCCTAGTTGTAATTTCCACCACCAATCTTTATATTGGCAAGCTTGCGTAGCTTGTGCGGCTAAATCTAAAGCCTAAAAAAATTAATATTCAATTCAATAATTAAATATAAAATGTATAATTTAGAATACTCACATGTCTGACGTCATTTTCGTGATAATAAATATATTCAAAAAGAGGTTTTGCTAGTGATGGAGTAGAAGCATACTTAGTTAGATTTAACCTTCCTAAATTTATGAACGGGCCTTCGGGATGGGATAACATAGAAGCCTGAAAATAACATTAGTTTCAATTTAACCGGTTTAAATTGTTATTTGTGTTTGAAATGAAGTCATTACGTTACCGTTCCCAATCGAACAAATCTACCGGATGCGCTAGATACCGGTCTGGCCGTGCGAGAAGTTCGTGAAGTTCTCATTGCTTTTTCCATAGAACCAGGATTACCAGACTGAGTATTGGGACGGACGACTCCCGATAAAGGACGACCGGCATGAGTGACAGGACTATAATAAAAAATATACATATATATTCTTTTAAATTAATATTTTTGAAATTGGAATCAGATGAAAGTTTTGAATGTTACTTTTGTGATTTGCATAATCAATTTCATAAAAAAAAATTCTTTTTTAACATGAAACAACACATTAACCAAGTATTTCTAAAAAGGGACTTCTTTTCTTTAACATATAAATTCCATAATTTATTAAGATACCAATTAGATTAATAATAATTATTTTATAAATAATTTTCTATAATTTTTTTTTATTAATTAATCACTAACCGAATTGATTGACTGGTTCCTTGAGGTCTGTTGGGAGTTTTTAAAGATGTTCCAGGTCTTGCCACTTGAGCAATAGCATTGTCATCTAGAAGTGCCTCTGCAATTCCTTCCTCGTCGGCTTCTAAATCGTCAACGTATACTTGTTCAGTTAAAGCTCTTAATTTTAAGCACCAAATTGCCTAAGATAGAAAAAAATTGTATATTTAATGAAATATACAAACAACATTACTTAAATTTTGTATAGTTTAATTAAATTAATTTCTATATTAAATGAGATTATTTTATTCAGAATGTAAAATATAAAAAGAACACACTGTATTTCATAATTAAATTTTTCTTAAAAAAAATCATAGTATAATTAAAGTCTATATCGTATTTTAGCCATTTTCAGTAGAAATGTTGAAAGCATCCTTTACTGTTTACCAGAAAAACAATTGTTTTGTAGTATCAAGAATTTAAATGAAGTCAGTCATATTATTATTAATAATACTAACATTATGTGAAATTACTGTAAAACTATTAAAATACATTTTTATACATTTTGTCTACATTGTCATTAATGTTTTTTACTTACTTAAAGTCAGAATATTAACTTTAGAGTATCATAATGTTAAAACTGTAAAAACCATTTGTTCATGTAAAGTTGAATAAATAAGAAAATGGAAATATCACTTGACAATACTATTATAATCTAGTTCAGGGGAGGACAACAGTTTTTGCCCTGGGCCGAATTGGAAAGAAAACTTTTTCCACGGGCCAAACCAGAGGCTGCCCTAGGAAGATTTTGTGGTGGTGCGAGATCTCATTGTGGTGTCACCCCGTAGAGACTAAATTGACATACAATTTAGATACATTACAGATTACAGAGATTACAGATACATTTTTCATATTATCATGCTTTATCAACATTCTACACTGTACTTATGATGAGATTTGTAATGGAGGATTAACGCTAAATGCACAGTGAGCTGTTGACCTTCTCTTTCTTTCTTTTTTTTTTTTAGGCATCAGAATTTTTCATTGAGCTATTCAGACTTGAGTAGTTAATTTACTATTGAAAGATTCATCGCGGGCCACATAAATTCATTAGATGGGCCAGATCTGGCCCGTAGGCTGTATGTTGGCCATGTCTGGTCTAGTTTCACAAATATAAAATTGAAATTAGTTTGTAGCTGTTGAAAATTTTATTTCATATCAAACTATGAAATTATCATTTAACAATTTTCACATAAATAAAGTAAAGCTTTAGTGTATGTCTGGAAAATTAAATACAAGAAAAATCAAATATATGACAATATTTATGAAAGAAACTTCTATTTCAATTCTCGTAACGGTATGCCACTCATAGGTGGAAAGATGCGGTACGGACCAAAGATAGACCCATGATTCTAAAATATTTAGATTTCCAATTTTAGTAGTCCTGAAAAAGGCAATTTTTTATATTTAATATTCAAAGAACAGACAAGTAAATATTCTTTTACTTTATAGTAGTGAAATACAGATAAAAGCATCACAAGCAAAGAGTAAAGAAATACTGCTAGATACAAATATTAGAATATCAACAATATAATTATTTTTAATTATTCAATGATAATTATAGATGATTCGTTATAAATTTTATATAACAGATTGGTTTGTTTATGCCAAACACTAATACAATATGGACTATATGCCATATCAACTTTGTCCATGTGGACAGGTTTTAGCTAAAGTGGAAGTAACCAGTATTAAATAATAAGACCTAACATATCCTGGGAACACACCATAGTCTTTACTTTTGATAATACTGATGTTTTGGTATTCAAAGATGATGGGAAGATTACGTGACATATTTAAAGGCATACTGGGTATAAATAGGCATATTACTTGTGGTTTGATATGCAAATATGCAACATAAGCTTCCTGTTGCTATTGGACACCAAAATGTTAATATTACTGACAATTGAGAGCAGTTAAGACTAGACCGGCCAGTTGGAATTTATGTTTATAGAATTTGTTATGAGAAAAATAAATTGTTTTCAGTGTTAATAACAAATTGTTAACTCTAAAAACCATTTAGTTTTTTCATAATGAGTACATCTTGTTGTGACTCCACAGTATCTTTAGTATAGTAATGGATGTTTATAGAATTATTTTAAAAATACTGTTAGGGTTAAAATCTTTTATTATTAACTCTAGTTTCAATTTTTCAAAAGTAAATTGACCTCTCAAAGCACAGGATAGGATGACAAATTATACTTACCAGCAATGTCTTCAGAAAAAAAAACTTTATTGAAGTTATTTACACAGATCACAAAGCAGTTGCAAAACTTTAAAGACTGCACAGAGAGAGGAATTATCTCTATAAAATATGGGGATTTTCATTTTTAAAAAACAACGAGATCTCGCACTCTTCTTGCAAGCACTAACATTGAGTTGTTGTTAAACATACAGGTCTAACTAACATCCCCCCACTAACTCTGAACACGATGAATGCATATTTAGAGCACATCTGTGGGTTTCTAAATGAGGTCTTGGCAGAGGCTTTGTAGATGTCAGCAACCATTTCTTGTGTTGGACAATACACAACTTCTACTATGTTCTTTCTTTGAAGATCTCTGATGTGATGATACTTTGTGTCTATGTGTTTCAGTCTTGAATTGTGTTTTTCACTTTGTGAAAGTTTTATTGTTGCTTGATTATTTTCTATAATCTTGATTGGAAGATTTTGCTTTAGCTCAAGTTCTTCTGTCAGACATAAAACTCACAGTAGTTCTTGCATAGCATTTGCTAAAGAAACATATTTGGCTTTTGTTGAGGATAGAGCTACACAAGTTTTGTTTTCTTGATTTTCATGATATGCAATTTTCTCCAAGGTATATCATGTTTCCTGATGTTGATTTTCTGTTGTGTCTGTCTTGAGCCCAATCAGCATCACAGTAGATCTTCAGCTCAGGCTTTTCAGTTGATAAAATCTGTAATCGCAGATATTTTGTCGATTTAAGATAGCATATAATTCTCTTAACAGCATTCCAATCTTGCTGTCTTAGATTTTTACATCTGCTAAGAATGTGTGTTGAAGCTGCTACAGCTGGTATTGTAACAGTTGAAATATATAATAGAGCCCCCACTGCCTGCTTATATTTTGAAGCAGGTCTTCTTCTCCTTGTAGTTTGTAATAGTCTGTTTCCATTGGAGTAGAAGCTGGCTTTGCATCTTGCAAATTAAACTTCTGTACAAGCTCTTTTATTTTATTTTGTTGACTAAACAAAAAGCTTTCATCTTTCTTTCTTTTTACTTCTATTCCCAAGTAGAACTTTACTTCTCCTAGATTTGTAATCTCATAGTTTTGTTTAAGAATTTTTACTATTTTACTAATGCTTATTTCACTTTCTGTACTAATCAAAATATCATCCACATATAGCCCACAATATCCAATATTTTCCCCTTCATCCTTCGTAAACAAACAGGTATCAGCTTTGCTTTGCTTAAAACCTTGATTATTTAGAGTTGTAGCTATTGCCTCATTCCATGCTTTGAAAGCTTGTTTAAGAAAATAAATAGCCTTTTGTAGCTTGCATACTTCTCCTTCTTTTCCTTTTTCTTAAATCCTATAGGTTGTGTCATGAAAACATCTTCATTTAATTTTCCATTTAAAAATGCAGTTTTAACATCAACATGGTGTACTTTCATTCCTTTATATGCGGTTACAGCTAAAACTGATCTAATAGTTGTATGCTTAACAACTGGTGCAAATGTTTCATCAAAGTCAGTTCCAAATCTTCTGAGCCTTGCCCTTCTGGAAAACTTTCATTAACATGGAAAAATTAGAAGACATCTTTAGTATTCCATACTTCATGTTTTCCTTTATTTTCTTTTCCTGTGTTCATTTCTAGGAATTTTACTGATCTGCTTATTATTACATTTCTATCACCTGTGTAAATCCTGTATCCTTTATTTCTCATATCATACCCTACAAATGTACCTTCAATGGCTTTCTCATCTAATTTTCTTCTTTTATGCTTATTTATGTAGGCATATGCTTTACATTCAAAAGCTTTAAGATGGTTAAGGTTGGGTTTTCTTTTGTTCCACAACTCATATGGTGTTTTTATTTATTGTTTTAGTAGGTAATCTGTTCTGCAAATAATTTGCAGTTATCACTGCTTCTCCCCAAAAGGATTTTGCAAGATTTGCATTTATTATCATAGCTCGTGCCATTTCCACGAAAGATCTGTTCTTTCTTTCTGCAACACCATTTTGTGCAGGAGAATAAGGTATTGTAGTTTGATAAGCAATTCCCTGTTTTGTTAAATATTCAACATTTTTATTATAGTATTCACCACCATTATCTGATCTTAGTGTGTTGATTTTTCTTCTAAATTTATTTGTAGTAGAAGCTACAAATTCTTTCAGTTTTGCAAGAACTTCATCTTTGCTTTCAATTAGATATACCATAGTAAATCTAGAAAAATCATCTACAAATGTAAGGAAGAATCTCTTTCCTCCTATACTATCTACTTGCATTGGACCACATATGTCACTATGGACCAATTCCAATGGATCTTTAGCTCTGTAAGTAGACTTCTTTGGATATGGAAATTCAGTGAGCTTTGCTTTAATGCATATTGGACATCATAAATCATGTTTACAGTTATGCAACTTTAGTCCCTCTACTAAGTTTTCTCTTTCCATTTGTTTCATTGTGTCATAATTTCTGTGACCTAGTCTTTGGTGCCATTTAAGTATGATATTTTTATTTGTACAATTTTGCACTAATTGAGGACTGTTTACTCATTCTTGCCTATTTGTTGCAGCAAACTCGTAAATACTATCTGTGGCAATACCTGTAGCAATTAACTCATCACCTTTCTGTATGGTGCATACATTATTTTCAAATTTGACTAAGTAGCCTCTATCAGTTATGGTTTTTACTGAGAGTAAATTTCCATCTAACTCTGGAACATAAAATACAGAATATTCTCTAAGAGAATTTCTTCTTCATTTCCACAAAGTATTCTGACCTTTATATATCCTTCACTGATGCCATGTGATTTCAGTTTAGCTCCATTGGCAATGGTGATAGAATTGCCTTTTTGCTTGTTAAGTTCTTCGAAAAATTTTAAGTTTCCTGTCATATGACATGTTGGCACCTGAATCAATGACCCAATCATTGTCAACATAATTTGTTTAATATGATTGTACCTTTAGTACTTTTCTTTCACCTTGTTTAACCTTTTGTACACAAACAGTGGATTTGTGTTGCTTATCATAATTCTTGTGAACATTTTTATTTGTTCTTTGTCTCTTAAAAGCATCTTCAGTTGCCTTATTTTTGTTGTTTAAATGCCAACATTCATTTTTGATTACTTTTGTGGCAGTGAGTGCAAAATTTCTGTTCTTTGTGATTCCATTTTTCTGCATTTTTGCTTTTAAATGCTAAGGCTTGTCCTGATGAACTTTGCTTACCTTGTAAACACCTTTCATATTCATCTATTAATTTACTTGTTATATATCCTTGTGTTCTTTTTCATCCTTACTTTCCAGTGCAGTTATTAAAGTAGAATATGACTCTGGTAAACTACATAGCAGTATAGCACATAAGTGTGACTCTTTAATCTGTTCACCAATGCTTTCCAGGCATTCCTTCAATCCAAGAATATCTTTTATGTGATCCTGCATTTTTGTATCATACTTTTGCATCATACTTTATAGAATAAAGTATGATGCCAAAATAATTTGCATCATACTTTATACATACATCATACTAAGCAAAAATAATTTGCTTGTTAAGTTAGCTAGTTCGTGGACACTTTTTAACTTTTGCCATGTTTCTGAAGCAGTCGATTCATGTACAGTAGAGACCCGCTAATCTGAACTAATTGGGACCGAGCCCTGTGCAAATTAGCAGAATAATTGAAATAATGCAGAAGCAAGCCCGGTTTATATAGATCCAACACCATCAATGACTTTTGTTTGTGTTTAAGTACAGTATAGATCTGTTGTTTTAATAGGCCACGTCACACACTGATTTATTAATTTCGTATAGTATTAATACAGTACTACAATAAAATACAAATGAAAAATACAGTCCAAAGCAGGGTGATAAATTGCCTCAACCTGACAACTGTAAAAATATATAGAAAATTGGGAGTTTACTTAGGGTCCATGTAAATCTTTCCTCCCTTGCCTAGCAAAGTTTCTCAACATCCAGAGCATCATAGTAAACACATTAGTCATACAAAGTTTAAATTCTGCCACGACAGCAACAGAAAGCGAAAGTTTCGTCGTGCAAAAACGAGATCGACAGTAACACCACCAACACACGCCGAGAAAGATTGCATTGCCCACGGAAAAATCTGCGACAGTCATCCCGGAGTCAACTCTGCCACACGCGACACATCACACAAGTTATTTACCCCATATATTTACACTCTAAATTTGGTAAGACACAATCTCCGAACGAGGGATCCGCCACCGCCCAGAACACGGACCCCCCTCATACGAGCAAAAGAGTCGACGGGACCATATCCGCAACTCTCGGCAAGACACGACCCATTTCCGGGACGCATACAATTGGGAGTCACGCCGTACGCTCCACCGAGACCGTGGCATTCACCCGTCAAGCCCACGCGACTAGGCCGGCTTCGAGCAACCCACTCGACGTCATACAGTTTTAGGGGCAAGGCTCGGCCCCACCTCCAACGCAACCGCAAGCAGATTCAGTCAAGGAATCCCGAGCGACGGCAAGCTCGACCGACACAGAGCACAAAGAATAAGCGGTAGTACCGCTTTAAGGTAAAAACCATTTTCGACGGGTAGAAGTTAACCGGTAAGGTCGACTGCGCACCACGACGGACTCTCGTGGCAGCCAGCGGGCCAACTAGTTGTACCGGCCGGATAGATTTAAAAAGTTAAATATTTGTAATCGATCGGTGCGAAATCGGCCTAAGACACAAACTCCAAACGGGATTTGTCGTTGTCCTCGTACGGGCAAGAATCGACAGAAGCGCACTCGGTCTAAGGTTCCGGTAAGGTCCCAACCGTCTCGTTCGGAGGTGTAATTGTACCATTTTGAGTAACGCAAATATCAAAGACCGTAGAAAGGATTAACTTTGAAGTTTTTAAGTTAAAAATCTGGTATAAATTTCATTTTGATCTACGTAAAAGGAGCCAACACCAGCATACTTGATCGTAAGGATTCTTTTCGAGTAATTCGCTACAAACTTCGACGCATTCTTCGAATTTTCTCCTTCTAAACAAACTTATTGCTTTGAAGAGCGGATCCATGACTTTTCGGTAAACAAAACCGTTTCCATGGCAACGAACAAAACAAAGATAAAAAGCGACCTCTCGTTTTTTAAAACGAATCGATAAAAAAAATGCATTATTTTTAATTCGGAAGTTGAATATAAATTAATATTTACTTTTTAAAATGTAATATTTATAAATACGCTTCGATTAGAAATAAATTTATTTTAAAGTTTTAAGCGTGTCACGTGTTATTGCATGGCTAAAACTTATCACGTGGGGGAACGAACTGATTAAATTGCTTCTGCTTCTCTTTATTTTTGTAGATTTTCGTCGATTAATGTGTCCTAAAAGTATATTTCTCTACTTTTCTAAAAGATTTTAAGATTTTAAAAGTTTATTATATAATATTCGGGGTTCTTTCTGTGAGAGAAATTCCGTTATGATGTGACGTGGCTCGAGTTTAGCATATTTTAAATTAAAAAAATAAGTCGTAAATTCAAAAATAACGACGAAACAAATTATAAAAATGAAGCAGGTTAATTTCTTACTAAATAAGTTAAAACTCTTATCCAAAAATTATAGAAATTATCACTGTAAACAGGGCGTTTTTGGTTATAAACCGTATAAAAAAGTGTCAGGTGGGTACTTTTTATAATTAAACAAACAGATTTATTGAATATTTGCATAATGTTAACAGTCTCTTCCTATTGTCGAAGTAAGTCGGTTATCCATATCTTAAAAGATTAAATTATGAATCGTTTCGTAAAGATTTTAATTAATAACAATTTCAAACATCGTGTTAATTTTCGTTTTCCTTTCCCAGATAATTCGATCGATCTGAGATGACTTAAATTGTGGTTAAGTTCTTTGGTTTGTGGTAATATCTTAGTTTTGGTAAAAAAAAGGGTGCGTAAGATTCGAGCCCCAAATGGGTGGTTTTGCACCCCGGCATCGTAGATCCCGTACTGGCAAAAAGTCAAAGGAACCGTACTCATACGTGTGAACCTTTGCATAATATTCGCCTCCAAAGGTCAATTTTTGACGCATATTGGTATACTGCCCGTTCTCCGTGCTCCGCCTCGTCTAGATTTGCCGTTGCGTGCCTTGACCGAAGTTGTGCTTACTGTTGCTTGCACTTTAGCACCCGTGTGGGGGCGAGCCCTGCATCCCTAAAACTGCGTAACGTCGAGCGCTGCCGATGGTCGAGTGGGCCGCTCGAAGCCGGCGTCGTCGTGTGGGCTAAAAATCGCATTTAACTATTGTTAAATGCAATTGTCTCGGTGGAGCCGCATGACTTGATTTTGGGATACCGTATCTCGCCAAGGGTCGCTTGTAGAGGTACAGTTCCTTTGACTTTTTTGGTCCTGTGGCTTCGATGAGGTTCCGATCGTCTTGTTTGGAGCTCGAATCGTACCCGGAGAAGATTACGAAATTTTACCGTGCAAAACTGGGTGTACTTAATAAACGAGAAGAACGAAACCAATTTCGGGCACAAAACTTAAGAGAGAGCGAACGTTTTCGACCGTATTAAATGGACGTCTTCGGGCTAACCGACCTTTGCGGATGTTTAAACGAGAGGATTGCCATTCGCCTATTAAGAGGGATGATGTGAGAGAGAAAGGGGGAAAGGGTTGTAAGATTAGAGACTGTAGATAGACTTCCAAGCAGGGGAATTGATCTACGATCTTTAATCTTACAACCCCTTTTTCTTTCTCTCTCTCATGTCATCCTTCTTAATACATGGATGGCAATCTTCTTGTTTTAACAGCTGCAAAAGTCAATTAGCCTGAAGATGCCCTTTTAACACAGTCAAAAACCAAAAACATTTGCTTTCTTGTAATTTTGTGCTTAAAATTGGTTTTGTTAGCCTTATTTATTATGAAATTCTGATTTCTTTTAATCTTGCTAGATTGATTAATTAATTAAACATGGATTCCTGTTTAACCAACAATATATTATGTGAATTCAAAATAAATTTGAGTTTATTTTATTGAGATATACAATATAATTGTTAAGTGAAATATCACACTTGGTGTCTTGTATTCTCTATGTACTTTAATCTTTCAAAATTAGCTGAAAACAGCATAAAATTTTTCATTATCAGAACTACACAGTAGAAACAATAAGCAGAAAGCATACACAAATCTTTGTCAGTTCAGCAGTTATTTGGGAAAAAGTTTTGGTGGTCTTGGAGCACACGAACGACAACCTGTATGGGCTCATACTACAAGTTAACCAGATGAGTGACAAGAAAGGTGCATTGCCTTTTTCTTCACATCCAGGTTGATTATGATTAAACTTTGCCATCTTCCATTAATTGCAATGAGAATCCAAAAATGTAATAATAAATGACTTTGTTCTGAGATGCAATGGGATCAAAGTGACAATGTCCATGCTCTCTGACATAATTGTGCATACCTAATGAAATTTAGGGGGCAAAAATTAAAAGAGAAAAGCATTGTGTATGCTTAACAAAAAATGGGCATAAAAAAAGTGAACTGAACAAAAAAGCAAAGCAATCTGAAGCCAAGTGAATAAAAGGATTGCCACCTTATGTGGCCAGCAACTGTTTTCTTCTGATCAGACATACATATGCATGTCCTTACATACACATTAAAATACATGTTAACACTCAGGTTAGATGGAGCAAAAGATAATTTATATGTACTAATGCTAATTACAAAAATGCAATGCTTCCCTCAATTCTATCACAATACAACAAAGTCACGCAGTGTATCTGGTATATATTTGCATATAGAAATGTTTAGATTAGTGACAATAGTTAGTTTTAAAATGTCACTAAAACAACGTTGTATTCAAGGGAAATGTTTCTCAAATTAAAATATACCTGTAACTTGTGCACCTTTCTTATACTAAAAATTATTGTTAAGGTACACTACGACAAAAGTGGGTCTAAATGACAAAGAAATGAATTATTCTGTGAGCCTAAATTATTCGGTGAATCCAAGCTCTACAAGACAATTCAAGTTGGTATCACTGGTATTAGAGAGACAGAAAATTCAGAAAACCCCACACAACAGGCCCATTAGCTAGGCATACATCCAGGACCAACAACTACAGTAGAGTCCCGCTAGTCTGAAGTAATTGGGACTGAGCCCTGTTCAGATTAGCCAAATAATTGAAATAATGCAGAAGCAAGCTTGGTTTACATAGATCCAACACTATCAATGACTTTTGTTTGTGTGTAAGTACAATATAGATCTGTTGTTTTAATAGGCCATGTCACACTGATTTATTAATTTTGTACAGTATTAATACAGTACTACAATAAAATACAGTTTTTTTTTTGTTGTGGAATTCTAAATCTTTTTTGTATCATTAATACCATTTAAATTCAACTGGAAAATACAAAAAATATATATTTTACGAGCTAAAAAATTTCCTCTCCCCCAACTGAAACATGTACAGATTAGGCGGACATTTGGATTCGCAGTGTTTTAACTAACTGGACTCTGCTGTAGTGTTCAATTGTTTTGTCTTCAGATAATAATATCAAAGACTAAACAAACTCAAATTTTATAAACACACTATATTTGTTGTATACAGATGATAATAATACATCAAGTGAAGAATTTTAGGAACATTTGTATAAGGGTTTCAATTGCATAATTCAAGAGAGATTAACTTTTCTTACTCTCCAATGGGTGTCAAGATACAGTTAAGTTTTATTGTACACTGACACAAATAAGAATCTCTTAATTACAACAATTTTTTTTTTATATTTTGCATATACATAATATAAATAACACAACCTTTTAATATCCAGCATAAACTATTTGCCAATTATTAAAGGATTGTATTATTTTTATAATACATATTTTATCCAGTTACCAATTTTTCATTATTTATTTAACTAAAAAATTGCTTTTTTAAAGTCTAATTTTAATAACAACAGATCAATTATTTATTGTGACATGGTCACAATGCCTGGCTGCAATTTTTAATTTACTTAATTTAAAATATATGCTCTCCACCTCAAAGTAGTAGTTACTTGCTCTCATACATCATACTTTCCTTTCCTTTTTCGTTTAACAGTAGAGTTGTGCCGGTTGTCTATCTCATTTTGGGAAAATTTTTTGAATTGAAATAACATGACTTCTGGTTTGTGCCAGAAGTTTGTATATAGTTAATTGGGGCCTCCTGCCCCTAAGGTTTCAGTTTCTGGTCTCATATTTCATCTCTGTTCTTGAGATTAACGAAAGATGGACGGACGGACGGACAACTGTGGGAATACAATTTATAAGTCTACAATTTTTTCAAACTGTAGTCAAAAAACATTGATATTACAAATAAAAACAATAAAATTTATATGAAATATTAAAACACTTTAAAACTATTATATTTAAAAATTTTTTAAAACAAACCATTAAATGATATACTATTAAGATAACGAATTTTTTCACACAATATCAAATTGCATTGAATTAGAATATATACAATAATAATATTTTACAATATGCATTCAGAAATGTAAGTCCATTTCTTCAAAAGTTAGCAATTTCATTATAGTTCTTTGATAATTCATTAGTATGGTTTAATATTTCTATCTGATATACCTGCTTTTACAGAGATTTAACTTCACAGTCAAGTTGCATCTTTCAAAAATAAGTTTTTATGTTTGAAGTAATATTTTTTACTGTATCTTTGGACAAAACTTTGTTTGAACATATGGTAGTTTTCTCTAATTGATTTTTTCATACTTTCAATTTTACCAAAAGACTTACTAAGACACCTTATCTTGCAGTCGAAGTTTATTACTTCAAACGTTTTCGGTCGTTTAACATGCAGTCATTAATACTATGCAGTCTCGAATAAACGTTCAATTTTGTTGTTACTATTTGCAAAATGACATCGCAATGTGCTGTGTATTTAATGTTGTTAATATTTTGATATTACATATCTATATTTTAAGAAAAATCATTATTATTACTTAAATAAACAAAATAATGAATTAATTTAGTTTACATAAAAAAATTATCTTATTTTTTAATCATGTTATAAAGTCTTATAGTAGTAATGTGAATTTTTTTAAACAGAAACGACAAAAAATTTGGATAACGTCGTAAAGAATTGTAATGTTTATCGTTTGGTTAATGCGTATCGAGAACACGGACACAAATTGGCAAAAATTAATCCGATATTCACTCAAGAAGAAATGTAAGTTTATCAAACAGTTATAAATTGTACCAATCTTTTAATATTTTTACTGTTTTATATTGAAATTATTTATTGAAGCATTTTGTATTTGTTACCTAAAAACTAATTTAAATTAGTCACTTAATAATTCAATTTTCAAATGTTTACGATATTTTTTTTCAGAAACCCATTAATGCTAAGCAATTGTAAAATCTAACAACTCATTGCTGTACTTTTTTTATAATTTAGAGCACTATTTTGGAATTTTATAAATGAAATCTTAATTGTTTCAAAAGAGGTCGAAACTCGCATAGTAAAATTTCCATTAGGTCTTAATTCAGCCGTGACTCTTCTAACCTCTAACTCTCCACCTCCTTGAGTTCCATATTCCAAAATTTAATAGCTACAGTGTCTCTTGCGTACAAGTTACCATACCATTCATTCCATAATCATTACCCTATTGTGAGATATTAAATAAAATAGGTGGAAGCAAATACATGCAAATGGAATTTTTTTTAATGTTTTTTGCATAGGAAGACTGAAATGTCAAGATTTGCAAAAAACCAAGGTTCAAATTTGATATGATTACAATACTTTCTTTTTGTACAAGTAGTTTTTACTTTCCCATCTGTTATAACAGATGGGAAAGTAAAAACTACTTGTACATACTTGAAAATCTTTAAATGATTTGATTTTGTCTTCAAACTAATTAAAATGTTAAAAATAAATAATAAATCATATAACAATTTCTAAATACAAAAGTCTTAAAACATTAGGGCTTCACAACAGCACATATATCACATTACAAAAGGTAGCCATACTAGACAAACATCACATGGGAAATTCTTCACAGATACATACATAAACGAAACATTTATTTTCTGTAGTTAGGCCTTAATTTTGGTATATATGCCATTTAAGATATACTCTACCAAAACAATAATAAATAATAATAATATTCCTTATAAGTAATTCAACACCAGGGAAACATCCATCCATTTTAGAAACAAAAGTTTTTGTCAGATAATGATATATATGGAATTATTGTGAAAAATTTATGTAGATTATCTTCATACAGTCAAACCTCGGGTTATGAACAAAATTTTGAACATCATATTTGGTCCAGTTTACATATGATAACTCAGTTTCTGAACAAGCTACTTGGCAGAGTTGTCCACCAACAGACAACTTCCTGTATTTTCTATGTTAAAGAAAGTTGATGGGACTACCGATTCGATGGTGGTGCCGAGATTCGCCTTGCATCATTAGACATCGTGATGACACAACATGAATCATTGATGACGTTGCTATTCAAATTAGATTTCAATGTGTATGTGGATAAGATGCTAGTTTCAGTTTTCAGTATGCATTGCAATTCAATTTAAATCAAATTAATTAACAAAAATTTATTAATACTAGTTAGCCAGTTAACTAAAATTAAAAGTAATAAGATAATTATATCAAAACTGAAACTAAAATTAGTTAATTTTAATTAAAATTTAAATCAAAGCAATTGAAACATAAGTTAATATTTTGGAAAGTGTGGATAAAGTACTTGTCTGTCTTGACTGATTTGGTTATATTTCATCCAGTCAGAGTTGCGTTTCTATTTAGTCTTGGTTTTTGGTTGGCAGTGATGGAACATTTTGCTTTTAATATATATACATATATATTATAAAATGGATATAGATAATATTTATATTGCATTTTTTAGGCATTTTTATGAATGAAATGCAGCTAAAAGGTAAAAAAAAAAGGTTTTATTTTGGGGGTTGGAAATGGATTAATCCATTCTACATTGTTTCTTGTGGTAAAATTTGTGTCAGTTTGAGAACAAATTGGTTTCTGAACAACTTTTAGGAATGAATTAAGTTTGTAAACCGAGGTTTGACTGTATTTGATAAATTAGTTGTATCATTTTTATTAATGAAAATGTTTGAGTATATTCATAGGTACAGATGAGTGTTTTTTTATGTACACTCACACATTCAATCATATACAACAAAGGCTCTATTTTGAATGCTTTGTATTCAGTCTGGTATTTCATATCATTTTGAAACATATTACACATTTTTGTGGAAAATCATAATTTTGTGAATTATAACAAGTAATTATTTATTATGACATCGTCACAATTCCAGGCTGCAATTTTTAATCATATTTTTAACCATCTTCTTTCAGGGAAAAATTTTTTAATTGAAATAACATGACTTCCAGTTTGCATTGGAAGTTCCTATATAGTTAATCCGGGCCTCCTGCCCCTAATCTTTCCATACCTGGTCTCATCATCTGTCTATCTAACTCCGTTCTCAAGATTAATTAAAGAAGAACAGACAGACAATGGACTACAGTGGGAATTATAGGTCTACAATTTTTTCAAATTGCAGTCCAATAAAACTTTTTTAAATAAGCAGAAAGCACTTAAAATTTAATCATATTCACACTATGATGATCTGTGAACTTTAACATTTGACATCTTATAGAACAAAATATATTATATTTTTGAGGTTTTGATTTTTTAGGTAACATATTCAACAAACCTGTACAGTTTTATCATTTGCATATTATATAGTTTTATACATGTTTCTTGTTATTAAGCAATATCTTTTGCAATTGTCTTCTAGGAGTCTTGAAAATTTGTTGATTTTTAAATCTCCATTTAAGTCTCCATTTTCAGAATTTAATTCATTCATTTTTTACATTGTTTATTGCTAAAACTATTTCACAAGATACTATAAACAAATGAAGTAAGTTTTGAAAGATGAACTTAGTTGAGTTAATCAATGCACTGTTAAGCTTTAAAATGAAGATAAAGATCTTGTAAAGGTTTTAAAATAAAGAAATTTTCAAGAATTCTAGAACTTCCAGTATTTGCTGTTTTAACATATTAATGAAATAAAAGATTATATATAATTATTTACAAAATTTGATAATCATTATTGTTAATAACAACAATTTCAATAACAAAAGTATTTTACTTAGTTGAACTTAAAACAGAAATATATATTAATATTTCAGAATCATAGAAGAACTAAATTCATCATGCTTTGGAGTTTATGACAGCAATATGAATAATAGTGTAAATGTGGAAGGCATTTTATTTTCTGATACGAAAGAAGCAAAGATTTCGGAAATTATTGATTATTTGAAACGTGTGTACTGTGGGCCGATCGGCATCGAATTTCTTTACCTCGAAGTAAGTATTTTGATATTAGTTACAAATTATTAAATTATGTAATGATTCTAACATTTAAAGAGCAGGGAAGAAAGGGATTGGATGGCCTGGAGATTTGAAAAATTGCAAAATGAAGAATTATCTAAAGAAGAAAAGGATTCTCTCGGTTTAAATCTTTTAAAATCCCAAGTAAACTGTTTTCTCAATCAATATAGTTAATTTTAACAGAGTTTATTATTTTATATATCTTTCTATAATATTTAGGTCTTTGACAATTTTCTTGCAACAAAGTTCTCAACAGTAAAAAGATACGGCGGCGAAGGTGCCGAAAGTATAATGGGATTTTATGACGAACTATTCTCCAAATCTGCAGAATGTAAGATAATGAATAAATATAAGATTAAAGAAATATTACATTGATCTGTAAAACTTTAATTAAATTTTATTTATACTTTTATAGTTGGTATTTCGGACGTCATAATTGGTATGGCCCATCGTGGTCGACTGAACTTGTTAACTGGATTACTAAAATATCCCCCAGAAGCCATGTTTCAAAAAGTAAAATATATATATATTTTTTCTTTTTACAAATATTAAATTTTTCCAAAAAGTTATAAACTTTTATATAAATTTATAAAGTTTGCTGAATATATTTTGTATCTTTTCAGAGAATTTTATATTAATTTATTTTATTTTTATTTAGATGAAGGGTATGTCAGAGTTTCCAAAAAATGTTACTGGTAGTGGAGATGTATTATCCCATTTGAGTAAGTTTTAATTTAATTATAGTTCATGGAAATGTTAAAAATTGATTTCAGATATTATCATAGAATGGCATTTCTCAAACTGGGATCCATGTCTCAGGATTTTTTCTAGAAACATTACTTAGTTGTAGTACATTTAGTATTACACAAATTACTTTCATTACAGTAAATTTACATAAAGTATATACATGCATACAAATATACAAACTTGTATGTATTTGTATGCATATATATATAATGGCCTGAAGCATTTGATCTTTGAAGTGGTCTGTAGATCTCAGTAGTTGAAAACTGCTATTCTGGAATATTAAATTATTAAATTCAAATTATTTATAAACATGAAACAAAAATATTTAATTAAATATTATCGCAGTCAATGATTATACTTGTTAAAATATAATAGATTTTTTACTTCTTAAGCTTTATTATTGAGGTCACAAAATATTTTCATACAACACGTAGTAGAAAAGTATTCTACCATTAGAGCCAACTGAGTTTATCAAAGCACTTTAAATGATTTTAGCATAAAAAGTTTTACAAGAAGTCAAGGTCAGCATGAGAATAGCTAGCATCTTTAGAAAAAAATGGTATTCTTTTCCTTCTGTTATATTTTCCTCAACAAAATTAAAAGAAAATGTATTATAAATAGTGAATAAGGAGTACCACAAGAACTCTTAGATAATACAGTAACATCTGAATAAAACAAAAACCTGCCTAAACAGAAAAAAATTTTTTGAAACAAAATGATTTTCCATATTAAATTTTAAGATATGCCAGAAACCTGTCTAACCTGGAAACAGGAAATTTTTTTTTTAGTATGAAGAATATGATCTAACCTAGATAAAGCCAAAAATTAAGATTCCACTTGTGTAGACAAATAAGTAAAATTGCTCCAGATATATTGAAAAGTATAATTTTTTTTTCTTTTTAGCAAAATATTTAATAATTCATTGAGCATTTTTTAGCCTGATTTTATTGGCCAACATCAAATGTATTACCAATACTAATATATATATATTTTGTTTTATTTTGGAAAATCGAATAGTTTTGTGATGCATACATCAGATTCAAAATAATTTTCAGAATTATACAAAATTCAAAACTCACATTGATTTGACTTTCCTATCTGGTGTCACAGAATAGTTTCATAGCAAAGTTACTATTATGACATAAATTTTTCCGTCTACTAGTACGTATTTTCTATTATCAGGACTTACTAGACTGGCTTTACAGATACTGCAACAAAGTTTCACAGATCAGAAATTTGTTTTATTTAATATACCTGGACACATACATAATATTGTGTTTCGGATTCATTCATCCCTCCTCGACAGGTATTTATGTTGTACAGTACATTCTACGTAAATTAAAAACAATAAAATAATTTTAAAAATACAACATTTTACATTTTCCGACAAACTTTGTTATTTATTTACTGACATTAATAAAAATTCTTACAATTTCCAAACTTTTTTCCCTCGTTTTCAATTCCATCAGACAGTAATTCTGTAAACGTAAACCTGTATTNGCCAGCTAAAACACATAAAAATAATATTAAAGTAGCCAAGACATAGCCAAATATTGTAGCGCCACATCACTAGCGGACATTTGAAATTTGCCGACTAGGATGGTCGGTTGATCGGGGTCGGATAATCGAGGTTCTACTGTATATTCACACCACCTGGTGGTTAAACTTACGAAAAAAATAATATCTTAGACTAAACAAATTAGATTCCTTTAGCCATTTATCTTAATAATTATAATAAATAAGATTGTATTTATAGTTTTATCTTGTAACAATTGCTTATATGATTGAACCTGTAAATAATCTTCACCAAAACACTTTTGTCTGACAGACATCAGAGCCTTACATTCAGTTACTACATGAAAAGCATCAAAATTAACACAAGTGCAACAGAATTCACAATAATCCAAACACAGAACCATCATTCTTCTAAATATATTACATCACACATATAACATTGATTGTATAATGCAAAATGGTCTTTCTGTATTCAAATAGGTTACCAAGCCTCATTCATTAAAAATATCCAAATACCACTTATTATATTTATAGTTAGCAGCTCTATTTTTAAACTCATTTAAATAATTATTTGCCAATCTCATTAAAATATCACAGACATCGGTTTCATTTAACATTTTAGGATCATTTCGATAGCCAAAATTTTGCAACAAGAACATAATTCGATCCCCCCGCGCTATTCTTCGAAAGAGTAAATATAATTTAGCGGATTTGGTAAGTTTACTAACCGACTGTTTGCATAACCATCTTTAATTATTTTTTATTATATTAAAAATAAAGAGGGATCCTTTAGATCTCAAAATATATAATATGGAATCCATGATACTATGGAATCCATGATACTATGGAATCCATCTTTTTAAAGTTTAATAAAATTAATTTGTAAATTATCATCTTTCGCTCTGCAATCAAAGCCCCAAATCTTGGACCCATATAACACTACTGACTGAATAAATGACTCAAATAATTTGAATTTAACTTTCCAGTGTAACAATCTACCAGATGCACTTGCCTTAATCTTGACTATCCCAATATTCACTTTTCTATTAATATATTTTAAATGCTTTAAAAAACATCCATTAGACTGGAAAAATACATCCAAATATCTATCTACCTTCTCAGCAATACTAGCTATTTAATAATAAACCACACACACCTAATTTGTAGTTGCCGAGTTATTTTCTTTATGCAAACGTTTTCGGCCAATTTGTATAGGCCATCTTCAGGCTTTAACGTTGTTCGTTCCAATGGAACCAATAGTTCTAAATTCATTTGAATTTGAACTTTTAACAACGTATGTGTATAATAAATAGTTAATATTATTCTTAACTATTTATTATACACATACGTTGTTAAAAGTTCAAATTCAAATGAATTTAGAACTATTGGTTCCATTGGAACGAACAACGTTAAAGCCTGAAGATGGCCTATACAAATTGGCCGAAAACGTTTGCATAAAGAAAATAACTCGGCAAATACAAATCAGGTGTGTGTGGTTTATTATTAAATACACCCAAATACTTATACTCATCAACTACTACTATTTTACAATTTTGTATAAACCAACTTTCATTTGTTTACTACAACTTTTCATATACTGTACTACACAACTTTTAAAAATTGGGTAGTATAAAAGTTATATTATTAATTTTATTTACCTGTAATAACATTTTCCTAGTTGTAATTTCCACCACCAATCTTTATATTGGCAAGCTTGCGTAGCNAACCAAGGACATTGAGGCATATAAGTTTACTAAAGTATTTTCATTGGCATGTTGAAGCCAAAAAAAATATATACAAATATATTTTATTGAAAAATGCTATTGGTTCTAAATAATTTTGATTACCAAATTTAAGGAATGTGAACTCAACATGCAAAGACATAAGATGTTGCTATTGAATTAATATTAAAAATTCTCTGTCAGCATGCAACAAAGGATTTCTAATATTCTTCATGAATGCATTCAAAACAGACTTGTATACTAATTACTAATGTGTAGGTCTTTTATTTGAAAATGTTCTTTGTGATCTTAATTTTTCAAGGAACACTTTACAAAACATTAACCTGAAATCAATATGAAATTAAAGTTTTGAAAAATGAGTAACCAGTTATATTTTTGACTTGTAGACTAAAAATGATTTAAGAATATTTTAGAAGAAAACAACTCTAATAATACATTAAATTATAGCCAGCTCGGTTGATTTGGAATATAAAGGGAAACACGTCCACGTTACCATGCTTCCTAATCCATCACATTTAGAGGTATAAGATTAGTTGCCATTGTAATGTGTATAGTTTCATATATAAAATCTTAAATGTAAAACATTTTATCTGCAGGCTGTTTCTCCTGTAGTCTGTGGTAAAGCAAGAGGGAGATTATTATCATTAAAATGTGGAGATTATTTAGAAGGTAAAGATAAAATACCTGTGTATAGTGTACTTCCAGTTCAAGTGCATGGCGATGCTTCATTTACAGGACAGGTAATTGTCAACAAGAATATACAGTTCATGAATTTTAAAGTAGTTTATTTTATTTCTGATGTGTATATGAAGCGATTTTTTTTTTTTGTATAGGGCATCATCATGGAAACATTAGCCATGTCAAACATTCCTCATTTCAATGTTGGCGGTTCGATACATATCATTATTAATAATCAGTTAGGTTACACTACACCAGGAGAAAGGGGCAGGTAATTTTTAATGTTGATATTAATACCATAATAAGAATTTTATTATTAATCAGCAAATTTTTAATTATTACATTCTGTATTTTAGATCTTCTTTATACTGTAGTGATATTATGAAAATGATAGCGGCTCCCGTCATCCACGTCAATGGTGATTATCCTGAAGTTAGTTCGGTTTTGATATTCTTTTATTTTAGAAGGCAATTTTTATTGAATATAAAATTAGCAAAGCTATAAGGAATAGATGAATAGTTCTCATAAATTATATGATGTTAATTTCTATGCAAAAATAATTGTTAAATAATTTAAAATATAATTGTGTAACGTATTAAACTTAAAAGCTATTTTTAAAATGTTGAAGTTTAATATATGTAATATGAGGGAAAGTCAGCAAGAAAGCAGAATAGTTGTTATGGAAGTAATAGGTTTTCAGTATGTATCATTAGGTAGTAGCACAGTCTAAGTAGACAGATGCATGTAATTAGTGGATATTTTCAGTAGTGTAAAATGGTGATTGGGCCCCAAGTATACAAATGTAGAGTTGTGTGCTGTTGTGCATTTTCTATCAGCTAAATGTCTCATTGCAAAGAAAATTCATAAAGAACTGTTTTCCAATTATGGGAGAAAGAATTTGTCTCATAACATTGCTCACAACTGAAATTCGGAGAGGTTGAAAATGGGATACAAAAGTGGTCGAGAAGGTGGATAAAAGAATTTTATGCCACAGGTTCCAAAGGGATGATAAAGTAGTGGACAAGTGTATTAATGTTAGGTGATCGTTCTGAAAAATAAATGTTTTATTCACATTTACAGTTTCTCACTTTGACTTACTGGCTTTCTTTTATATTTAAATTACCTTTATAAAATTTATAAATTATTTTAATTGTTTCATTTGTTTTTATTTTTTCACTTTTTAGATATTATTAAACAAGATTTTAATTCACGTATATATATTTTTTTTAATCTGTATTGGCATTGTAATTTAATATTTTAGAATTATATCCTAGATCTATTCTATTAATGATTATGTACTTATTGTTATGTAATTGGCCATTTATTTATTTATTTATGCTTATTTTTGATTATTATTGTTATGACATAGATGTATTTTCATGCCATTGATGATGATAGATGTGTTGTTACTCAATTTTATTATTATTTAAATCCACTGGTTCTTCAGAGCAGTTTGAGCCAATAAAATAAACTATCTGGTTTGTACAATAATTTATAATTTTAATCAAAACTGCTAAGAAATTTAAATGTGTTTGTGAGGAAATTTTAAAATCCAAATTTCCTCCAACAAATTTAATGTATATGACTTTTATTCTATAGAAGCTTCTTAGAAGTCAATTCAAGTTTTATTTTCTTTTAATGTGGCCAACCACTAAGTCTTCCATTACAATACTTAAATTGAATGTCATAAATTTTATTTTGCTTGAAAATTTTATATAATTTTTGAATATAAATTATTTCTTTCATTTCATAGGAACTAGTAAAAGCAACACGTCTGGCTCTGGAATATCGTCAAAAATTTCAAAAAGACATTCTAATTGATTTGATTTGTTTCCGTCGATGGGGTCACAATGAAATGGATGATCCTACATATACAAATCCCATTATGTATGATCACATTCATGCTCGTCAAAGTATACCTGATAAATATACTCAGAAATTAGTGGTATTTGATGGTATTTTATATCAAATTTTTTTACTTATTTGGATACAAGTTATCAACAATAAATATATTTTAATAGGATGAAGGAGTATGGACAGAAAACACAGCAAGTGATGCCATTGCTAATTATTTAAAAGATCTCAACAGCAAATTTAAATGTGTTGATTTTTATGAACCTCAAGTAATTTTTAAGCATGTTTTTGCTAATGATTATTTCTTATCATTAGTTATTATAGTTTTATTATATTTACTTAGGCAAATCATTTGCAAAAGAAATGGTCCACATGTGTGCAAGCTACGAATACAATTAGCAAATGGGATACAGGAGTTCCGTTAGATGTTCTGAAATTTGTTGGTGCTAAGTCTGTTAATATTCCAGATAATTTTGTAAGTAATTTATTATCAACATTGAAATGGAGGAAATTTTAAAATGTATTAAAATACACATATTTTAGATAATTCACAACCATTTGCATAAAGTTCTAGTAGCAGAACGTTTGAAAAGAATTGAAGAAGGAACAAAAATTGATTGGGCTACGGCTGAAGCACTTGCAATAGGATCTCTTCTGTATCAAGGTAACTTGGTTAGATTTTTCAGTAATGAATTATAATTATTATTTTTGTATATTGTCAGTTTCTTCCAATACATTGGTATGTTAAATAGTATTTAGAATAATTAATGCCAGGGGAACAAAACCTGCAACTTATACAGTCTTCAAGAATATAAGTAGTTGATGGTCATAAAAAGAAAGACAGTGAAGTTGGCTTAAAATTTTACATTCTTTGTGACATTTTATAAAGAGATTATTAACTAAAGAACTCAAGAAACATTATATTTGTCTATAATTTTGTATAATTATTCTGAAAGACTTTAATTATATTTTTAACTTCAGGTTTTAATGTTCGTATTAGTGGACAAGATGTCGGAAGAGGTACCTTTAGCCAGAGACACGCAATGGTTGTTGAACAGAAAACAAATGAAATGTATGTTCCTCTCAATAATATGTTGCCTAACCAAAGTGCATTTTATGAGGTAAATTATATTTTTTTAAAAATTTAAAAATTTGATAAAATTTAAAATTTAATACAATTTATATCTTAAGGTTGCCAATAGTATATTATCAGAAGAAGCAGTTTTAGCTTTTGAATATGGTATGAGTATCGAAAGTCCAAAACATCTCATTATATGGGAAGCTCAATTTGGTGACTTTTTTAATGGTGCACAAATTATCATTGATACATTTGTTTCTTCTGGTGAAAGTATGCAATTAAAAATTTAAAATATCTGTAATAGAAATAGTTTATAATGCATTAAAACTTCAATTTTTAATAATAATGTAGCTAAATGGCTTTTGCAAAGTGGATTGGTTATGCTTTTACCCCACGGATATGATGGAGCAGGACCCGAACATTCTTCGTGCCACATTGAAAGATTTCTTCAAGTAAGTACCAAAAATCTCTTCAATCAAATTTTATTTTTTAAAATTAATTGTGTGTGTAAATTCTATCAGAACTGTGATAGTAAAGAAGATAATGTTGATGGAGATGACATAAATTGGCTTGTTACTCATCCAACAACTCCTGCAAATTATTTCCATTTGCTTAGACAACAGGTTTGTTAATTATAATAATAATTTGAAAATCAAGCTTGAATTATGTATAAATAATCAAATGATAAAGCTGGATTTATTATTGGGCTATAACTTGGCTAATGAATTCTAGCTCTATTATGTAATTTGTGCTAAAGGTAAACAATTAAGTTGCATCTTGTATTAAATTTAATAATTTAAATTAAATTAATTTAGAATGTTCCAGAAGAGAAGATCAATCCAGAGTGGGACTCAAACCTGCAGCTTTGGCTTACAGTGCAGATGTGTACACTATCTGGACCTCTGTCTGATCTTTGCTCCAAGAAGACACTGTCCAGACAGTCTGGGCAGTGTCTTCTTGAAGCAATGATCTGGGTTAGGGTTGACAACTTTCTTGTACAGAAAATAAGGACTTTATACAGACAGTGTAAATCACTGGAGGGCATTTATAACAAATTGTTTAGTCAATCAACAAATATGGATAACAAATTATAAAACATTAAATAGATAATAGTGTTTTAAACTCATTGTTAGGATTATCATCAACTGTTTCACAATGCCAACCTAATTGAGTCCTTAAATTTTATTTGCCTGTCCAGTTCTGATTTTTTTTTAAATACTCTTTCCTCCCTGTGGGCACTAAGAGTGCCTCTTATAGCAGGCCCGTTATGGGTTTGGCCTGGCCCACAACGGGGCAACCGGGTGGTGAGGGACGGGGCCCGACATATCCAAACGGACCACCCCCAAAAAATTCCTGGGAATTCCTCGACCCGTCCGGATTCGATCCCGGGTCCCCCAGAGTGGTAGGCTGACACCTTGACCGCTTGGCCATCCAGCCATTGTCCAGTTCTGATTAATAGTAGTGTCTTTCTCTTTCTGTTACCATAATGAGTGATGAAGGTGAAACTATTATTCTAGGATGAGAAAATAAATTACCGGAATTTTGTCTGCTAGTAATATTTCAGAAATAATAAAGTAAAATTAAACAAAAACAAATAATTAAAATTGTCGTATTCAAAAGGAAGATGGAAGGAGAATACAGTTTAATGGAGAAAGTAGCATGGGTAGCATTCTGGGTTCAAGTCATGCTCTGTGTCAATCTTTTATTCTAGAATACTCTAAATTAATTATTTATTAAATTTAATACAAGATAGCAAATTAATTAATTACCTACCTTTAGTCCAAATTATATAATAATATAATTAATTATCCAAAGTATAGTCTGGCTTTATCATATAATTATTTTTAATTATGATACAGTATAGTCCCATAAACTCAACTTAATGTAGATTGAGAAGTGAAGAGTTTTGCAGATAGCAATGATGCTAGTCTAAATAGCAGAATTTTCATAAAGATATGTACAAATCCATGTATCTATTAACTATGTACCATAATGAATATTTCTGTTTATAGTTAAACTTTAAAAATATTGGCTATTAAGTGGGTACTTCAGATTTAGTAACATATGCATTGTGGCATTTTGCAGTGACTTCTTAGAAAAGGTTTATATTCTTTATTAACACGTGGAATTGATGCTATTATTGAGTGTTGCCAGTGAAGAATGATAACTTATTTGATCCTAGTGCTAAGTTATAGAGATAAAAATTAGATTACATGTTTTTTTTTTTTCACAACATGACAAGTTTTATGGAATGTTGAGTTACCAGGACTCTACTGTAATTTAATTATTTTTAATGTCTTATTAAAATTTACTTGATATTTTTTATTTTGTTAGATGATACGAAACTTCAGAAAACCTCTTGTAGTCGCATCTCCAAAAACATTGTTGAGGTTACCCGCAGCCGTTTCGTCATTGTCTGACATGATATCGGGAACTACATTTACTCCAGTGTTAGGCGATAACACAGCTGATCCTAATAAAGTGAAGAGAGTTGTTATATGTTCTGGTAAATATTTTTATACTCTACACAAAGAAAGAGAAGATAAGAAGATTGAAGACACTGCCATTATTCGTATTGAAGTAAGTTAATCATTTATAAAGAATTTTTTTAAGTACTAATTTTAATTGTAAATTTCATCAATTTCTAGGCTTTATGCCCTTTTCCTGCTAATGAATTATCTAATGAGATAAAAAAATTTAATAAAGCAAAAGGTAAATATGTTTTTCATAAATATTATGTTTTATGATGATAAAATGTTTATTTGATCAATATTAAAACAATACTTTTTTTAGAATTTATCTGGTGTCAAGAAGAACATCGAAATATGGGTCCTTGGTTTTTTGTAAGACCAAGATTTCAGAATCTACTTGGCATATCGGTAAAAAAATGCAATACATTAATACATTATTAATTTTTATGCAGCAATAATTATTTATAACTGATTTTTTTAACATTTTGTAGCCAACTTACATTGGTCGAGACATCTTGGCAACAGCTGCCGTGGGAATTGGTCAGAGACATCAACAGGAGAGTGTACAAATTTTGAAGAAATTATTCAATTCATAGTTTTTTAATAATTAAATTTTTGTTATAAAAGTCACAAATAGGAGTGTTATATATTTTATAGTTTAATTTTTTATAAAAACAAAAAATTTGAACATATTTACATGCCATAATCCAAGCTGCCTTTTTGGTATTGTTCCAATTTTTGAGAGGTAAATTTATAAAATACGAATTGATGCTTATATTATTGATTTTTGGGGCCAAATTTATTCTTTTATACTATACAATGCATGACTCTAGTTGTTGAGAAAATTTATACAGAATGAGATTTATACATAGAAAGCATCAAGTTAGATAAAACTTGATCATTTAAAAAAAAAAAAAAAAAAAGTGGAATGAACCAGATCAGCCCCACAATGAAAAATTTGGCTGCTTTTTATCTGGATTCAAGCTTGGAATGGCAGACATCTTTGCATAATTTTACAAAAACTATTTAGTAATACTTTAATAAATCTGACTTCTCATCAATAAATTCTATTGATGTGGGAAGTCTGTTATATCATGTGTACATCAAAGTTTGCCAATGATATCAACCATCAGATAATACTCTTTCTATGGCTGTGCCTCATTCAGTATAAAAAAAACCTCACTTTTGACTTGCTGTGATTGAATTGTAATAATGTTTTTCCTGTTTCAATTTTAATCTAATAAATTTAGTCTATATTGTTAAAATTTTAAATTGTTATTTTTTAAATGTTTATTAATTTTTGAACATTAAAGCATTTCAAGTTGACAAAAATAAATATTGCAGACTTATGAAGACTTGCATTTAATTTTTCATTTTATTTAATCATAACATGAAAAATATTTTGAGGCTTGCTTGTCAAGTTATTCAATCCTTTTCCTGTACTTCTTACATTCTTGACTGATCATCCAAATAATCATATAAGATATTTACCTGCTTTTGAGAGATGTTTCTGACTGTGTTTTGAACTGGAATTTTACAAGTATATTTCTTGATCGTGAATAGTCCCATTTATGATATTGTTTTTGATCCGTCATTCCATGATAACACATATTTGCCCCATAAATAAAAAATAAATGCTAGCTGAATAACTAGTATCATGCTAATTCAGTTACCCAGAGCTAAATTTAAGAGAGAATATGCTTGTGCATAAAATTTAAAATGTCTGTACTGTACAATTGAATTTTCCAAATCCTTGAATGCCTTTATGACTAATCCAGCTACATTTACTAATCCAATCCATTTTTCACTTCAGAATTGTATGCTATGCTGTATTTCAAGCTTTTTGCAACTTGATATTGCAGTTTTTTTATTCATTGTGTTCCTGCACAGCATTGCAGAGTTTCAGTTGAGAACAGAATGGAAGAGGTATTATGAGTAAGCTTTGAATCTATCCTCTCTGATGAGAGCATTAGAAGCATCAAGATAATTGTATTTTTATGGTTTCTGTCCTGAGAGAGAACTATCTGAATTCTTGTAATTTTTTATGGACAACTGTTAGATCAAAGCATGTTTTACTCTCATTAGCTAGTTGCCATTATTCCATTCTCATGCTAATTTCCAACCAGTCCATTACCAATACCTGTATAAACAGCAGGAATAAAGATGCCTCCCCCTGCCTGACAATATCTCTCTCTCTCTTTCACATATCAACTGCTACCTTTGTAACCCATCTCCCCCACTTGTTTACTTTATCTGAATCTATACCTTTTCCCTTCCTTCTAACACTAACACATTCACTTCTGATTTCACAGCTGAGGATAGCCAAGCCCATTAACTGGGTGAAAAATGTTAACATTCTTCTAAAAATTCCACTTTTAAAATCTTTGTTGTTTATCTAAAATCTCTATTTTCTAAATCATCTTGTTTTACTTCAATGACATTTAAACAAACATTAAATTTCTCTTATAATGATCAGTCCAGAATTCTCTTATTATCTCAAATCAGATTGCCGTATGCTCAATATATTTCCAGCCAACCCAAAAAGAGAACAGAAGTCAAAATTTAATCTGGATCTTTATGGTTATTCATTAGTATTTGCTACATCATCACTCATTTACCCTAATTGACCACCACTGCACAAGTTTACTTATAATGGACAAATTTGTGGCCAGCTGCATAGAGTATGGTGCACAATTATAAAAAGTATCTTTCATCAATAAATTGTTCTCACCGGCAGCCTGTGTCATCAATAAATTGTTCTCACCAACCACCAAATACAGATAGTTGTGGGTTTACATCTGACCAATGGGCTGGCCACATGGAATTTTCTGGGTTTTCTTTTACCCATCTAACACTTAAGTAGGGGCCAGTTTCCTGTGGAAAATCTCTGGAAAGTAGCCCATCAAATCAAATCAAACCATCAACAAATTCACTTCTGCTAACATCACCCAAATACATACATTATTATTTATTGATCCTTTCCAGATGGGCAATACAGATAGATAGATATTTTATTGTAACTTATTGGAGTACAGTAAATACTGGGTGCCACAAACATATAACCCAGAGATGGGCAATACAGTATATAGTTGTGAGATAGCCGGGGACGTTATCAGAGGTACACCACTTACGGGCACACAATCGTGAGATCGGTTCTCTTACTTTTTATAGGAGGGCGATAATCGCTAGTAGATCTGAACTGTGAAGTCCAGATGCTCGTCAGGGCTGACACCAGTTTGTCAATTAAATTCCGCGGACAAACACACGTGTGGTTACTTTATAGATCTGATTCAGAGACAAATTCAGAGACATATCTTATATAAAACAAACAAGAATAAGTTTAATGATTCTATATATAGTAAAACTATTACAAATATCAAGGAACAAGGGATATAAAAACAACAATTAAGATACCCGATATAGGCATGGACTTATACTATACCGATGCGCGATCGAGAGAGAGAGCTCACAAAATCGTTATAAAACATACAACCTGTTTTAGTTGTCGTTCGTCTTCTTCTCTGTAGGCAAAGGACACCTTGGAGATAAAGTTCATTTACTTCTTTCCATGGGAGATCAATATGTGCACAAAATCCAAGTATATTTTCTAAGTGCTAACTCTGGAATTATTCTGTATGTGACTCATCAAAGGACGTTGGTCATCAGGAGGAAAATGTATGGAGTTCGGACACTCTCTATGTCTGTCGATGAACTCCCCGAATTCTGACAAATTCCCTCTATATCTCCTGATTTTCGACCAATCATCGGCCAGTAACTCTTTCATGAGAACGGATGAAAGGGGAATGAATGAGGGGTAAACATTTCCCATCTGAGCAGGATTTTAACCACATAAGGGAAAGTCAGAGGATGTTCTAACTTCTGTGAAAGGAAGTAACATCTGTTATCTGCCTTTTCCCACGTTAAAATAATATTTTTCTCACCAAAAATGAAGTAATATTTGGTGACAATATTTAACATAATTAATAAAATTATTAATTTAGACCCAGGGGCCTTTCAGGTCTCACATAGTAAAGCCATTCAAAAGTTCTGAAAGAAATACCTACATTATTAGAAGGAAAAGATAAAAAATACTCTTTCCTCTTACCTGTCTCATAAAAAATAACATCCAATTACTGGTTAATATTATTAATAAAATTTGCCCTATGACAATAAACCAATAAACTAGCAAAAGAACCAATCATTCTGAAAAGTGAATGTTTTCATGCATTTTTAAAAATCTTCAGGCTGGTATTCTAAATTTGAATTTAGAACAACAGCTTGATATAGACAAAAATAATTAGGTTACGTAGCAAGTAATATGGCGATAGGGCGTTATGTATATAACGCCCTATCGCCATATAAAAAAATCAGATGACTTTAATCAAAAATCATCAAATGATCAAAAATCAGAAACATAACTTTAAATCATCTGATTTTTTTTCCTTGGAAATTTAATTCTAGGTTCAAGTGTGCTGTGAGATAAAATAAAAGGTCAAAAAACACTGCATTAGAGGCTTATCATCCACCTCGAAATGTAAAATGTTATAATGTTAACACCAGTTCATACTTATTGTACTGGCTATTTATCAATAAGAAAAATTGTGAAACGGAAGGAATAAGACAAATATGTAATCAAGTTGCCTTATATTTACAGGATGGCTAATAAATACTTTAAATTAGTTTACATATATTTAATATGACAAACTTTTCATAATAGACTTCAATTACCACTGCAATTGAGATTATTGTCTTCAGATAGTGGCAGTTGAAGCATATTATGAAAAGTTTGTCATCTTAAATACTGTATATGTAAACTATTTTAAAGAGAAATTGTTTGCCAAGAAATCAGAAATTAAGTGAGATGAATGCAAAATGATCATATCAACGAGATATAACTTTTTATAAACATTATTCAAGATCTAGATGGTACAGTCACCTTTATCTTACCGTACGACTCGGTAGTGTTATATCCAGGGTTTTGAGAATAGAGGTGCTGCTCAAAGTAGATTTGGGGAACCGAGACACGTTTCCCTTCCATTTTTTTTTTTTTTTTTTTTTTGAGAAGTTAAAGTAATTAAACGGTCATTAAGTACATAATCTATTCTTACTTAAATCGCGCAGTATGTGGTGCTATATTTATTATTTTAAAGTAACGAAACCGGGTGCTTTGGTATCGAGGGGTTCTGCAGCACCATAAACCCCCCCTGAATATGTGTCTGGGACCTGGGGTCAAATTCGGGTGAGCAACTTCCTAGGAATTTTTCACCAGCGGAAATCCCCGATATGTCCTGTCTGATCCTTCACCATCTGGCCGAACTTGCAGTGAATATGTGATTTTCTTTGTTGCCACAAGACAGAAAAACTTATAACTTTTATTGGCGTTTTAGTTTGACGCTTTAGAAGGGCATTATATCGATAGTTGACTATTTATTGCAAAAATGGGATCGAAAATAATGTTTCAGAAAAATAACGGGGTGGATTGGATCGATGATCGTACATCAAATAACAAAAGCAAAGTAAGTATAGGTGGTCCCGGACTAGACTCGGAAGACGAGAACTGCAAATACAAAGGCAATTTGACGTTTAAATATATTCGAAAATATGGATACTTGCTACAATTTAAGCAAGTTAATTTTTAACGCGAATGAAATAAAGTGAAAGCAATTTAGTGGCGAAAAACGCCGGTAGAAAGCACCTATTGATTTTCCTTTTCTGTAAAGCGTTAGATGACTTTTACCACATTAATTTTATGGAACCGATACAATCGTTCTAGCGGAACATTTTTATCCGAAGAGACGTCATTTTTATAAGGCCAGTACTTTGTTACGTTAAAATATCTTTTTATTTCGGTTTTTCGTTTTTTTCTACGTGTAGAGGGATTCGCCCGAAAAGGGGAGAGGATCGGTTCCCAGCGCCATCGAGACACGAAACCGGACCTTCCCGATGGGAATGCGCCGGACTTTCTCGTCGCCAGACGAGGGGTTTCGCTATAATAAGTATATTTTGATACAAACGATACGTTATATATTACTGTATATACAATATTGACAACAGTCCGACGAACAAGAATTGGAGTCTTCCCGAACGAAGCCGGAAAGAATTTTGGAAAATAATTCTCAATTCGTCTAAATTTCTACGTTAATATTATTTAAAAATAAACATTTCAAATTTTTCCAAAAGAAAACATCGTTCCAATTTTGCAAATTTAAAAAAAAATTCGAGAGCATTTTATAGAAAAAAAAATGGATTTAGGCAAAATAAGACGCTAGGGGACGCTTTACCGTGACTGTGCTCCTTGATCGTCTGATTGAAAATACTAAACATGAGTTCTATCGGTACAGGAGTAAGTATTTTAATCGTAAATTATTTGCATTTTATCAGTTAATCCTGTTTTGCTCAAAAATATTTAAATTAGCTAACTATTTAATCAAACGGTTTAAGAAATGACGGTGAAATAATGCAAAAGATTCCTCGTTGTCTACGGACGAGACTTTAATGTGCCGAACTCGGGGAAAATATGATTAATTTACAAACGGGCGCACGTTATGTCTCGTCTTGAACCGGAATAATGCATTTCACCATTCGTAACTTCATTGAGATATCCCAGAAGTAAATGGAATTTCACTTTTATACAATTTTCAATGCTGGCTAAATGTTTCTAAGCAATACGTACAAGCTAGAAATGAATCGTTGAGGTTTCGGTAATAAATGACATTTTAACGTTAAGCTTTGAAACCGAGACTTTTGGGCAAAATTACCACCTCCGGAGACGGGACGTTTCGAAGTGTGGCCGACGGCATGTGTGTTGCCAAAAACTTAGGTGGAGTCGAGCCGGTCGCTCAAAATGGGATGTCGGTTTGTCCGTATGATATCTTTTGACGATTATTGTCTTGTGGACGAGTTATGGATGTGTCCGAATGGGTCGGGGCGACGTCTCGCCACCTTTGTCGTCCGAAACCGACGCGTTCTTGGAGACGATTCGGGTGTTGCGTGGTTCTTCCGTCGCCTTTTGTGACGAAAATCCTAATTTGCTCTTGTCCGAATAACCTTGGCATTTCTCCACCCGACTCCTAAATGTTGCAAAATTCCTATTTATTTGTCGATTGTGTTTTTGGCACGGTGTCGAATGCGTGCGTGGCAGTAGAAAATTGGCGAAATTGCACTTTCCTAAGACGGCCGTGCCGAAAATGCCGTGCGGACGACTGGAGGGGCGAGCCTCGGGCCCGGATCGTCTGAGCTGTTTGGTCAAATGCTAGACCACCATGGAGTGAATTTGCGCGGTTTATGCTTTTGTGTGTTTCTGGGGACCGTCGTTACCTAACTAAAGACTGATTCTCTGACAAAGTGGCCTTTGGGTGACGGGTTGACCGGTGCGACGTTCAAACGTGGAGAACCAAAAGACTACGCTTGGCGCGTGGATACTTTTTCGGTCTAAAGGTGCTTGTACGGGTGTGAAATGCTTTGTGACAAAAGGTATTCGTCTTCGTTGAGGTTTGAATGTTTGTACAAAGTTGAAAGAAGTTTTTCTAGACAAACAAATGGACAGAGATGGACCTATCCTATGTCCTCTCTAACCGGCAGACGTTATGCCTCTGGATTGTTGGTTTATGTTAAATGTTGCATCTATAAACAATAACCTGCAGTTTAGTTTGGTGCTTCTGGGCCTTTTTTGGATCACCGCTCCCTTGGTTGTGACTGTTAGTGGTAATGTCTCCTGTTCTGTGTACGCAGAATGGGGACGGGAGGCGACGGAGCCTATTGCCTCACCCTGTCACCTCCTATCTTGCCTAATGCTTCCTTGGATAATTCAGACGCTCACTCTCCACAGGGATATCACCCACTTTGAAAAAACTGATTTAGTTCTGAAAAAAAATTGCTGATACTGTCTTACTGCTGTCTGTTTGGGCCATTGATGCTCCATATCTTCATCTAGTGGTTAAAGCCATCCTTAACAAGACAACCTAAACAAAATTTGGTGGGACTGCCACATGCAGACTGTGCTTCCCTGCTTTAAATAAATGTATTGAATATTTTGGCAGTACACTATTTTTCAAATACAGTAGAGCGTCAGTTATCCGAAATGTCAATTATCCAAAAGAATTCCAGTCGGCAAATTTAAATTTTCGCCAGTGCTGTGACACTGCAATCTTTGGCTATGTCTTGGGCTACTCAAATATTTTACGTTTTTGATACTAAATTAACTTCTGAAGTATAATTTTTTATTGTTTTTATATTTTTCAATAAATTTATTTTGTTTGTACAAAATAAAAAAATAATTTTTAACGATACAATAGTCTTTGTTAGGCTTAACATCAATGAAAATTCAATGCAAAGTGACATGCAACGGAGAAAAATTTCAACGTGGGATGGGTTAATATATTTTTTCATACATAATCGGTTATCCGAAATATCGATTTTTCCAAACAACCCCAGTCCCCAATTGATTCGGATAATCGACGCTCTACTGTACTTCTGTGGCATTTTCTGTACTGATAAACTGAGTCCAAGAGTTCCTACTTGTGTTACTTGCATTATGTTATGCATTGCTCTAATTTTCATCTAAATATCTCTGAAAGACCCATTTTTTTTTACTGCTTGGTTCTGTATGCTGGACAAAAAGAATAATCTTTGTTTTGTAATTTTTTCTCATTTTAAAAATATTTACTGTCATTTAGACTATTGCTTAAATTGAATGTTTATTCTCAGTCTTTTAATAATTTTGCTTTTTTTAAATTTATATAACCATTCTTCTTAATCTATCCCTTAAGCTATATGTATAGAGTGGCCTGAAAGTCAAGTAACCATATATTTTGTAAGCAACTCAGCAGACTTATGAAAATGTGTCAAAGCATCGTAATTTTGTGTATTGAACAAGAAGAACCTTAGGTAATAAAGCATTTGAATAAGATAGCAATTCAATTTTTACAACGGTTACCTGACTTTTGAGCTACCCTGAATTATTTGAGTTTGTCTATAGGCACAAGGGAGGCCCAAAAGTCAGGTGATGGCGTGAATCTCTCTAATAAGCTATCAGAGGGTTGTAATTTGTATATTGAGTAAGAAGGGTTCCATTTTGAGTAATTTTTGCAAAATTTGTGAACCGTAAAGTGCTTGAAATTTAATATTTACACGGTTAACTGATTTTTTGGCCACCCTATATGCTTGCAAAGTCTTCACTTAACTCGTACCAAGCAAAAATATACTAGAAAAATTCGAAAAAATTTAATATATCGAAAATAATTTCACGTGTTTTATAAATATCGTTTAAAGTTTAACAGATAAGAACCTGAAAGTAGATTCCACGTAAAGTATTTTAAGAGAGGCCATTAATGATTGTTTTTAAGTATAGACATAAGAAAATACGAATAAAAACTATTTAATTTTACTATAATGCCTACGATATTAATGTAAAATGTACATAGTATTAAAAAAAGGGGAGCGGATAGAAACGATCAGATGGGCAAACAAGTAACGATAAAGGGAACCTTCAAGCAAACAAACAGACGCAGCACGTGGCCGATTCGGAGAACCATTCTTTGGCTTAATGCTCGCACAGCATTAGTCGTTGAAGGTAAATGTGTCTCGATCTATGTTTGTTCGCCATAAAGTGAACACACGACTAAGGTTGGCAGTCACGAAAAAGCGCATCTCTCTGACTAAATCTGGCTTTCAAAGCTGTAAAGCTTCACTATGGTTCTTTCGTGGCTGCGATCTTTATGGTAAAACTCTAAAGCTGGTTGTTAAAAATTCCGTGATCCTTTCCACATCGATCCTTTCTAAAATATTCGGTTTTAAGAGAAATTGCTCTATACTTACTGATGGATTCTTCTAAGTCCGATATACTGATATTGACTGCTGAAGGTTGTTGCAACTTTCATAAATTTATTCATTTTAAATTCTAAAATAAAGTTTCTTCTCTTTTTTTGCGAAATATGAAAATTTTATAATAAAATTCTGAAAGAATAAGTAAGAAATTAATTGATGCAAGTATCTAAAATGTGAAATTTGTATGCAGTTTTTATCTAGTTGGAAGTGAAAAGATCTAACTAATGATAAAACTTTGTGAAATTCTTTATAAAATAATTGCTGAAATTTATTACAATGTTTACGAATTTATTAATTTAAGGTTCTAGAAACGAATTTTTCAAAATAAAAAGCTTTTTATGATCAAATCATATAAGAAAATGTAAAAAATTAATTTATGAGGGCATCTAAAACGTGAAATTTTGTATATAAATTGCACAACAGAAAGATCCAACAAAATCATGATTCTACAATATAAAATTTCGTGAAATTCAGTACAAAATAACTGTTGGATGTTGTTGCAACTTTCATAAATGTATCGATTTAAATTCTAAAACTTATTTCTTTTTTTATAATATTAAAATTTTAAAATCAAATCTTATAAGAAATTACAAAAATTTAATTCATCGAAGTGTCTAAAATATGAAATTTCTTATAGATCTAGACTAATTATAGTGTAAAGAGATCAGCAAATTAACATGCTATTTCATGAAATGCATTATAAAATAACTGCTGAAAGTTGATGCAACTTACATAAATCTATTAAGTTAAGATTTCAGTAGCGAAATATTTTGGAATATGGAAATTTTACGATCAATTCTTGCAGAAAAATGCAAGGTACTAATTGAAAAAGCGAAATTTTGTAGTCCACGGGTTTGTTTATCTAATTGCAACATAGAGAAATCCAACAAAGTAACACATCTACAATTTAAAATTTTATGTGAAAATGTTTATAGATTAATTTAAATTATATTTTAAACTTTAAAAAATTATAGAATTAACAAATAAATTAAATTNTTTATGTTTTATACTTTTTAATAAGACATTTTGTTTTTATTACTTTGGAAATGGTCATTTCAAGTCACATAAGACTTTACTTCTGTAAAAATTAATGAATAACAAATGAACTTTCACTGTAGATATGCTCAATATAATATATTAAGCTTGAATATCGATTGAATATGCTGTAAGTTATTAACAGTGCTCATGTAGCAATACATTGAAACCTGAATAAAACTGCTTGAGTTGTTTTTCTATTGATGAAAGCTGTATTATCTTAGATCAATTATCTTTTTTGTTTATTGTTTCAAAATGTGTGCAGAACTTTGTAACTCTACTAAAGTTATTCAATTTAGATATCATGATGATGATCAGCATCATCATATAATATAATTGAGATGGGTTGATAAGAAAAGGGCAGAGCGCAAACGGTTAGTTGAAAGTTGAAATTTGGTACATAGTTAGGGTACGTCATGAGAACGTACACCAATGGTTCTCAAAGTGTGCCCCCTAGAAGATTTCTGGGTGCACTCTATGGTATTCCAGAGAAATATGTGCACAGATATAAAAATAAATACAGTTACTCTATTATACCATTTCATTACAGAAATACCGCTCTTTTTGTTAACACATTATTATTATATTTATTATTAACATATGATTATGTGATTTTTAGATAAATACACCCAACTAAAATGGATAGATTTCTCAAAAAGAAGCATGATATTGAAGAATCCAGTTCTGGAAGTTAGCAAAAGTTAAGTGCAAGTAAGAAAGCAAAATCGTGGCCTACTCATAAATATAATGAAAGTTGCTTAAGCTTTGGTTTCACTTGGACCAGAAGTGAAGATCATCCTTTACCGCTATGTTTAGTATGTGGATGTAAAATGGCAAATGAATCGTTGCTTCCTAGTAAATTGAGTAAACATTTTAAAACTATACACCGTAATTTACAAGATAAATATGTAAGTTTTTTCAAGAGATTGTCTGAACAGCAAACAAAGGCAACAAATTCTTTTAAAAGTATAATGACTGTTTCTGATGAAGCTCAAATTGCTTCTTATGAAATCTCAGAACTGATAGCAAAAAATATGAAAGCTCATACTTTAGGTGAATCACTTATTTTGCCTGCATGCAAAAAAACCGGTCATGACAATGCTAGGAAATGAAGCAGTGATGAAAATAAACAAGATTCCTCTGTGCAATGATACAATTCACAAGCATATTATAGAAATGTCTTCCCGATATTGAGAAAAATGTATGCAGTAATAAGCTTGAGTATTCAAATTTTGCATTTCAAATTGATGAGTCAACAGACATTATCAACAGGGTGCAACTCTTAGCATTCATCCGTTTTATTAATGAAGATCAAATAGTAAATCAGTTTCGTTTTTGCAAAGAATTAAATGTGTCTACAAAAGGCGAAGACATTTTTAACATTTTGAATAACTATCTTGATAAATGGTAGTTAACATGGAAGTCGTGTGTAGGCATTTACCCCTTCCATGGTAGGCTATGTTAAGGGTCTTACATCTTTTGTAAAAAAAAAAAAAACAAAATGAGAATGTTATCATAACTCACTGCTTTCTTCATAGGAAGGCCTTGATGGTAAAAACATTGGAAGAAAAGTTTCTCTTAACTTTTCTTCCAATGTTTAGAGAAGTTTTAGATCAAGTTGTTCACATGGTAAACTTTATTAAAACAAGACCTGTCAAATCACATTTATTCAAAAAGCTTTGTATCTATATGGATTCACAACACAGATGGCTGCTTTTACACACTGAGATGAGGTGGTTGTCAAGGGGAAAAGTACTTACCCATGTACACAAGCTACGACAAGAACTTGCATTTTTCGAAGAGGTGAATTCAGTTACATTTTTGTAACCTCCTTCAGTGTGAAGTTTGGATTGCCGGGTTACAGTATTTGGCCGCTATATTTCAGCAGCTCAGTATTTTGAATACTAGCGAGGTTGCTGCCGAAGTTTTCAACACCAAAATGTAAACATTGGACGTTCAGTGTCACCTTCCTGTAAGCCTAATGATGTTTGGAATGTCAGTGAAATCATGCTCGACATTCCAAACGGCATTGTCAAACTTCTAGGCTTACAAGATGGTGGCGCTCAACGTAAAAACTTTGGCTGCCACCTTGCTATTAACAGAAGAAGAACTGGTAGCTATCCACTGATCAGGATTGATGATTAAACACAAGGAATTGTCTCTTGAAGCCTATTGGATTTCTATAAAAGAAGAATATGTGGCAATATCTAAAAAAGCTTTGAACATTTTACTACAATTTTCAATATCCTATTTATGTGAATTAGGATTTTCTATCCTAAACACAATTAAGAGTAAAAACAGAGAAATTCTTCAATGTATTGACAAAGAATGCGAATTTGCCTTTCAAATATATGTCGAAACATTGAAGAAATTGCTAGGAGGCACATGTTCCTCATAAACACAAATGAAAAAACTTAACACATTTGTGCCAGGACCTGCTGAATTTACTAAATCTTACTAAGAATGTATCTATATACATAAAAAGATAACTTTTTTGTCATTTTTTTTAAATTTTTTAACCCCTCTTTTACGAATTCTAAAAAGCATAACTCAAAAAAATGTAACATAAAAATGTTTTTAATGTCAAAATAAATTTAATTTTGTTGTATTTATTTCATTTAATTACCATAAAAGTATACTTGGACTTTATATATTTTTTTTTCTTTAATATTTGACTTAATTCTTATAACATATTTCTCAGAAATTTGTATATAGTATGCCTACAATTATTTGTAGGATTTTAAATGCACCCCGACTTCAAAAAGTTTGAGAACCACTGACGTACACTAAGAAGGGATTTTTGGAAATCCCCCTGCAGGGAGACGGAGAAGATTAATGCTTACCCTGATGAACTCAGCTTCTACTGTACTATTTTAGATGCAGGTTTTTGCATTTTTGATTGCGTTTTAGTAGGGCTCGTCATGATAATACACATTAAGAAGGGATTTTTGGAAATTTCACCCTCCAAGGGAAGAGGAGAGAGTTAGTTTTAGTCAGTATAAAGTGTAAATAATAAAGAAGGAAAGTAAGTATTGACACATATAGTATACATTTTGGCAATTAATAAATATTTTAATCATTTCCACTTTTTGGGTAATCTAAAAATAATAAATTCAAAATTTAATGTACCAAACAAGTTTTTTAGATTTTAGAATTAAAAAATTTAAAATTAATTATTTTATTCAAGTAAGGTTATCATCAAGTAAGNAAATTAAAAACAATAAAATAATTTTAAAAATACAACATTTTACATTTTCCGACAAACTTTGTTATTTATTTACTGACATTAATAAAAATTCTTACAATTTCCAAACTTTTTTCCCTCGTTTTCAATTCCATCAGACAGTAATTCTGTAAACGTAAACCTGTATTAGAACAAATTATTATATTAAAGTTTAACATTAACTCTGTTCTTTACATTTATACACTATTTTCACAACTTACATCTCTTCCTGTTCACTTTGACTTACTCCTCGTCTCCACTTCTTTGAATTGTTCTCTTTATACCTCAGACATGCCCCTTCCTCTATGGTTCTTCACCATGATTGGTGAAGAATCATAGAGGAAGGGGCACTGTACTTCTACAGGCTATTTCACAGCCTGTAGAATTACAGTGCTCCGCTAGTACTGAATTTGCATAATTTCCCTTGATTGCTCGGATGTGTTCATTTATTTTTATTTTTAGTTTTCTTTTTGTTTCCCATATATATATTTTTTCTGGTTTACAATTACAATTAAAGGAATACACCACTCCTTTTTCTTCAAATATATCATATTTTCCTTCGTTTCTATAACATAAATGTTTTTTCGTTGTATTCACTTTTTCCGGTATTAGATTAATTCTACTATTTAAGTCCTGATAATAGAAAATACGTACTAGTAAATGGAAAAATTTATATTATAATAAACCAAGGACATTGAGGCATATAAGTTTACTAAAGTATTTTCATTGGCATGTTGAAGCCAAAAAAAATATATACAAATATATTTTATTGAAAAATGCTATTGGTTCTAAATAATTTTGATTACCAAATTTAAGGAATGTGAACTCAACATGCAAAGACATAAGATGTTGCTATTGAATTAATATTAAAAATTCTCTGTCAGCATGCAACAAAGGATTTCTAATATTCTTCATGAATGCATTCAAAACAGACTTGTATACTAATTACTAATGTGTAGGTCTTTTATTTGAAAATGTTCTTTGTGATCTTAATTTTTCAAGGAACACTTTACAAAACATTAACCTGAAATCAATATGAAATTAAAGTTTTGAAAAATGAGTAACCAGTTATATTTTTGACTTGTAGACTAAAAATGATTTAAGAATATTTTAGAAGAAAACAACTCTAATAATACATTAAATTATAGCCAGCTCGGTTGATTTGGAATATAAAGGGAAACACGTCCACGTTACCATGCTTCCTAATCCATCACATTTAGAGGTATAAGATTAGTTGCCATTGTAATGTGTATAGTTTCATATATAAAATCTTAAATGTAAAACATTTTATCTGCAGGCTGTTTCTCCTGTAGTCTGTGGTAAAGCAAGAGGGAGATTATTATCATTAAAATGTGGAGATTATTTAGAAGGTAAAGATAAAATACCTGTGTATAGTGTACTTCCAGTTCAAGTGCATGGCGATGCTTCATTTACAGGACAGGTAATTGTCAACAAGAATATACAGTTCATGAATTTTAAAGTAGTTTATTTTATTTCTGATGTGTATATGAAGCGATTTTTTTTTTTTGTATAGGGCATCATCATGGAAACATTAGCCATGTCAAACATTCCTCATTTCAATGTTGGCGGTTCGATACATATCATTATTAATAATCAGTTAGGTTACACTACACCAGGAGAAAGGGGCAGGTAATTTTTAATGTTGATATTAATACCATAATAAGAATTTTATTATTAATCAGCAAATTTTTAATTATTACATTCTGTATTTTAGATCTTCTTTATACTGTAGTGATATTATGAAAATGATAGCGGCTCCCGTCATCCACGTCAATGGTGATTATCCTGAAGTTAGTTCGGTTTTGATATTCTTTTATTTTAGAAGGCAATTTTTATTGAATATAAAATTAGCAAAGCTATAAGGAATAGATGAATAGTTCTCATAAATTATATGATGTTAATTTCTATGCAAAAATAATTGTTAAATAATTTAAAATATAATTGTGTAACGTATTAAACTTAAAAGCTATTTTTAAAATGTTGAAGTTTAATATATGTAATATGAGGGAAAGTCAGCAAGAAAGCAGAATAGTTGTTATGGAAGTAATAGGTTTTCAGTATGTATCATTAGGTAGTAGCACAGTCTAAGTAGACAGATGCATGTAATTAGTGGATATTTTCAGTAGNTAAAAAATCTTTTTAAATACTAAAGATTTATTCAGTTAAAATTCAATAACGATTTTAATCATTTTTTCTATTAGATATCCAATAAAGAGAATAGTGAAAATGAAATTCTCATAAATTTGACCCTAATCTTATATATAATCAAGATGGGTTGATGATAATGATAATAAGCTCAGAGCCCAAACAGTTAGGAGTTAAAAATTGAAATTTAGTACACAGTTAGGGTATGTCATGAGAATGTACACAAAGAAGTGATTTTCCAAAATCCCCCGTAGGGGAGAGGGAGAGGGTTATGGATTACCCTGAATTTGGATTTTACTGTACTATTTTAGATGCAGTTTTTTGCACGAAATCCAACATATTTTTAGACCCATCCAAAAATTCTCTAATTAGTCTCGGAAGAGAGTGAACCTAATTCTTGCACCCGGTAAAAACAAGTAAGATAGGCTATAATCTAATAATAATAATTTTTGCTATCATTACTTTTTGCCTGAGCAACACCGGGTTCACCTGCTAGTTCTGAATAATTTTGTCATATACTAGTACAGTATGTGACAAGTCCTTTGTAAAAGCAAAAAACAGATAAAACTTGATCAATTTTAAAAAACAATACATGACTAATTTCATACTGTTTTACTTTTCCTTTTATACGTTGTTCAAATATATTATAGGTATAATAAGCAATTATTTATTGTGATAATGTGGGGCTGCAATTTTTAATTTATTTAAGTTAAAATATATGCTCTCCATCTTCAATTAATAGTGTCTTTTCCCTGTACATCATATTTTCCTGCTAGCAATACAGTCATGCCAGTCTTATCTGTAACTCCTTTTGGGAGAAAATTTTTTAATTGAAATAACGTGACTTCTGGTTTGCACTGTAAGTTCATATATAGTTAATCGGGGCCTCCCCGATTAACTATATATTTTTCAACTATATACGATTTTTCAAGTATACCAAGAATGCATTACAATAATCTTTCCATTTAACCATACAAATGGCACTATGGAAGCTGTTTAAAATAGGGATTTGTTCCATGTTCTCAAATACAGTATTTTACATAGATGTATGTGGGTGAGTGGGTTTCTTTTTATTAATTGTTGGGAAAAATTTATATAGTTTTCTTTGCATTTAATATAAATTTTAAAACATTGTTATTATTATTATTTGGTTTATATAATTGTGCAAAAGTTTATAGTTAAACTAGCAGACCTTGCCATGCGTTGTTGTGGCTCAAAATGTATCTGTTTTAAATGTATAACACTTCCCCCGTGGGGAGGAATTTTTTGAAAAATCCTTCTTAGTGTACATTCTCTTGACGTACCTTATTAAAACGCAATCAAAAACCACATCTAAAATAGTATAAATAGAAGCAGAGTTCTTCACAGTAAGCCTTAATCCTGTTCTTAAGCCTTAATTTCGACATGTATATTATATAAAAACGTGTGTGTTTGAGTGTAACATTGTGTCAAAATTTCAAATCGGTAGGAACAAACTAATATTACATTTTTATTTATATAGATAGATAGAAGATGATCTGCTTTAGTTCATCCTCACAAAAAAGCAAACTTAGGTCGTCATACTCACGGAGTTAGTGCCATCTGTTGGACATAAAAGCCTTAATCCTAGATGATATCTTTTAATTTATATGAATGTTTAACAGAATAATATACAGCCTATGTCCACTCTGAAGTTCCATTCTAAATATTGGTGAAAGAATTTTTGAAATCGGATGAGTAGTTTCGGAGATTATCTCCTACATCTAAACTTACAAACTTTACCTCTTTATAATATTAGTATAGATAAAATCCAGGATCTCTCACAATGGTATCATTTGTTTACTTACTATAATTCAGGCTTGGTTTATATGTAATACTAAAATCAATTTGACGTTTTCATCTCTAATATGTTTCTTCCATTTTTCCCTATCAAGGGCTTCTCTCTTAAGTCCCTTCTGATTCAAATCTTTTTCCACCTTATCTTTCCAACGCATCTTTGGTCATCCTCTTTTCCTCTTTCCTTTTATTAACAGTTTTCCGATCTTCTTTCCAACATAATTGTTGCTTCTTCGCTCTATGTGACCAAGCCACCTCAACTTGCATTCTTGCATCTTTTTGCTCAAGGGGCCCACTTTAACAGAACCTCTAATAAAATCATTCCTTATTCTATCCTTCCTTGACACTCCACACATCCATCTCAGCATTTTCATCTCTGCCACCTCCATCTTTCTTTCTTGGGCTCTTGTTATTGCCCATGTCTCTGCTCCATATAACATTGCAGGTCTAACAATTGATTTATACAATTTTCCTTTCAGATTGCAGCTAACTTTCTTGTTGCATAACACATCACTCAGCTTCCTCCAGTTCATCCATCCACATTGAATTCTATGCTGCACCTCCAAGTTCAATCCTCCTCCTATCTCGACAAATGTCCCAAGAATTTTAAAACTTGGAACCAAAGGAAGCAGCATATTTTGGATTTTAATATTACACTCGTCTCTACCATTCAGAGTCATATAAGCTGTTTTAGTTCTGCCAATCTTCGTGCCCTTTCTTCCAAAACTTTCCTCCAATCTTCCAGTTTCTTCTCAGCATTGGTTTGGGAAAGTTCATACACCACAATATCATTTGCAAACAGCATACTCCACAGAGCCTCACACTTCACATCACACACCATCACGTCCATTATCGGGTCAAACAAATACGGACTAAGGGTCGATTCCTGATGTAAACCAACATTAACGAAGAACCCTTCTGTAGTGCTCACACTGCTCTTAACTTGGGTCTCTGCTTCCTCATACATTTCCTTGATGAGCCTAACATATTTCTCTGGAACACTCTTTTCCCTCAAACATCTCCATACCTCTTGGTATGGAGATGTTTGAGATGCCTTGGTACCCTATCATATGTCTTTTCTAGATCTATGAATACCATGTGCAAATCTTCCTGCATTTCCCTGTGCCTTTCCATCAGCTATTTTAGAGCAAAGATAACATCAGTTGTACTCCTTCCCAGCAAAAAGCCAAACTGTTCCTCTCCAATCTCAGATTCCTGCCTAATCCTTTTTTTTACAATTTTCTCCCAAACCTTCATAGTATGGGACAATAACTTTATACCTCTGTGATTTCCGCAATTCTGTACAGTACATCTCCTTACCTTTACCAGAATGCTCTTCCTTCATTCATCTGGGATCATCTGCTGCCAGAGTTTCTTCATAAGGTCCCAGAGGATATCAATTCCCTCCTTACCTAAACCTCTCCAAGCCTCAACCGGAATCCGATCAGTGCCTACTGCTTTCCCCATCTTCATTTTCCTAAGCACAATTTCCACTTCTTCTCTGCTAATATCTTGCACTACTCCTTCATTTGCTTCTCCATTCTCATATAAAGTTCTGGTGTTTTCTTCATTCAATAAATTTCTAAAATATTCTTTCCTTGACTCTTTCGTAATCTTGAAAATTAAATCTAAATCTTTTGATGCCCTATCTCTTGCTTTGGCAATTCTCATCATTTGTCTTTCACTACCTTTCCTTTCAAAAACTTTTGTAAGCCTCTTCAAAAACCTATTTGCAAAAGCAAAGGCTTTTGCAATAGCCACTGCCTTTTTAGCCATTTTATTTGCCAAATGGTAAGTTTCATTATCTTCTGGCCTTCCCATCAAACCCCCACCATTTCTTTGCCTCTTTCTTTTAACTGTGGCTTGTACCTCAGCATTCCACCACCAAAGTTCTTTCCTTCTGGCGAGCTCTTCCCTGAAGATTATCCCAAAACCTCTTCTCTAACTTTCAAGATACAATTACTATTCAGTAACCACCATGTTTGCACATCATCCAGGAACTGGCTCTCTTTTAACACTTTTACCTTAAACTCTTTCCTTAATTCCTCCGCTTTCAATCTCCACCATTTGATACTTTGTTCAATCTGGCTAACACAATTCTTACAATGGCCCATAGGAAAGTAACAATCCACCAGGAGGACTCTATGTTGTGCAGCAACACTTTCTCCATTTTATATCTTACTGTTTCTCACTTCTCTCAGATGTCTCCTGCGGCACAAGAAAAAATAAATCTGGCTGGATCTACCTCCATTCATGTATGTAACCAGTTGGTTTGCTTTCTTCTCAAAGTAGGTGTTAACTAGTGCAAGGTCGAAAGCCACAGCATGATTGATTAGTCTTCCTACCACACTTCACCTCACAAGAATTCTTCTTTCCGAAGAGTTCTTGTGAGGTACTCTTCCCCTTCCCAACATGACTATTTAAATCGCCCCCACAGATTAATCCCTCATTCATAGGAACACACATTATAACTTGGTCAAGATCTGTCCAAAAGTTTGTCTTTTCTTCTTCTCCACTACCTGGCTGAGGAGCATACACACACACAATTGTAATGAAAATTCCACCAATGTCCAATTTAATGCTCATAATTCTATCATACTTTCAATTAACCTCACAGACACTGTCTTTTAGAACTTTATCAATTACAATACCAACTCCATTCCTTCCTCCCTTATTCACTCCACTCACAAACAGCTTGTACCCTTTAACAAGTTCTTTAGGTTTATTTCCTTTACTTTCTATCTTGTCTCTTGCAGACAAAATGTTCAGTCTCCTTCTGTGTGTAAGATCAACCAACTCTCTACTCTTCACATTCAATGTTCTGATGTTTAAAGTACCTATTCTTATACTTGTCTTCTTTCTCTTCTCTTTCTGGACTAACTTCTTTATCCAAACCTGTTCTTGGTTCAGTAGCCCCAGCTCATTTGACACAGTTTTTGGGCAACATGACTGCGCATCGCTTTGGGGGACGTCCTAACATAGTTATAGCTTAACTTCCATGTAGTTTTGACATAGTTTTATGCAGCCAGAGATGCCCTTCTTGACGCCAATCCTATTTGCTCTAAGGGGTTAATAAAATAATAATAATAATCTTAAAATTGATTTCAAATTCTTGATGCATCTTAGAATAAGGGAACAACTGCCAGAGAAACAAAGTAATTTGGCTTGAGGTATGTGATTAGGCTACCATCTCTTGATAAATTTGATAATAATATATTTAATTATTAAATTTATCAAGAGATGGCAGCCTAATCATATATCTCGAGCAAAATTACTTTGTTTCGGCTAGTTATTTAGACTGAATATAGCACAATAAAAAAAATCCAACAGATTGTATGATAATTTGAATACAGTATATATCATAACTTATTAAAATTTTTATTACATACAAGAAATTATGTAAAACGTTGAACTCTACTCATATTAAATTTAGATTATTGAGTGGTTTTCATTTTCCACATTACTTTTGGATCAATGATTTTATATTATGAATATTATGTTACTGTAAATTGTTTTGCACAATGTAATTTGAAGAAGAATGGATAATTAAATAAATAAGTGCTGTTTGATTTGAAGAAAACAAACAAATTTACAATATAAATTATTTTGCATTTTTTTCTGCACAAAAAACATTGTTAGTTTTATATCTGTGTAGAACGAAATCAGAAAGGTTTGACACTTTATTATAAACAAGATATTCTTATTAACGTGATTTATCATGTTTTAAAAATATATCAATAAACATTCAGAATAAAAATAAAAAGCAACATTTAAGAAAATTAATTGTATTTTTTCTGGATAAATACATTCATTTTCTTGATTACATAATTTTGCTTTTCAGTATGATTTATCGGCATCACAGTTTTCTCCAGATGGACGTGTTTTTCAAGTAGAGTATGCATTGAAAGCAGTTGAAAACAGTGGGTTAGTAAAACTTACTTTCTTTTAAAAAAAAGGTAAACAGTGATGATTATAATAACATTTTTGAAACTTATTTTATAAAGGACGGCAATTGGTCTTCAAGGAAAAGATGGTATTGTTTTTGCTGTCGAAAAATTAGTAACGTCTAAACTTTACGAAAAAGGTGCAAACAAAAGAATTTTTACCGTAGATCAGCATATTGGTGTCGTAAGTAGCTTTCTAAAAATCTATTGATTAAAAATAATAATTAAAACCAAATATCTAAATAGCTGGATTTCTTCAGGCTATACTTTTGCTAGCATTAAGTAATTTAGACTAAAGATAGTACAAGATGGTGGTGTAAATTTTTACCTAATATTAGTAATTGCATTAATTTTGGAATAAAATTTAATAATAGATTAATTGGGAAAAAGATTCTAAATTATATATCTTGTAGAGTCATACCACATTATCTGAATCTAATTCATTCTGGAAAATATTCTTACTTGTTCCTGGTCCATTTGAGTAACTTAGTGTCATTCGGGGAAATTGACTGAAAACATTGCAATACGTTTTTTGTTCAGTATGCTAGAAAATACAGAATTATAGATATTATTAGTAAGGAAATTGGAACTCCTAAACACTTAATGAAGTTATTTAAGGATATATTTGTAAGCCGTAATGCAATGCACAAGTTTTTACAGTATTCCATATTAGAAATTGCATTTTAACTACAGCCATATTAGTATATGGTGTTCTTAACTCGTACTCATACAGTATTTCTAATGTGAAATACTGTAAAATTGTTATGCTTCTGGCTTCTACTAATATTTACTTATATAACTGCTAACCTTTTAGTGAAAATTACTGTTTTACTCATTAAAGTTAGCCAAAATATAGCTGAAAGAAATATGGCTTTTTATATATTTGGTTATAAAGATTTGGATTTGGTGATGGTTATACATAAATATAATAATTAAAAATGTTCAATTTTTAGGCAGTTGCTGGTTTACTAGCGGATGCACGTCAGATTGTAGAAAATGCTAGAATAGAAGCTTCTAATTATAGAGTAGATTTTGGTTCACCTGCACCACTAAAATTTGTAAAAAATAGAGTTGCTATGTACATGCACGCTTATACGTTATACAGTGCAGTACGTCCATTTGGATGCAGTGTAATTATGGGTTCCTATGGTCCTGATGGTCCTGAATTATATTGCATTGATCCTGCAGGAATATCTTGGGTATGTTGTTATTTTTTTATTAGATGTTACTATTTTTAAATCCATTTTAATACTCATCAATTGTTTTGCAGGGTTATTACGGTTGTGCTATTGGTAAAGCGAAACAAACTGCAAAAACTGAGATGGAAAAAATAAAGGTAATTAGTACAAATAAGAATATATTCTTATATAATTTACATTTAATAAATATGTATTTATTTTTTAGTCTAAAGATATGTTGTGTGAAGAGTTAGTAAAAGAAGCAGCAAAAATGTAAGTTAAATATACTGTCTAATCAATGATTCTGTCAAAGATTTTATAAGACTTTATAATGAGATTTTATCACTTGTCAAATTATTTTAAAAAGTAAATAGAAATTAGATATGGTCAAAAAGTTTTTGTAGGCTGATTTAGTATGTTGAACTAAGTAGCATTTTCATCATAAATTTATTCAAATCATCAAATATTAAAACAAGAATACAACAAAACATTTCTGTGAAGTTTATATGATGCTGTTTAGAGACAACAATTAGAAAAAGTGAGCTTCTAAACATTTGTAATCAAACGTCAACAAAATCCTGTAAAATGCAGCTTTTTATTAACTAATTGAACATTATTGGCCATTTGAATGACCTTCCTCAGGAATAAAAATCAAATGATTTTGATTTTTATAAAATGAAGTTTGTTATGGAAACAAAAGAAAACGTTCAAAATTGTTCCATAACAAACTTCATTTTATAAAAATCAAAATCATTTGATTTTTATTCCTGAGGAATGTCATTCAAATGGCCAATAACATTCAATTAGTTAATAAAAAGCTGCATTTTAAAGGTTTTTTGTTGATGTTTGATTATTATTTAACTGCAATTTGAAAAGAGTCTAAACATTTGTATCGTGGTAATGTTTACATGTTCAAGAATATTTTATGTATCACTCTCTGTGATTCTCATCTGCCATAATTAACAGATTTGGAAACAAAAAGAAATTACAAAGGGCTAAAGTTAAAATTTTTATGAAAAGACCGATTTACAATAATCGAGGAAATTATTTGAATAGATCTGACTGATTGATTGAAGAGAATTGATCCTTTAAAATAGTTTCTCATACAGTACATATCAATTCCCAATGCTTTTATATTGAAAATTTTTCCAGGAATTATAGTTACTATACTTCATCAGTCCTAAATATTAATTCAATTCAACCTCCAAACTTTTTTGAACATACAGAGTAAGTCAAAAAGGTCTCCTTGATTTTGAAAAATCAGTACTCTAGTTAATGCACTAATATGATCAGAACTGCATCTCTATATAAAGAAACTCTGAAATTTTTTTTTCTTCTCTCTCTCTCTCTCCTGCCAGATGTAGTTATGTAGAATGTTGCCAGGTGGAATAGAGCAAAAATGGCAGCTACTGCAGTGGAGAAGGCATTTTATGTCTCAAGTTCCATGCTAGCAAGTCTATTAACACCATTCAGTGTAGTTTTCAAACCACTTAGTGAAACATAATCATCATCAACAAGTATGAATTGTCTTGCCACCAACGGGCAAGACAATTCATGCATGGTACACACAGTTTCAAGAAACCACCTGTCACCTGAATGTGTATCTAGAATTGTTGAGAGAATGGTTGATGCCACAGCTACAAGACCATCCCAATTTCATATTCCAACATAACAGCAGCTCTGCACTTTTATCACACTGTTTGCACCTACTTGAACAAGGCCCTGCCACAATGCTGGATTAGACATGCCAACAACAAAACTGATTCTTACAGTGGCCTCCTTGGTCACCAGATCTCACTGCTTGTGACTTTTTCTCATGGGGACACATTAAAGACACTGTATCATCATTGCCTTCTGACATAACAAAGCTGAAGTCATGCATTGTCAATGCAATGGATGTATACATGGAGAACTATTTTTCCTTGTTGAAAAGAGAATCTAAAGTGTAAATATTATTCCCTGTAAATCACTGAAATTAAAAGAGATGATGAAAATTATTGAATATCACAAACCAGAGAAGTGCAAATGAGAAAATTAGCAAATTGTTCAAGATTGGGAAAACACAAGATATGGAAATTGTCAAGAAGCAAGAAACATACTTAGCTATTGGAGCTGTAATGACAACAAGCAGCAAATTCAACATTTGCAAAGTGAAAATAGCATTTGTTGACAAAGCAATCAAAATGATTCTGACTACTTTTTCAACAAGAATGCTAATTTTCACTTTGAGTCAGAAGTCAGAATGCAGACAAAATAAAACTGTTCTTTTGTCCTCTCCCAGACAAAACTTTGTGCTTTGCTACTGAAACATGATTCATCCTCAAAGTTGCAGAACAACAACTAACAGTTCTGTTAAGCAGAAGTATGGATGAAGAGTGCAAAAAATCCCTGGTAATTGGAAAGGCTGCCAAACTGAGATGTTTCATGAATGTACACATTATAAAACTTGAAATTGAATGGAAATCAAACAGAAATGCCTGGATGGTAAAGGAAATTATGACAGAGTGGCTGGACTTAATTGAACAGGAAAATGTTGCACCAAAACAGGATAGTGTTTTTGTTTCTTCATATTGCTACATCACGTCTAGACATCAAGCTCAAAAATGCAGAGATTATATTTCTGTTATCAAATGTCACTTCACTCTCTCAACTTTTGAAATTTTCAATTGTCTCTTGATCCAAAGTCAAGTACAGAGAAATTGTTTTGAAGCAAATGTAGCATCAGTTTTGAAACACTGACTAAGCAACTCAATATCTTCTGAGACATTTCACCCAAATTTTAAGTATTTGGAAACAACTCATTGATGGCAGAACTTGTTCCTCCTAGCAATGGTAATGCTTAGTTTTGCACAGCTATTGTAAATGATGTGGAGGCAACATAGTAAATCCTGCTGTGTTCATAAGATTATCACTGCAAATCATTACATTGCCATAGTCTTATGGCAATAGACTGACATCCCAACTGAGTGCACAAACTAAGGTACAAAAACAATCCTTCAGTCACTTTTTCAGGTTCAAGAAAGGCAGAATAATGATGATAACAACAATGATGACGACGGTGGTGATGGCCTCACTGCTGAAATGACACCTAATACAGAGTTAGCAATTGTCAGATAGGTTCTAGACTAAGCTCAAGCAGTTTTACACCAATAGAAAAGACAAATCTTGTGCTAGCTTTGCACTGTCTAATTATACATAGTAAGAAGCAGATATGTTTGTTTTTAATACAATTGATTGTGGAAAACTGGAGTTTTAAAAAATTATCATTATGCATTATTGTAAGAACATCAGTATCATATTACTGTTATTTGCAAGTTTGTGTATTACATGTTCATAAATAAAAGTAGTGTAGGCTATATTTAAAAGATACTTCATTTAAGAGTAATTTTCACAGAACCCGTCTTGAGCAAACTCCTCTCTAAAAACAAACATTTTTTAGAGTTTTTTAGAGTAAACATTTAGAGACAGTTTCTTAAGCCTTGCAAATGTCCATTATAGAGATTTCACTGTATACATAATAAATGCTGGAAAAAAAATTTATTTAATATAGTGAAATATGGTGTAGAGATGAGCTGATTTTATATCTGATGAGTTTTGATAACTTTGAATCCCATTTAATTAAAAAAAAACTTTAAAAAATGGAATATATGTGCCTCAGTGAATTATATTTCATGAGAGAGTTAATTTATCTAATTCAAATTTTAGTAAAGTTTAATGAAAAATCAATTCAAGGAAGAAAAACCATTTTTGGTTGCTAATTTGGAAGTAGGAATTCTGTTTTCACATCATCTCTTATAAACTCAAGTTTAAGAATAACTTTGTATTCTTCATTTGGCAAATAAAGTATTGTTGTTTTGTTGGACTAAATGTTAAAGCTTTAAAAATTCTCAAAAAGTGATAGAAGTAATTAAAGTTTTAACATTTTCAAGAACAAATGGAAGTACATAAATTTGTTCTTGAAAATTTCAATACTGAAGCACCAATTACAAAAATAATATTTTCTTGACATAAATATAAATTTCTCTTTTAATTAATAAATAATTAGTTTAAAAATACTTTCACAATTTAGAGTAAATTTTTATTTCAGTATCTATCTTGTTCATGATGAAGTGAAAGATAAGAACTTTGAATTGGAACTCAGTTGGATAGGAGAAGGTATGTGTTTTAATTAAACTTTGTAAACAAGAGAAAACATTCTTGCAAAAAATAATAACTAGAGAGATTACAGTACATCATGGACTTGTCATTAATTATTGAACAGTTGGCATTGATTAGTAAAATACACATTGAAGTATTTTTAAAGCAGATTCAAATTCTTCAGAAAAATAAATAGTTTATAAGTAAATACAAGTATCTTCAGTTACTTTTTGATTGCTTTTTATAGTTTAAAAAAAAATCAATTTTATTTTTGTGTTTATATAAAGTTGTAGAAATCAAGACATTATCACATAAGAATATATATTAGTTGTTCGGAAAGTAATTTCGTTTTTTTACCACTAGACAGATTAGTTGTATTTTACCCGCCATTTTTATTCTAAACTGTATTATCATTATATATTTTGACAGTAAGGAGACTAGCATTTTAAGGCTTATTTGTAAAGAATTTTGTTTGATTTTGTGCAATTGTTTATTTTTTGTGTCTCATCAAATATGGAAGATCGAAAGTGGCATTTTCTACATATTTTGCTTTTTTATTACCAAAAAAATAAAAATGCCGTTCAAGCAAGAAAAATATCGTGTGACATGTATAATGGAGATGTGTTGACAGAATGACGGTGCCAAAACTGGTTACAAAATTTTGTTCTCGCAATTTCAGTATTGAAGATGCACCATGTTATGGATGGCCAATTGAAGCCAATGAAAACAAAATAAAAGATACCGATTGAAGCAAACTGCCAAATAACAACGTGTGAAATCACTAAGAGATTAAATTTGTCAAATTGAACTGTTTATGATTACTTGAAACAAATTGGTTTCATTTCAAGGCTTGATATGCTCTTAAGGAGAGATGCTATCTTTGGTAGGATTTTAAGGAAATTTTTTGGAGCTTTTACCAGACAATTTAACAATTGATTCGAAAGTGTACTGCCATCGAGTAAACAAATTGAGTAATATCATTAAACAGAAAAGGTGGCCAGAATTGATCAACAAAACAGGTGTAGTGTTTTACCACGATAATGTCAAATTTCACACAAGTTTGGTAACTTGTCAGCATGTCCCATCTAAGTTATAACAGTTTCTATCACACTAACCACATTTTCCAGATCGAGCACACCCGGATTATTACTTGTTTTGGTCTATACAAATTTTTTTAACTGTAAGACATTTACTTGAAATGACAATGTCAAAAATCACTTGGATCAGTTTTTTGTAAGAAACGATCAAAACTTTTATAAATGTGAAATGCTACTACCAGAAATGATGACAACAAATATTTGACCAAAATTGTCGATAAATAATTCAACAAAATATTTATTTATTATAAAAATAGTTGTTTTTTTTCCACGGAAAAAAAACGAAATTACTTTCCGAACAACTCAATAGTAAAACTTCTGATTAGACAATTTTATGCTTCTAAAACTTCAATTATTTGTTTAAAAAATATAAACTTTCTTACTACATTTATTTATATGTAATAATAAAAATACATATATACACAATCTTGCATTTTTATTAGTCATGTCTTTTCCATTTGTGGGGGTTAAAGAATCTGTCTAATGTGGATTGCTTTTCTCTCTTCTCTAGGATTTTTCAGAAGTAATTAATAGCATTGTAATTGTAGAGATCCCTAAGCCTATTAACCTCAACCTGGTTTGGATGCCATTCTAAGACCATTGTTCTGACATCACTCCACTTTTTCAAAAGATGTTTAATAGCAGATATTGGAATTAATCCTCTTTTTCAGAAGAAAACATCTTGTCGAGTTTCTTGGTGTTATTCATTCAAGAGTTCTTGGCGTTCTTCTGTCGTCAGATCTGTTTCGGGTTCTATTTTGAGCTCTTCGATGTTCTTTATTTCTCAGATGTGATTTTTGTTACTCCTTTAGCTGCTTGAGTCTTCTTGATTATACAGTATCTTTCTTAGATAAGATTGAACTGCGGCCTACTGTAGACCTGTTTGAGCCATACTGCACAGCAACATCAGACATCATCTGCTCATTCTCTACCTTTGCTATTATACTCTCACCTTTCGAAAATAAAAACCGATGCAAAACTTAACAAGTGCTCGCCCAACAGTCTTGCGAATATTATAAAAGAATTGTTTCTGTCAGAAAAATAAAGGGCTAAAATTACAAGGGAGAATTTCAAAGTTTGGAGGAATACTATCCGATCAGTATATACCAGGTTGAGCATTGATGTTGACATCGCCCATGCTCCAAAAAGTTCCGAATTATTGCTCTAAGACAAGGGAAGATCAATCGGTATTCATTATTTTATGTCACTACTACTTGTGTTTGTTCTGTGAGGTGTTTGTTATCTGAACATAAAATCTTTCGTGAAATTGTTTGTTAATCAATCACCCACTGTACTCAGAATTATGATACATTTTTGGTTGTTCCCTTCAAGTGTAGTTAATTGCAAAATTTACTATTTCATTATATAGCTCCTGAGAAAATATTTCTATATAATAATTAAACTTTACACTACTTGATTACTGGAATCCTGTAACTGACCCTTTCAAAACTATTGTGTTTCCAGTAAGGTACAATGTTTACTTGAGTGAACAAACATTTTCTAAACTCCGAGTTCTGCTTCAGGTTCAATGGTGTTCCAACTTTGGAATACCAGGAATTTGAATATTTAAATATTAGATAATTCAAGAATTCAAATTTTTGATATGCAATATTTAGGGGCATCGTCCTCAAACTAATGCTTTGGACAGATATTATAAATATAAAATGCCATTAATGTTGGGGATCACTATCATATGTATACTGCCATGCAAATGATATTGTCCTTATAGTTTATGCAGTTTCCTCATTCTGTCTGCTTTGTAAATCTCTAGTTTTTCCAATGCCCTTATATGATCAGTTTGGAATGATTTCCTTATGAGAACTGCATTCTCCAGATCCGTATATATATCTGGGTCCATTGCATATGTTGATAGTGTTGTGTTGTACAGTACTTACCCTTGTCTATGTCATATTTATGTTCCTTTAGTCTTTTCTGCAACGATCTTTTTGTCAATCCTATGTACACTAAGTCTCTGTGAAACCTATTATCTATAATCAGTACTCCATACACCCCTGGTGCCCGCATGTTACTTGGCTTGTCTTTATCATCCCTTAGTAGCTTGTATATTGTTTGGGTTCTTGTGTATGCTAACTTGATCCCCTTCAATTCTGCTATTTCCTTATATATGTGGTGAAGTTTCTGTTATATTGGACAACCTCACAAATTGTATTAGATTTCTGTTCCTGTTCAGGAATCCTGTTGTTGTGTCTGGGGTGTGTTGCTCCTGGGCTAAACCATGAATCATACTTCTGTATCTGTGAGCAGCTGTTGAGTCTTCTAAGGTGCATTTCAAATTTATATGGACACGAAAAAATTAAAGTGAAACCCAAATTTGCTGCATTAAGTGACAAATGTTTTATTAAAAATAACATGGATTTACATGTTTCCACACTGCAAAATAAGAATTTTAATCAAACATTAACATTTTGTCACTGAAAATAATAATTTTGAAAATTTCGTACAAAAATACTTTTACATATTTATTTGGATAGGTTTCAAATTGCAAAGTTTTCTTACAATTTAATGGCCAATTTAACCACCATTTAACTTAATTACATTAAATACTCGAGTAGGCATTGTTTCAAATCTGAAGGAATTCAATCTTAAATCCAAATTGCTGCCTTCAAATCATGAATTGTGGAAAACTGCTTTCCATTGGCATAAACTGTACGAACCATCATCCCCCAAAGATTTTCCATCGGATTCAGGTCAGGGCTTCTAGCAGGCCATGTCATCAGATTAATATTTTTACGTTTAAACCACATTTTTGTTGATTTAGAGGCATGCACAGGGGCATTGTCTTGTTGAAAGATCCAATTTGGTCCAGCTTCCAATAAATGATCTTCAAGCATGCCTT